CAACCTATCAATCTGTACTTACTGGGCAAGTGCAGATGACAATGGAGGAGGATGCGGCTGCACCTCAAATAGTACAAATGGAGAGACCCGAGGCCCTACAGGAGCATAAACCGCTGTTATTGAAGATTGAAGTTGGAGTGGGCCAAGGGGAGTCTGGAGATGAGGAGGTTCCTAGCTTTGGAGAGACCTTGAAATTTGATTTTAAATACATTTTGGATTATATCGAGGACTGTGGGGAGTGGTACTGTGGGGAATGGGCGAGCTGGATGAAGGGTGATGGAGACAATTTTGGGTTGGAATCCCCCCAGAGACCTACTCCTCAATGAGAAAGGAAAGAAACTAAGACAGAGACCAACAAAAGACAAGGAAAAGGGCAAGCACAAACAAGATGAAGAAGAATTGCAGAAGGGACATGGAAGAGATTTAAGGGCCTCGGACATAAGGCTTCCAGGTTGATGGATGGAATGGACAATAAGGACTGACATGACCCGAGACCAGGAAGAAGAGACGCTGGATGATGATTGGAAGAGAATTTATAATGGAAATTTTTTATTTTAGAATCAGCTAATGAATATTAGGGAAAATGTGGGAATGAAATTATACGACTCTAGCAGAAATGATATCAGGAGCTATGTATATTTGAAAACTAAGATTTAAGTTTTAAGGTACTTAGGGGTAAGATAAGGTTAAATAAATTAACCTTTAAATGAATAACAGAATATGGGGAAAGATGGTAAGGATTTGTTGAGTTAATTATTAGGTTAAATTGTTAAGATAAATTTTATAACAAAAATTGAGAAAGATGGAAAGAATTTGCTGAAATAATTACCGGTACTAAACTAGAACACAAAAACGGAGGTGTGAGGAGGTCAATGAAACAAGCAAATGGAAATTATGGATATGCAATTTGGGATTTGTGTTTGTTTTTTGTTTTGTTTTGTTTTTTACTTCTTTTTGCTGTATTGTTGTATTGGTTTTTATATTTTGTGCTTTTTTCTCTTCTTATTGTTTTCTGTTTTTTGTATTGTAGTGTTGTTTTTTATTTTTTATTTTTCCTGTAATTCTGAAATTATCAATAAACATTATTTTAAAAAAAACAACAAATAATTTCAGCTCTTCATGCTACCCTACTACAAGAAAACTCCAGTAAGCAACCCCTGTGCGTAGATCACGCATATACTTATGTGTTGCATAAATATTCACATCATAAACGCATTTGAGGGATGGCCATACCTCAATGGAAGAGCAATTGCATAGCATACAGAAGATCCCTGGTTCCATTAAAAAACAGATTCTTGCCCAAATGCTGTATGTAATGTAGGTGAATTAAAATACTGTCATTGCCACTAGCGAAGATGAAATCCAAGCAATATCCTCAAGCCAGAAAAAATATAGATAGGAAAAGTAAAATAGAGCAGAGGAATTACCAAAAGGCTTTTCTGTAATGTTTTTCACTCTGCCTATAAATCTGATCAGATTTGTCACCTAAAATGCCAGCCAGCCTGATGATTTATTATATAGCTAAGAAACTTCCTATTACCCTACTGACATTTGTGCCATTAAATATTTGCCCTCTTTCCATTTTAATCAGATTTTCGGGGCTTTGTAAATTGTCTCTTGAAATCACAGTATGACAGAAAAAATTCAGAGCAGCAGCAACAACAACAAAAAGTACCACCCAGGGTACTTTGCTTTGTGACCCTTCCTTATTATAAAAAATGCAGAAAAGGGGTAATGTAGTGTAACACACTACATGCTCCAATATCTGTGTTTTAAAGGACTATTTTTCAGAGTGGTATGTACTATCCTTCCAGAAAAGACACAATATCCATTCCACTGATGTCTGATGGGTTGAAAGCAGCTGATATCAATGGGGGAAAATATCAAGTGTTATGGGAAGCTTTTTGTCAGTTTCACAAAGGGAGCTCTGGGGACTTAGAAGCACTCATTTCTCTTTACATTGCAAAGATTTCTATGCTTCCCACACAGCATCAGCAGCATTTGACAACATATGTGTAGAATCTGTCTTGTAAACTATATGAGATGAAAAAGTGGGGCTTGTGGATCCATGGGATCTCCTTCCACATTGTGAAGGTATTTATTTGTAATATATCCATGAGTGCCTTGACATATTTGTGATATTCAAAACTCAAAAAATGCATCTACCGTATATACGTTTATCAAAGAAGAAATGAGCGATATTATCACTAGTAAAATTCTATTTGTTTTGGTAACACACACACACACACACACACACACACACACACATTCATCTTTGCAAAAGGAGCTAGTGTACACAGCAAAAGTGGAGAATCTATTTCAAATGTTGTTAGACTCCAACTCCTATCAGCCCCAGCCAGCATGGCCAATAGTTGGGGATGATGGGAATTTAACAATGAGAGAAACAGGCCATATGAATAAGTTAATTCTTCCGTAAACTCATGCATCTCTCCATTGAAATGGTGAATGAGCACCTACTCTGTATATTACACAAAGCGTAAAAAATGAAGCATAAATCTGCTCATGTTTTCTGATTCCTCTGCTATTGAATATTCAAATCTACTTTGTGTTGTCAGACTCCCTTAATTCAGATCCCCTAAGAACCAAACTAGATATGTAACAGGCAGCTAAAATCTTATGTTTCCTTAACTAATTACAGGGGAAATCCAATTTACACTGCAAAGGCAGCACCTAAGGAGGCTTCTCTCTTCATTTCCCCTCATGATCTGAATACAGATCTCATCTTGGAATAAAAACTGTCCTATCCCCCGCCCTCTCAGAACAAAGTCCTCATGGGTGCCAGTGGGAATTCTCCCAGCCACCCTCCCAAGGCTCATAGCTGTGTAGGAAGAGTCACTGTTCCAATCACAGTGGGAGACTGATGAGACAAAGCCATCCTTCCCCCTATGTAGACGCCCCCATGTGTAATTAGTAGTGCCGAGACAAAAAATTATCATGCGTGTGTGCCAATGAATGAGAAAAGAAATTTCATTTCAAAGTTATAAAATTATTTATGGGAAAACAAATTTCAGTAAAATTCTCATGGTTGGGGTGCAAGGTTCTTGTTGTGCTTAGTTTTGAGGTGTTTGTGGGTGTTCTTTCATTCATTCTACAAATCATCTCACCAGCAGTCTGCACTCTGCAGCCTTCCTAGGTGCCCACACTTATATCAAAGTCCGGGGAAAACATCAGAAGGTAACTCCTCCAATGGGCCTTTTTAAAAATCAGGAAGCATGGGTAGATGGAGAAGTTGCATAGTGCTGGATAGATATTTACAGGAAACAGAGGGCAGTGTTCAACTCAATAGTTGTGCTAGCACAAGGATTAGCACTAAAATAATGGGATTTTCCTGTGCCATCCTCAAATCTATTCTTGAGGGCAGAAGCATATTCCGGGCAGCGTGACCTGTTTACTCTCACTGGGTGCCGAGCCAAGGGGGGCACTGCTATGATGTAATGCAGGCACAGAATGGAAGCCGAGAGGCGCCCAATTTTGGCTTCACACTGCTGAAATTTGAAAGACCAAAGTCTGTATATCACCTCTACTGTATATGTCCTGAGGCCACCTCCTATTGTAAGCTCAAAATCCTGCACTGATCAAAATACTATCGAAATCCCAATAGAAATTCTCAGTCCCCTGACAATGAGGTGCAACAATGGAAACATTTTGCCGAGGAAGAAAAGTGAAGGAGAGATTTTGGCACAGCACTAGTAATTAGTTAAGGAAATACATAGCTGCCTGCTACATAGTAAGTGCATGTCTGGTTTGGCCCTGGCTTGTGGTAAGAGCAACAGTAAGCTTAGGTCCTAGAGAGAAAAGCGGAAATCTCCATGTACTTTCACGTGTCCAAGGGACCTTTTTCTTAAAATCTGAAAGCATAGTGTTCCCTGAAAATGCCCAGCCACAATATAATAGTTTAAGGGTTTTTTCTTGTTTGTTGGTTTTGCAGGGGGGTCACATGGATTTTAAAACTAGTAACCCTCTAACAGTTTTAACAACCTCACTGGCCTCCTTAAACATCATTTCTCCGTGCTTAGTTGCTTAATAAATTGTAACCTTGCTTTGTACTTCAGATCAAACAAAAACCTGCTTTTATGTATCTGTGATATATACACACACATATACATACTCATTTTTCCATTAACAGAGAGAGAATATTTGCAAGGAATATAAAGTGGCAAAAGCTTTAGTATGGTTGCATTGCACCTTACGTGACAGTACTAAAATTAGGGTAAACTTCAGATGATACATTTTCAGTGCTTCATTTCACTTTCACATAAGAGAGGGATGTTTTTCCCTTCAGGGCGAAATACTAAATGGGAAGATGCTAATGAAGTTCCATGGAGCTTCGCTGCTTAAGTGCACACCTTCTTGTTGTGGTTTTGTTTTTTAAAAAGCCCGCATTTGCCTTCTCCTGAAGAAAGTCTTTTTCCATTTTCCTGCAGTTTTTGTGGTCAGAGAAGATGTCCAAGAAATATGAATGCTATTTGTGCCTTGTTTGGATTTGATATCTCGCTTTATCACTACCCAAAGGAGTCTCAAAGCGGCTAACATTCTCCTTTCCTTTCCTCCCCCACAACAAACACTCTGTGGGGTTAGTGGGGCTGAGAGACTTCAGAGAAGTATGACTAGCCCAAGGTCACCCAGCAGCTGCATGTGGAGGAGAGGAGACGCGAACCCGGTTCACCAGATTACGAGTCTACTACTCTTAACCACTACATCACACTGGTTCTCATTGTCCCTATGACCTCCTGTAACAGCAAATTTGGTGTAAAGACTGCTGTGCCAACTCGTGTTGTCAAGTTACCTCATGATCATAGGTTGACTTCAGTAGGTAGTCATGGCACAAAGCTACAATATGGCACATATATGGGAATAGGAACAGGAATGTGGCAAAGGCAAAACAGGATGAAACTCACATTCCATTCCCTTTTAGAATCATAGAGTTGGAAGGGACCATGAGGCTCATCTAGTTCAAACCTGCAGTGCAGGAACCTTTTTGCCTAATGTAGGGCTGAAACCACAACCCTGGGATTAAGAGACTCACGCTCTACCAACTGAGCTAGGCAGCCAAAGAAAAAAACTCACATCCCATTACATTTACCAAAAAAATCTTGTTTGTTATCCCTAACTAGAACCAGAGGGAAGATACAAAGGTCTGCTTGTGATGGGTCAAGCGACAGTTAAATTGTTGTACTTCTTCCCTGTTGCTGAGATGGCATTCTGGCTTTTGGCTGCCATATACAGAACAGTAGCATCCAATTTATATTTAATGTTTGGGCATTTGGTGGGCAATTCATTCAAATCCATTAGTACATAGTTATAGGCTAATGAGGGTTTGGAATTCCATCAGAAATGAATTGATGAGATTGAGAGTCCTGGCTGAAAGGAATATAAGGCCAAATTCAGTACTGTTTGGAGGTCAGTTGTGTGTCTTTGGCGAACTGTGAATAGGTTCAGAAAAGGACTTCGGAAAGGTTCAAGGAAAGCTAGAGAGAAAGGCAGCTTGGAGATGAAGAAAACTGAAGCTGATATTTCCTAAGGCAGAAGCTAAGGAGGCTTGCAAAAAAGGGAGTGTAAACTCCTACAGCAGCCTTTGAGACAGCTAGGGCCATGGTGGCAGAAGGTGCGGACTTCTGGTGAAGACCCCAGTAAAGCTGAAAGGTAACTAACTAAGAAAGGTGAACCTTGAACAAAGGGAAGACTTCAAGAAAAACCCTCTTGACAAGCCTGTGAGTTACCTGGGGGTGGAGTTAGGACTTGACTAAGGGACGCGGGTGGCGCTGTGGGTTAAACCACAGAGCCTAGGACTTGCTGATCAGAAGGTCGGCAGTTTGAATCCCCCTGTAGCTCTTTACTCATCTTTGTTTCCTCTCTTCCTTGTTGTTCTTCACAGCCACAAATTCCTATACTTCTCATTATTTTCACATTAGGAAGTGACTCCTGAGAGAGAAAAGGCACTTCCCAGGAGAAGGAGACAGTCAAATATGTGTTGTCTGGCGCTAACACAGAGCAATGGATCCAAACTACAAGAAAGAAGATTCCACCTAAACATTAGGAAGAACTTCCTGACAGTAAGAGCTGTTCGACAGTGGAATTTGCTGCCAAGGAGTGTGGTGGAGTCTCCTTCTTTGGAGGTCTTTAAGCAGAGGCTTGACAACCATATGTCAGGAGTGCTCTGATGGTGTTTCCTGCTTGGCAGGGGGTTGGAGTTGATGGCCCTTGTGGTCTCTTCCAACTCTATGATTCTATGATAAATTCCCTCTGTATATCATATTAGCTGGCTAGGCAGCACTCACAACCAAGTTGGTTTACATTAGACCTTCACATGGCAAAGTAATACCAAGGAATGGACATTACTGAATATGCTCAGCTAATTTTCTTCAAAGAGTAATAGTGCAATGTACTGTCTTGTACTTGAGAAAGTTAAGATGCACTGAAGTCCATAGAAATGAACAGGATATGTTAGATGCACTGTGGATGTGGACTGATACCCAAGGCACAATGTCTAAAGATGCTATTTAGATCTCAGTCTTGATGTTTTATGAAACAGTGTGGAATAGGCATCGTTTTATCTTTCTGTGATATTTCTCCTGTCTTTGTTTAGTATTCTGTTTAGCAAAATTATTTCTGTTGAATAATAGCCATTTAACTATTTTAATTACATTCTTAATGTACTTTTAGTATGAAAACCACTAGAGAGTACAGACCATGTACAGATGCAGATTTATGAGTGTATTTATCACAGAGGATTTGCAAATTACTCCACAATGTTCATGTGGAGTATCTAACCCTTGCTCTTCTCTCATATATTCTCAGATACACCAATAACACTTAGGCAGGGTAAAAAGCAGTCAAACACGGCAAAAAGTGTGGGGGGTGGGGGAGGGGGAGAAGAATCATCATGCCTAAACAGGGAGGAATTCTTGACTGAGAAAATGAATAGGGAATTACATTTCTAAAACATATTTTTGAAAGCGGAAATGTTGTTTTTGTTGTGACTACAAAATCCCAACTGCATACAGTATGTCATAAACTGACATTTTAAAAAAATCAACTCTGTTCAGAAGCTATCATGACTAGAGATGGCACGGAGCGATTATACAAGTCATCTCACCTCACTTCCAATTTAACAAAGACAACTTGCGTAAAGGGAACACGCAAACTCCAGCTATACAAAGGAAAGCTTAAAGCAGGGTTGGGGAACCTGTGGCACTCTAGATGTTGTTGAGGTACAACTCCCAGAAGCCCCATCCAGCATGGCCAATGGTCAGGGATGTTGGGACCTGAATTCCAACAACATTTGGAAAGTTACTGCTTCTTCAACTCTTAAACTAAAGGTAATAGCACATGGGTTTTCCACAATGTGTTGATAGCAGTTTTTCAGTGCCGAGTGTTGACTGTTTATTTTCCCCACATTCATTCCTAGGAAGACATGCAAATGTTACACCTGAAAGTTAATACACATTCATTTCCCAGGGAAGAATTGGAATCCTTAGGCCCACTTCCACATTTTTTTTTTTAATGATATTTATTAAGCATTTTAAAGTTACAGAAAAAACAAAAAAAAGAAGAAGAAGAAACCAAGGGAAAAACAAACAACAATCAAACAGTACAAATCGATAAAAATCAAAATCAAAAAACAGAAACAAAACACATAAACCGCAAAAATCTAAAAAACATTCTTTAAAAAAATTAAAAACAAATCCAATATTCCCAAATCCTTAACTGTCATTACCTTATTTCATCGACCTCCTCACACCTCCCTTTTCTGTATTCTAGTTATTAATTATCACAGCAAATCCTTCCCATTTTTCATAATATTCTGTCATTAAATTACCTTAATCTATTTTAACCTTATCTTACTATAAAAAATCCTAAAACTTAAAACTTAAATCTTATTTATACCAATTTCTCATAACCATAGCATATTCTTGCATAGTTCTTTTTAACATTTCTACTAAAGCTAAATAATTTCGTTCCAACATTTTTCTAATACTCATTAATTTTACAAAACAATCCTAAATAAAAAATTTTAAAACTTTCTTCCAATCTTCATCCAATGTCTCTTCCTCCTGGTCCTGGGTTTTGTCAGTCCTTTCTATCCCATCCATCTAGTTCATTAACCTGGTATTCTTATGTCCGAGGCCCTTAAGTCTCTTCCATGTCCCTTCCGCAGATCTTCTTCATATTTATACCTGTACTTTGCTTTGTCTCCTGGTCCTTTCGCTCGTGGAAACTCCAACTTGACAGTATCTTTGTCCCTTCTCGACAGATCAGCCCCTTTTCCATAGTCCACATTGAGCTCCATGTAGTATTTAAAAGCATGTTTCAAGGTCCCTCCAGAGTTGAGGACCCCCACAGCCCCAAACTCCTTACGGCCCATTGCCAGACTTGAAAAGTCAAGACATCCCTGCATAGGGGGGTCTATACAGCCCCCCATCTCCAAACCAAGCAAAACTCTATCTCTCCAAATCTGGCTTTTTCCAAGTTCATTTGTCAGATCCAACAACTCATGTTCCTGCTGGGCCGCAGCTCCCTCCATCTCTGCCACCCGAGGTCCAGCAACAACCTCCTCCCTCATCTGATCTGTCAGAGCATACTCCTGAGTTGATTCCTGGGTGGGTTCTGTATAGATACCCACTACCTGTCCAAAATTTCTAATCACAACAGTCATCAAATCCGTCTTCTCATGTAACTGTTCCAATAGAGCACTTGTCTTGCAGAAAGCACGCACCAGAGCCTCTGAATACATTGTTATGCAAGGTCAGAAGTCTGTTCCCACGATCTTAATCTATTGCAGCTGCGAAGCTCCCCAGTTCGAATTTAATAACAGTTTCACAAGCTCCCTCTAGGGGAAGAACTTCTATTTGTATTCATCTCTTTTCTTTTTTCTTTCTTTTTTTTAACAGCAAATCTAACAACATAGTTTCCTTTTTCAGATATTTTGTCAATATTTGTTCCTTTAAAATGCGAAAGAGAACAGTGGAATCACTATGTTTCTCTTCTTTTAACTATCTGTCAAAAACATTTGTCCATAGTCAATGAACTTCCCAAAGACGTCTGTCCTGACACCCCGCTCCCAGGTTCAAGACGGTGGAAGATTACTTTTCTTTACACTCTCTTCTGGAAGTTTAAACAATCTGGAAAAAATCCCCCCTCTTCTCCTGCTTCCGAAGGGGTTCAGTAGTTTTAGATGATGAAAGTTGATTCTTTACAAACGATTTTCTGAACTCTAGTTTGCCATGTCTTTGCTTTAATCTATCTACAAGAAACGGAAGGCTGACTTCCTGTTTAGACCTTCCCGCTTCAGTGCCAAATTAAGAAGAATTTCTTAATCCAATTTTCCCTTCTACTCACAGATCGTTGTTTAAAGTCCAATTGTCCAAATTTGATCTGCTCACGGGTAGTTGTTTTTGTAGCCAAATTGTCCAGGAAAAAGGTAGCGCTCTCCGGCAACGGCTGTGCGGCTTCGCTCCACGGAAGAAGCAGTTGACTCTCAGCACCGCGCCACTAGCCCCTCTTCGCTCCGGAGCCCGTAATTGGGTTCCTTTACGGATTGGGGGGGCGCGAAGGGTGCCCGCCGAGTCCCATGGTCACAGGCTTCCTCCGCCTGTGATTTTTTAAAGGGTCCCCACTTCGCTGTAGCGGAACAAACCTGTTTTCCGTGGAGCCAGTCCCTCCGGATCAGAGGGAATCCGCCATTACCAATGGCGCCACCCCGGAAGTCCCCCACTTCCACATTTCAGCTGCCTATGCATCTTATCTCAGGAACAGATAATAATTTGCATTTGCTCCTTGGTAATGTTAAGTTAAGAAGAATGACATGTCATCACAGCATTCCTCTATCCCCACTCCATTTTCTTAGCTTTCATCTTTGGGTGGGCAGGAAAATGCTGAATAATAGTCTTATTATCATTCACACATTTTATTCAACCAAATGTTACTGGAGGGAACTAAGGGAGACATGGGAAGTGTTTCAGGTTAGTGGTGGCAGCCACATAATATTGATAGCATGTAGTTTGGGCCCAAGAGACAAATAAGCATTTGTGCACTTTGACTTCAGAGGAGGAGAAGAGTGATCTTAAATAATCCCTGGCTCTGCTATCCTTGACATGATGTGTATCTGCACGCCAGCATAATGTGTGCCATATTTTGCTTTGGTTCAACAGCAGTACCACACCACACCCTGGGCCTGAGGTCCATAAGGCAGAACAGGGAAGGTATCTACAAATCTAACTATATTACCACGTTGCTACCATAGCACAAGGATTAAGATTAACAAAATGTACTCAAATGGTTCAAGGAAGTGCATCCACCCAGTGTCCCCGGCCCAGTTTTCCTGTATAGAAGAAGAAAGAAAGAAAGAAAGAAAGAAAGAAAGAAAGAGAGAAAGAAACTAGGGAAATTGGAGAATCTGAACTATTTTGTTTTCCTTTGGAAGCAGTCATGATAATAAAAAAGCAATTAGTCACAGGCTAGTGAGCAGTTCTTTGTGCACAATGTTCTATGTAAAGCATCAGTCACACAGACTATCACAGAGGGCCCCAAAGGCAATTATAGTCGACAAAGAAAATAAACACAAGTAGGTTAGAATGTATCAGAGCAGAGGTAGGACCTGTGGGTGAGAGGGACTGACGAGGAACAAACAGAAACAGATCACAAGGATATCTGGGACTTCTTGAAGGGATGGGTAGGGTCACAGTGAACAGAAATAATAAAAAATATACAGATAATGAGGGCACAACTTTCCTTAAATAGAAAAGAGAGAGCATGTGTTACATTTGTGTGTATATGTGTTTAAATTGTTGCATGCTACCCCAATCTCTGAGTAGTGCAAGATTCCAGGGGTTCCAGGCACTTACCCAGGGTTCGTGTTTCCTTTGGGAATGAGGAACAGCGGAGACTGTGGTGTCTTTATGAGATATGGTTTATTCACACATATATGCAACCATGTGGCTACGATGGGGGGGGGGGAGCGGTTCCACAGCATTCATACGCCAATGAAGTCCTGCCACAGCCATAGATTCCTGCAGAAATCAGGCCTGGCTCTCTCTCTGCCTTTCCAGCGTGCAGCTTTTGCACCCAGCTCTTAGCTTACATCACAGCAAGCTTGTCTTAAAAACTCAGGCTTTGCCCTTCTATCTAAGAGTTGAAGGAGGGGCCGCACCCATTTGCTATTTGGCACAGAGTCCCCTTTGCCTTTATTCTCTTAAGGACTCATACTTAGTGGGCCATTACCAGGCTGGCCTGCCTATTCCAGGAATTAGAAGGGGGCCCAGGCATGCCCAAAAGCGTAAGAATATATAGCAGCTCTTGCACATTAAGTGCTATGAGGAGGGCTTATAAAGCATGTTTGTAAAATGTTTTGGGAAGTCAAAACATATCACTTGATTTAGATTTGCAAGCTGCTAAGTATCCTGGGGCAGCATCTTGTCCATTTTCCATTTTAAAGGGAAAGCTAACTAGGCACCCTTCATCAGTGACTTACCATCCCACGGCTGTTCAGCCAGCTAAACCTTGCGTAAGTCCCCCTCTGTTTATTTCAGGATAAATATAAATAATTGCCTAGGTAACCATTCATTCACAGGATGATGAATGCCATCACTTGTGCTCTTTGATTGCCTCCAGTAAAACGTCCTTTCTGTGAAAGACTATCAACTGATGAAGTGCTTCAAATCACTGTTACTTTATCACTGTTTAAATCATATGACCATGCAAATCTATTTGCAGTGGGCCCATGAAATTAGGGCTCACTGAGCCCTATAGTTATTCGGCTGTATGCAGCTGCCATATTATCATGCAAAGAATGATTTTTTAAGTAAAGAGAGCCAAAATATTGTATTATGTTTAACAAGGGCTACCCATTTACTATTTTATGTACAGTGTGCACATAAGTATCTAGTCACTCAGGATGATAAATATTCACTGCTCGATTTTCAAACATGGTTAATGAATGGTTAAAGGGAAATCATCTCTTTAAACCACCAGGAAATTGGATTTCCCTTCCCCTTATGCTTTTCCATAAGCCTTTTTCTAGACCAGCTTTTAAAGACAATGAGATGAGACTTATTACATTAGCTGTCCACTGAAGGTCAAACTGGTTCAGGTGTCTGCTAAGGTTTTCAAATAGGAAAATCAAAAATAAGTTCCATTGGGAATTGTCAGGATTTCAGCTTATATCTGTAGATTGTTTCTTAAATCATTCAGGACAAAATAAATTGAATTCCTGCATTGTTGATAGCCCACTTTCTCCACATTTTTATGGTCAATGATTCAACACGTTTCAGTTTAAATGATTAGACGTACAATCTGTGGCTGAATTATAAAGGTCAATCTGCCTGATTCATCGCTGAAAATTAATGCTCTTTTCTAGTGAATGTTTTCTAGATGGTATCTTAATCAAGCGCCAGACAAAAGAGGAGTAATTCATCACGAGCCACCTTTCCTACTTTAATTTCTCTTTACGTTAGAACACAACTTTATAATACTGGATTAATAATACATGCATCATATAGAGATACCACATTAATACTCATTATATAAATCATTAATGAATGCTTAATAACATTTAATTCCTTGTGGAGTTTGCTGGCAGTTGCATTAAGCTTTGTAATTTACAAACTATTCATACTTCGCTTGCAGCGATAGAGAAGGCTAATAATAATAAAAAAACCCATTTGTATGATCCCAACATATGCCTTCATGTGGGTAGCATTCAAGAAGGCTTGGCATTAGCCATGGTTTTATCTAGGGGTGCTGGCTCATGGGGGGATAAGCTGTTTTAGGCCCCCTTAGTATTTGGGGGGAGGGGCCCCCGGGCCCCCCATTGTGTAGGGCACTCAGACATGTGGGGCTTGGAGTGGCTCTTAATATCTAATGAGTGAAAGATGGATTATAAACATTTTAAATAATAATAAAATATCATTTATTTGACTTTATATAAAACAATTCCTTTCCCAAAACAATATTTGCTCTTTCTGCTACAGCTAAAATATATACCTGGTGCTGTTTTGTATTCATCACAATTGTTAGGTAAGTGAGTGGATTTATTATTATTATTATTATTATTATTATTATTATTATTAGAATCTAGAGTTTGTGCAAATCAATGAAGCAGAATCAGTTTAGTACATTAGATCTATGCACTCAACTCCCTTTTGGATTCAGCAAATCTTGCAGATGTGATTGTAATAGTGGAAAGCATATTTCAAACTGGTTGCATTAGATGACCCTTGGTCCCTTCCAGCACTAAAATCCTATGATTCTGTGATACTCAGTTTATTTTTCACTCTCCATCTATGGCAAAAAGTACACATTACTTTAGCATCAGAATGAACATATCCTGAAACCCAGGTTTTTTGGGGGGAACCCTCATGGGCCAAATTGGGACCAATGCAGGTCCAAATCTGGTCCATGGGTTGCCCACCCCTGGTCTATACTACAGTGGCTTCTAGGCTTTTCAGACAAGAGACCTTCCCAGCCCTTCCTGGAGATTTTGAGATTGAACCAGGGACCTTCTGCATGTAAAACAGATGTTATATCATTAAAACTATGGTCCTTCCCCCTTTTCATTGTGGGAAATTAAAATGGCATTCCGTACACTCAGACGTGTTAGAATTCCTGCTCCATGATTGCAGTCATGGGATTGTTGTCTATCACATGATGGTGTATGTTTTGACTCCACAGAGTGGGAAGTGACAGAGACAGGATGTTTGTGTTACTGTGTTCTGTGAAGTGGGACTATTGTCCTTTGTCTTTTTCTCTTTGCTGTCTGATGCTAGAGAGAGAGGGAGCCATGTTGCAGTGCTCCGTGTGTGTTTATATGTAAATAAAGTAGATTAGCCAAAATGCTGAGTTGCTGAGGTCTGTCACGCAAGTTGCAAAGACTCTGCGTATCCCTAAGCGTGCCGGTGTCGGTTGGCATCGATCGCTGTGATGTTCGGACAAAAGAAAGCTCTTGAAGCTCCCGAACGATTGACCAGGAGGGAGAGAACATACCAGTCGGGCATGTGTCTCTGCCAGGGTCCTACTCAAGTGAGGCTGAACTTCTGACAAGAAGATGGGGTAAATCACCCCACCCCACAAAGAAGGGCTCCAGACAGGCATCAGGCATGGGTACCGCCAGGTTGTTGGGGTCTCAGCAGCTGCAAAATGATGCTCAAAGTTTAAAAATGAATGCCAAGCGTTCTGCTAAAAGCCTGCTGAAAGTTCACATTCTGCAACATGAGGCACATAATGTTTTCCTTCTAAGGATAAAATTAATCTTACAAAGCAATGTGTCCTCATGAATGACACAGATATTAGGCATAAGAAACAGGTTTGTAATAAACAAGATATTTCTGGGTTCTTGCTGACAGGGTGTCATAGCAACAGCTTGAAGTTCTTGCCTAAGAGAAATATCTTCTTTAGAAATGAGGGACTTTGACATGTTTTGATAAGAAAGGTCACATGGAGGTAAAAAAAAACCCCAACCTATATGCATTAGGAAAGCTTCATATCTCTCTCGTATTGGAAACGAAAAAAGAACCCACCACGTAATTAAATTTATATTGTCTTATATGCTCTTCGGAGAAGAATGCTTTGTGCAAAAAGGTCAAACCATGAATTTAAATTGGGATATTATGATAAATGAAATGATCAGCATTGGTTCCAATTTTAGCAACCAAAGTGATTTCTTTTTTTTAAAAAAAATGATTCTAATTTAGGAACACTTCTTGGCCTCCCCTCAAAGGGAAATAATTATTGCCTGGATCTTCCTAGTAATGCCAGCTCTTTTGATCACTTGTTTCAAGAAGTGGTGATTTGGATCCAAAAGACACACCCATAGAGGGCTGGCCCTCTTAACTTATAGATCAGTGGCTAGAACCACATAGATAACCATGAACCTATATTGCTGGAGAAGGAAACTCTGATCCTAAACCTCTGCTGCCTTGTGGAACATCTTCGGGAGAAGAAACGGCTAAGGAGTAAACCCTACACAAATCCAGAGTGGAGTCCGTGAGACACTTGGATAACATCCTGTATCGCCTCCTTCCAGCAACTCCTGCAGCCAAGCTGGTGCCAAACTTATCGTACTGCTTTCCTTTGGACCACATCAGTGAGGCCGAGAGGGGGGTCTTGTCATATGGGCAGCCCTGGGGAGGCAACTTCAGTATTGCTGATGCAACAACACCAACACAGGATGCAGCAGTTACAGGTCTCCAGCAGTTTGATGTCACCCTGTTGTCTCTCAAGACAGATGGGTGCCAACAACAATAATATTGATGGGGACTACGTTTTGTTTTCAATGGATTTTGACTACTGTTGTGCTAATTACTTTCATTTCTACAGAGTCTGTGCAAGAGTGATTGATCTAAAGTTCTGTCTACATTCTGATGTCTTCTCAAAGGTCCTTTTTGTGGGGAGTTTACAGTTCCAATAGGATCCATACTGGCACAAGAAATGACAAGTTCTAGGCAAGGGATCTCTCTCTTTCTCTTTCTTTCTCTCTCTCTCTCTCTCTCTGTGTGTGTGTGTGTTGAAGCTTTTGCACCTGGGTCAGATATGCTGAACAGCATTCCCTGCCCCTTCATAATTTGTAGCCTCAAAAGGAATTGATGGATCAGAAAAAATTTAGTGACTCAAATGACCACTTTTCAGCCTTTTGCCTTTTTCAGCCTGAGGGTGACATACCCTCATAGACAAGCTTCTGGGAGCCGACTGCAAGTGATGGGCAGCGGCCAGAGGCAAAAGTGGTTGGAACAAAGGATGTGACTCTAATCCTTATACTTTATCTAGACTCCAGAGAACAATTCAGGTATGTAGAATTGTAATGGAGTTGTGACTGGAGAGTAATATATTATTGCAAAAAAAGAAAAAGGAAAAAAAAAAGAAACTTGCCAGCTAAGATAGTTCATATTCTTTCTGAGATCATAGTTCATACATTTTGTCCTGAGTTTGTTAAACATTTTAAAAAATTCTCTGCTGATGTCAATTCAGATAAAGTATATTACTATAGTACCCATGTTGCATTGGGTGAGACTTTGGTAAGAGAGTCCTATGTAAAAGGAGAACAACTCTCCTTTTGCTAGAGGGTGGAGGAAATAGTGGGTGACAAACATGAAGTAGTACCATTGTTTTAACTTGTTTTAACTTGTTGGGGTAGGGTGTGTGGAAGGGAACCTTCTCTTTACACACACACACACACACACACACACACACAGTGCAAATTCCCCCCAGTGGCACAAACAGGGGCATTTTTCAGGGTGTCTAGTTTTGTGGATTGGGGGTACGGCAATCTATTTGCAGTGGGATAGTGAAGAGAAATCCCTCATGTGCAGTCTTCCCAGTAAGGATCAACTCAATGGCTAGGCCAGTAATTAATTAAAGACAATTCATAGCTGCACGCTGCACACTGAGCGAACATCTCATTCGGCCTTAAGGCTGCAGTCCTATGCACACGTACATAAGGCATGCCACTTGCTGTAGAGTGGGCTGTATGAAACTACGGGGACAACAAGATTTATATTTATTTGTGGCACAAAGAAACTAGTAAGAGACTGTGCCCCCTCCTTCTCAACAATGGACCTGCCATTAGTAAGCATGCCTGGGAACCAAAGGACACAGAGATAGGATGGCTGTCACCCATTGCCAAAAATCTCTTATCTCCTTATACATACTTTCTAAGAGAAACACACACTGACTCCTCCAGCATTGCCCAAGACAGATATTGTCAATGTAATATGAATTTCAACCTATAAATGATATGTAAATTTGACACCGAGAAAAGCCCATGATTTGGTAACTGGATGGATAATCCCTTGAAGTTATGATATTTACAAGGCAAGACATACACTGAAGGTTAAGCTGCTTCTTATCAAAAGTGACAGGATTCATGAGCACTGAGATTCTGAATTCTGTGTCACTTTTTTAAAAAGCACATGTACGCATTAAAAAAACAACACCTGAGTCATATACACTGATGGAAAGGAAAAGCTCGCGCAATTACAGCTGGGGCTAGTTAGCTTTTAATAGGAAGACAAAGTCAAGGACTACATACATAACAATGCCTGTCATCATGAAAGTGTTCTGTGATATAATTCCATTGCAGAAGGTATAATTCTGGCTCAAATCACGATTCCCTGACAACCTATTTCACAGTAGCAAGTTTTCAAGGGTTTTGTAATCATGGATAATGTACAGATTTACAATAATGAGGTGTCCATGAGTAGAACAGCAAGATTATGACCCATTATTTTCTCTCAGACACATTCATGGCATGTATCAGTATGAGCAATATCTCTGAAAGAGATAATATTTTTTGGTGAATGACGTTAAGTAAACACGTTGAGTATATTAAAACCCACCTGTTAGTGATTGCTAACCCTGGAGTATGGCTCTACAAGGCTGTGACCAGAAAACGTTGCTAAGAAGAAATTTAAAGTAAATTTAGGAGCCCCTCTTTTGGTAAGACACCTGAGGAATTCCAAGGGGAGCAACGTTTCGGAGTCATGATGCTAGACTAGCAGCTCTTATGCTTTTAATGAGGTGCCTTTGGATTACCTTGTTCTCATCCCGAAATAAGTATTAATAGCAGAGTGTTACCTCTTATAATGGAGCTCATGTCCATGATTCCATTGAGGGGAAAAAGGAGTGAGTGGGTGTTCAACACCATGACATTCCCTGACTGTCCGTCCTGGAGTTATAAGGGTATACATGTGCATAATTAGCTTGAGAAAATAAGTGGGACTTGTCTATACTCCATGAAAAAACCCTTAAGTTATTTATTTAGTAGTGCTACAACAGAGGATTACTGACACAGTGATGGCAATTGCTGGTATGTTTGGGGATTATATGCAGCTGCTATTACACCACCACCACTAAGGCACCAATGGTTGCTACTATATGTTACTGGATTAGTGAAGCATTTAAAATTATTGCAAGTCTTCTGCACTGCCGCTTGATTCAAATTATGCTTTGCATTACTGCATTTCAGTAATAACCAAGTCCTAAGAATGCAATGGGATAAAATTTCTGTCATGACCAATTTGTCTCATTGCTTTCAGCTGCAATTAGTGGCAACTGGCCTTTGCAGGAATAGGAATTATATCAGTAAGCTCTGTTGAACGGTATATTAATTACAGGCAGTATCAATAAACTGCATACCAAATAGGAGAGATTATGTACTATAACAGTTAACTATGCAGATGAGGCTTCTATAAGAGCAAATATCCCAAATCTTCTTCAGCAACAAGAAAAATAGCAAAAAGTAACTTCAGTGACAGCAAAGATAGGCTTAGCTTTACCTTCAAAATTCATCCTAATCTTTCAATGAATTTAAAATCCTTCTTAGTTCCAGTTTGATGGACTTTCAGGACACACTCTCATTTTTAAAAAAGAAGAAAAAAGATACCTTGGTGCTTGTCACTTGAAATGGAATTTTTGAACCATTTGTAACTGGGGATGTCTGTCTCTCAGTTGGTCTTGAAGGGATTATATTTGTAGTGGGAGGCTGATTGTGCAAAACTGAAGACAGGCAGAGTTGTACGGTCTCCTTCAGAGCCTTCAGCTGTGACTCCTGAGGGGGGAAAATGTCATTCGATCTTAACAAGAGATTACAGAGGATCATATTTTACTCTGCGCTTTTTATGTTCACACTCTTTACAATTTTCAGCAACTAAAAAAAACTGAAAGAAAGCCAATGTATGATCGAGCACACAAATGAAAATAGGAACCAGGCATGTGACACAATGGCTAAGTGTACTATTCCATTTTCTTTTCCATAGGAAAGAGGCATTTCTGTTTGGGAACTCCTAGCTTGTTTCTCACCTCAGCGATCTGTGTTTCACACACTGGAAAGAGGACAGGATGGCAGTAGATTGCCTGCCCTTGTGCTTCTTCCAGCCTTGGGTCAGCAACTTAGCTTTGGCCATAAAAAAACACAGTTTCCAGGTGGTATGAACTGGTCCAGAATGCCTTAGAAGGTGTGGCTCTTCTGTGTTAGATTCGATAAAGCAGCTGCTAGGTGGCCACATATAACGAACGCTGTGCATTGGATTTCTGACATTATCAGGGAACACTATGTTTCTAAGGGGAACGTGAGAGGTTCCAATAATCCAACGCACTGCTAACCCTACACCTTTCCTCACTGCTGCTTGTACAACAACCCTCAGGATGTTGTGATGGTGATGTGGGAGTAAGGGGTATAAACAAGCCCCCCATGGGAAGACTCAAGCCCCTATCTTCTGTCTCCCATCACAGTCCACAACTGGACTACCAGATGGATTTTGGTTGCTGATCCATGTGAGCATTTTGTTCTGGTTTTCACCCTTTCCTTGGATATGTATCCTCTTGCAAAACATTTGTTGTCCTCACTTGGGCACCTGGACATTTGTGCTAATTTCTGAAAAGTGTCTATGTGGGGAATATTAGGTACTGGAGAGGACATCAGCTATGTGACATGTGCACTGGATTATTGGTGCCTTCATGTGTACGATGAAAGCATTATCAACAAGACACATCCACCAGTGACTATTGGTGTGTTTGCTGCTGTTTCTGGGGATTTCATTATGGTGTTGCCTCTGCTGCTGGTGGAACAAAGAATCACCTCACATTATGCTGGCATCAGCCCAGGCATAGTAGCCACCTAGCTAGATGAGATTGCTTTATATTTTACAACATATTCCTGTCTCAAGAAAATTTTCACACAGCACACATTTTCTCTCTGTAATGATGCTCTGTGCTATAGGTCTTACAACATCACATCTTTTGGGTCCCAGCTGTATTTGGGTATTTGAAGTTGTAAAAGTCATAATGATGCTCTTGCCCCTTACCCGGCATGTTGAGAGAGAGGAAAGAGAGATGGCTCTTCTTCATCATCTTCAATGAACAAATGCCTGTACTTAGACTGTCATACTGCAAGAACATCCCTCCTCTCCAGGGGGAATACTCATTATGCATACAATCAAATATATGTCTACAGTTTTACAAGAATAAGATCCTACGTTGTCATATTAGACTGCAATCACTGTCTATTAATAGAGCTGAAAGATGTGCTCAGAAGAGTTCTTACTTTGTCAAGAGCTGCTTTCTCCAATTCTTCTTTTGCAATTGCTAGTTTTTGTTCCAAGTCTGTAAGCTGCTGTGCCTGTGGGAAATTTAAAAACAAATTAGCTGGTATAAATTATAACCCTATTTCGTCTAACATTTCTGTGAGGAGGGTGCGAGAGTTTTACTTTGGAAGGTAAGAAAAATAGATGAAATAAAAAACCCCATCTTGTCAATATAACAGATTCTCTGGGGAATATTACAATTGATAAATTGAAGGAGGCCTTTGGTGTGGGAACATTTTATTACAGTATCTAAATCCAGCCTCGTTCAGATGAATGTTTTGTCATTGATTTGAAGGGGAGGTGGGGAATCTCATCTTGTGTTAAAATATTTACAATCCCCATCAAAGCATAAGCATTTCATACACAGTTGGTAAATAAATACTGCATTGTATGTTTCTAAGATGAACTACATGTTGCAAACATGTGGAAAAAGCTAGATTTTACTTCTCCTAGTGGAGGAAATCATCTTTAGGATAGGTAATGTGGAGCAGAAAAGCCAAGAGGAGTGTTTCCTTATTTTTTTCTACTCTTGTCACATCTCTATGCAAATTGCTTCACCTCCTTACATTTCTTTCATCTCACATGCATGTTTGCATATCCAAACATGTTGGCTCATGTAGATAGAAAACCTACCTGAGGGTGGGCATGATTAGAAGTAGGAAAAGTGCTTCCTTTTGACCCCTTCTAAGACTACTTTTCTGTATAGGGTAGTGTGAAAAAATGTGCTCCTAACTGCTCCTATTTATTTCATCCTAGATTTTTCTCGAACCACTGGATAGAAGATTTGTAGCTTAGGCACTGCTTCATTTCTTCAACCTAAGGAACCAGCTATTTTTTCAAAGGTGTTCCACTTCCTTGCTTCCTTTCTGATAGACCTCAAAGTACTAAGCTACATGCCTTGTTTCACTTCTTCTTCTTCTTCTTCTTCTTCTTCTTCTTCTTCTTCTTCTTCTTCTTCGTCGTTATACTTACCCTCTGAGAATGACATACTGCTGCTATTTGAGCTGGCCAATTGTTTTAGAATAGACTTCTGGAGACTTGTTCTCCATAGAAGGATTCATTATGGCAAAGCAGACTAGCACTGTACCAGTGCAGCCATCTGCAGGGAGCTCAACAACCCCTTGGTATTTGAAATAATGGACAAGGCGGTTGGAGGATGGATGGCGGCTAATGGATTGAGGTTGAATCCTGACAAGACAGAAGTACTGTTCTTGGGGGACAGGGGGCGGGCTGGTGTGGAGGACTCCCTGGTCCTGAATGGGGTAACTGTGCCCCTGAAGGACCAGGTGCACAGCCTGGGAGTCATTTTGGACTCACAGCTGTCCATGGAGGCACAGGTCAATTTTGTATCCAGAGCAGCTGTCTACCAGCTCCATCTGGTATGCAGGCTGAGACCCTACCTGCCAACGGACTGTCTCACCAGAGTGGTGCATGCTCTAGTTATCTCCTGCTTGGACTACTGCAATGCGCTCTATGTGGAGCTACCTTTGAAGGTGACCCAGAAACTACAACTAATCCAGAATGCGGCAGCTAGACTGGTGACTGGGAGCAGCCGCCGAGACCATATAACACCAGTCCTGAAAGACCTACATTGGCTCCCAGTACATTTCCAAGCACAATTCAGTGTTGGTGTTGACCTTTAAAGCCCTAAATGGCCTCGGCCCAGTATACCTGAAGGAACGTCTCCACCCCAATTGTTCTGCCCGGACACTGAGGTTCAGCGCCGAGGGCCTTCTGGTGGTTTCCTCACTGTGGGAAGCCAAGTTACAGGGAACCAGGCAGAGGGCCTTTTCGGTAGTGACGCCTGCCCTGTGGAACTCCCTCCCATCAGATGTCAAAGAGATAAACAACTACCTGACATTTAGAAGACATCTGAAGGCAGCTCTGTTCAGGGAAGTTTTTAATGCATGTCATTTTAATGTATTTTTATTTTTTGTTGGAAGCCGCCCAGAGTGCTGGAGAGACTCAGCCTAACGGGTGGGGTACAAATGATAAATTATTATTATTATTATTATTATTATTATTATTATTATTACTACTACTACAATGGAATATGTCAGAAATTATGAATGGTCTGGGAGATGGGCTTGTGACAATGAGTGTCACAGCACCACCCAAATGGACACAAATATGCTCATTCCCCATATTGGAGGGAGTAGAATCAGTGCTGCTTACTGGGGCCAGGAATAATTATTCTTAAAATAGAAACCATGTCTTACAATGAAACTAGCAAAATTATTAGTAGTATAATTGTTCTATTTGTAAATTTAAATGGCTTTGTGGAGACATCCAGTGTTTATATAGGGAAAGGGAGAAAGGACACTGGACCAGATGGTTATCTCTGCTGTAATACATTTTTATGAGGCATTTAACTTTTTCTTTTTTTTTTGCACATGAATTGCCCTGCAAGGTTTTAACTCATAAGTCATAAAGGACATCACATTTAGGGCTCTTGGCTAAATATTTCCAAACAGGCAATTGCTAGAGCTTACTGCTAATTTTTCCCAAAGATGCCACCATCCAGATGTCTGACTTTCATATTTCCTTTACAGAACTACAGGAAGAGACACTTTCAGCCTCTCAATCATTAATGTGTGGCATTGGCAGGCTGGTAGTTGGCATGAAATGCAAAATAAAAAATAAAAAATGGCATGCACTGAATTAAGATATGATGCTAAATATATTAAATAGACTCTGAGCAAAAGCAATGTCAAAGTGAATGGGAATTCTTCCACCAATATGAAAAGTAAATTAGGAAGGTTCAGTGAAAAGTTAGATATTTTAGAATCATAGAATTGTAGAGTTGGAAGGGACTACGTTGGTAATCTAGTCCAACCTCCTGTAATGCAGGAATCTCTTGCCCAATGTTGGGTTCAAACCCATGACCCTGAGATTAACAGACTCATACTCTACCAACTAAGCTATAAATCCCAGTGAACTGAATGCAGGATTTCAGTCCACACAAGGACTTGGATAGTCAACTTAACTGTGGAGACTCAAGCCCAAATATCTAATCAACCCCTCTCAGTGGGTGCTCCTGAATCAAGCTAAGTATGTGCAAGTATGTTTTTTGTAGGAGTACCCATAGTGCAATATTTCATCCAAATTTATTACAGTGGGTTACAGATGAAGTTCAGGAGAGAACAGCCTTTGCTGAGAAGAAGAGAGGGGAAAAATATTGTGCTATTTATTCCCCCTTCTCCCAAATAACACCAGGAGTTTTGTGTGCTCCAGAACAAGAACGGAAGAGTTTTCAGCCTTCAAAGAGGAGAGCCCACCTAAGCTGAAATTGACAAAGAAATCATCCTGGCATGCTAGAATGAACACTTTTCCATGAACAGCATGGAAAAGTTCAGAAATGACCCATGCCAGTTCCTGCACATCATCAGCTCACCTTTGTAAAGCAATGTCCTAATGGCTTAGAGTTAGGAAAGATCTGATGGACTTTCTAGTTCAACCTCGGTATCAAAACAACCTAAAACCCTCTGATGGATGCCATTCTTTTCTTGAAAATCCATCAGTGAGGGAAATTCCAGAATTCCTTAGCTATGATACAGTGAAGCTACGTAAACCAAATCCATCTCCCTGTAATTTAAATCCAGTTTAATCATCTCTAATTTTGGGAATGAAAAAGCAGCACCTGGAAGAATTTGACACCAAAAAATATTTTCTTGCCATGGCTGCCATTTGCAGTCCTTCCAAGATAGAAAATAATGAGCCCAATAGCGTATAAACATTCTTATTCATATCAGTAAATCCATTAGTGGTTTAGCCAGAACAGTCTTTTAAACAAAATATATATGCATAGCCCTACCTATCATTTAATCCCATTTCATGAGAAAGAGAGAGGGAGAGGGAGAGAGAATGTGTGTGTGTGTGTGTGTGCGCGCGTGTGTGTGCATGTATGCACAAGCGTGTACATGCATTTTGGTTCAACTGATTGACTTTAATGTCTGAATCTCTTTCACAAATCCTTTTTTCATTCACAGGCCATTGACTCAATAAACTGGAAGTATCAATCCTCGGCTGATCGCCGAAGAATTGATGCTTTTGAATTATGGTGCTGGAGGAGACTCTTGAGAGTCCCATGGACTGCAAGAAGATCAAACATATCCATTCTTAAGGAAATCAGCCCTGAGTGCTCACTGGAAGGACAGATCGTGAAGCTGAGGCTCCAGTACTTTGGCCACCTCATGAGAAGAGAAGACTCCCTGGAAAAGTCCCTGATGCTGGGAAAGATGGAGGGCACAAGGAGAAGGGGACGACAGAGGACGAGATGGTTGGACAGTGTTCTCGAAGCTACAAACATGAGTCTGACCAAACTGCGGGAGGCAGTGGAAGACAGGAGTGCCTGGCGTGCTCTGGTCCATGGGGTCACGAAGAGTCGGACACGACTAAACGACTAAACAAAACAAACAATCAATCCTCCTGCCACATAACTTGTATAACAAACCTGCAGTAGAAAGCTGTTTGGTTCAACAGATTGATTGGTCATTTGGAAGTCAATCATGCTTAAAACCTCTACCTTTTTATTGTTAGATTATTCCTAAATTCCTTTTCAAAATTGTTAAGGGGAAAAAAACGTTCATAGGTTTCCACTTTGCATTAAAGATGATGAAACATTTATCACTGTAGCAGATGAAGATTAGCCATTAGACCCAAGACAAAACCTGCACTCTCCCCACCAGTACTTCTCACCCTATCCTATCTCACAGGGTTGCTGCAATGATACAATTGGAATGCAGCTAACCCTGTGCTGCCCTGAGAACATTGGAAGAAATGTGGGGTTCAAAAAGGGATAAAATCAGTTGTGGTGTTCAGCCTTCTAAAATGAATTCTCAAGCGCATATGCTGGCCACGGTTAGCATCCAAAAAATGGCGAGTAGAAGGCTGGGGGCCTTTCACAGCTCCCACCCTGGGCCTTTGTGTCCCCAAAATACTTAGAATCATAGAATCATAGAATCATAGAGTTGGAAGAGACCACAAGGGCCATCGAGTCCAACCCCCTGCCAAGCAGGAAACACCATCAGAGCACTCCTGACATATGGTTGTCAAGCCTCTGCTTAAAGACCTCCAAAAAAGGAGACTCCACCACACTCCTTGGCAGCAAATTCCACTGTCGAACAGCTCTTACTGTCAGGAAGTTCTTCCTAATGTTTAGGTGGAATCTTCTTTCTTGTAGTTTGGATCCATTGCTCCGTGGAGGGCTCTCCTTGGAGGGCTCTCCAGAACAATCTGTGCTGTGGTTCAGGGGCTGCTGTTGGAAAGAAAATCAGTGGAACTGGTGACAGTCTGGTGCTTTCTGCTTGCTTCAGAAGGTAGGTTATAGCCCTCCAGGTTAAGGTGGGGAGATCATTATACTTAGGAAATGTAACTGGGAAATGAGGGAGAAACAATCTTGGGTAGTCATTATGAGAGGCATAATGAAAGTTAAGAAGTAATAGTAAAGTAGTTTATCACTTCAGTACTGGGAACAAAGGCACAACATCAGAAGTGAACTTTAACAGATTAATGCTGCTTTTTTCAAGTGCCAGTTATGAAAGTCTTAGCAATTGTTTCTCTCTACTGCAGTGGTTTCCAGACTTGCTTCATTTAAGCAACCCTTTTGATATTAAATAATCTACCAAGGAATCCCCACACATTTTCCACAAATTCCCAGCACTTTGCAGAGGACTCTGTCCAGGGAGCACAATAGACTTCACATTTCTTCAAGACAACAGACAGACCTGTTAGGTTTCATCGTTGCACGCAAACCAAAATCCACCATATGTATATCTGACAAACAAATATGAACGTAACATCTTACAAACACAGAACATAAAATGTGATATAGCATGTAAATGATGTGTATTATATCTAAGGCTACCTACTTATGCAATATATAATGTAGAACAGAAACAGAATGAATACATATTGTTTTTCACATGGTACACATGAAATTCTAATAGGATTAAAGTTCCATTAATGAAATCCGAACTCTACATCAGCTCCTGTGAACCACAGCTGAAAAAAGCCAATGTTCCTCAAAGTTGTCTTAATGAGAATTCACATTTAAGAAAACTTAATATCTAATAAACATTCCAAGCATAGCTACTCTTGAATACTATTGATCTAATGGAAGATTTCAAATATTGTCCTGATCAGTAGAGTGGATCCTAAGGAAAGGGCTCTTAATTACAGTGCAAGATCCTTGCTTAAGAAAAGAGAATTAAAATTCATCAGTGTGCTACTGCTAACACAAGGTATTGTGCAGTCGCTTGCACAAGGTCATGCACAATTTATAAAGATAGTGTTTGCACTAAGTCCATATTGCACTAAGTTTTCAGGAAGTTCCTCCATTAGTTTGTCGAACAGGACTGTCACCAGAATTTATGCCAGCCCTAATATTTCTAGAGTAATTTTAAAACATCCTTGGAAGTCTCTTCTGCCCCACCATAGTGAAATGTTTATTTTATTTTAATATTCCCTGCTTCCTAGAGATCACAGTGTATTCCAAGTGGCCTTTCATAGTTAAATTGGATGCTATGTTACCAAATGAAACTTTTTTCAGTATGTTGCGCATAGTTTATATCAGAAGCAATTATATATTAAAAGGATCTTGAATTAATTAATTTCATTGAAAAATGAAAAGAAAATGAGACAATATGTAAACACTGAGTATAAGAGGGCCTTCCTAAAAGAACATTCAGTAATTGTAATAATTATCCTTTCATATGCATATCCTATTTAGTTTCAGAATCTTTCATTTTGTGAACTGCAATTGTATACTTGAGAACAATTCATTGTTTCTAATTAAATCCTTTTCTTTCTTTTTTCCTTTTTAAAAAACCTGATCTACTCTCAGGTTACTTTCGGGTATACATGTTTAACGTTTCACTGAAAAATTAAAGACAGATAATAATTGTTTTGTCCAATTATACTGAAGAGTTAAATCCTGGTGACCTTAGAAATAATTATCCATTAAAAGTTTTGGAAATGACAGATGAGACGAAAAATAATGAGCAGTTTACAACTGAAGAAGTTGCTGGCAGAGACTACTGTAGTTCCCTTTTATCCCATTCTAGCTAAGACCTCTTCAGGTGTTCAGTCTGAATGCATGAAGGAGCGAGGGAAACATGCTTTGTGGGCCCCACCTCTTCAATGATTCTGCATGCGCCGGGCACATTCCATGGCCAATGAATGATTGACTTGAGCCTTACTCACACATACGGCTTCCAACAAGGGGACAGGAACCCTGGTCAATCACATATGATTCCTCAGCTCGATTTAGCAGCCAGGACTGCATATGTGTAGCCCTGTCAAGTAAGGTGGAATTGAATGAATGAGCTGTCCAGGAGAGGGAAAGGGCTGAAATTAAGTCCCCACTCCCCTTCTAGTTCAGTGAATCGGTGTACTTTCCAGTTTCTCTTACATGGTGACCAGAGCCAGCCCACCATGTTTTGCTACAAGAGGAAAAACAGAAAAAGGCTGCCCCCTCCTTCTCTTCCCCTGCTGTGTGTCTGCTGGGGACAGTGAGCAGGTGAGCAGCAGGGGAGGGAGAGGAAGCAATGGTGATGGCCGACAAGAGCAGGGCATGCTCCATGGAGGCCTGATCTGCTGCCTTTCCCAGCTATCCGGAGCTCACTGCCCTGAGGCAACTGCCTACTTTGCCTCATGGGTGGGCTGGCCCGAGAGCAACATACGGTAAATGTAGCCACAGCTTCTGCATGCATAGATGGTAGCATCACAGTCATGATGTTTAACATTTGATTCACTTGTGGCAGTTTTTCCCTACATGGAGAGAATTTTCATTTTGAGGGAAAACATGTACATAGTCACTTGATGCCTGTAGTGTGTTTATTATAATTGTGATGACATTCTTCAGGAAAAAGCCTGGCCAGATTTATAGCTAGATTTATCAATTTTATCTTTATTATGACTGGTTTTTTTTGTTTACTATTCATTAAGTAGGCAGATCCTCCTCATTCTTTTACTCCTGTTATTAATGACGTGTAAATTTATGCTGTAAACCGTCCTGTGATCTTCAGATGAAGGACAGTATATAAATTTAATAATAAAAATAAGGTCCTAAGTAGATATGTGCCACTGGAATGCTTGCAGATCCTAACACTGCCCACACACAAAATATGGATATAATTCTAATTTGGGCACAAATTCATACAGACATGCAGCCCTGCATATGTTGCCTGCCTTGTATGCTCTCTCTACACACCCATGCGTATCTCATGTACACAAGAGTTCACCATAGAATTGTAACTACTCTACTCATCACAGACACCTCTGGAGCAGAAAAACTTTCATAACTATCTTTAGAATTAGAGGTTTCAGAATCCAAACAGATGTTTCTGGAATGGGAAACAATAATTTATCAGAACACTGGTGGAATTTTTTAAAATAACCTTCAGAACTCACTCTGTGTTTTTGACAAACCACTTCCCAACCAATTTTCTTTGAGCATACACTCATTTCAGACTGAAAATAAAAGTGTTTCTCTACATGCCCTAGAGTGTAGGGATCTGGACCAGAGATCTGCAAGACAGTAATAAATATGACGTTACGTTATTTTTCAATTTTAGCTTTCAGAGTTAAATAGTCAAAACACGGATAAGCAATGTAATTTAAACATTGCTTATTCCTGCATAGACATGCATATGATTGCATTGTAAGTGACTTTATTTCTGTTACTGTTTATATATCTATATCTCTCTTTAAGCATAATTGTCTTTGTACTGCAGCTGTACATTCTATCTTTTCCCAAATTAAAAAATGAATCAACAGTGTACACTGTTAACTTGTTCTCTCCGTATTAAAAGTAGCTAATTACATATCCTAGCATATCCTAGCAAAACTGATATTCCAGGGAGAATAGAAGCTATAAACACATTTCAGCAACAAAAAGATTTCTTCACTATTAAAATGTAAAGTACTGTTATCTCCTCAAATTGAAATCCCTATAAAATGCATTTTTATAGTGCCATCAATCTGTCAACAGCTTGCTCTGTGTAAGTAAACTTCAGTTTAATCAACAACACTCATGGCAAGACACAAATGCCATGATGACTTCAGTTTCTCCTATGCTTGGGGCCTGAAATACTCTCAAATGTTGCAAATGTCAGACTCCTTTCAGTATGTCAGTGCTAGTCAGCCCAGTTTCATACACCTTGTGATCTCCCCTGAGCTGAATGCAGCCAGGTATTGAAGCCTCACAAGGTCTTCTTGACTGAAGAGTGAAGTAATAGTGCTTTAAATAATAATAATAAAAATCTGTCCTCCCCACCTCACCAAGACAACTTAGAGACTGGCTGGTGACACAGTAGATAGGTATATTATCAGAAGGACTACAAAGTGATGCCATTATGGGTTCCATAATGGTTTCACCTCTATGGACTCTGGTCCATGGAATCCAGGTTCCCAAACTTTGTGTGACACCATCCTTCATTGCTAGAGATGCTCATAATTCCCCTTGCTACTAGGCTTAATCTAAAGTAGCCATTCAGTTTTGTTTTCATTGTGTTTTCCCCCCTGCTTTATGTTCAGTGCCTGTCTGAAACAACCAATCCCAAGATTGTTCCCCAAATTTTTGCTCATCTTATCTGAACCTGCTCTTCAAAGCGCAAAACTGAGATAAAATAGAGGAGAGCATTTGTGGCTCTTGCAGGGGCTCCTAGAGTAATATCAGAAATAAATTAAAATTATTGTTTGCTTCTCCCATCTCCTTCTGCTGTCTGCCCTATTATTAACATTTAAATTGTAAGCTCTGCAGGACACAGATTTATTTTGTAACTGATATGTATATTTAAGCTGTCATGTATATTAAAGGTGCTGTGTAAATAAAAAACAATAGAAATACATTCTAAATATGACATCCTTAGTGCAAAAGGTTACTGACTGTAGTTCAGGAAGAGTATGTATGATATAACTACGTGAGATCTTGTCTAAGAAGAAAGGTTAGTTACAAAGTTTAAAAGACATAAAACATAATAATTTCACTCACTGCATGTACATACATACATACATAAGAAAAAACTAGATATGTTTGTGAACAAGACATAGCAAAATAAATGGGGTTGTTATGTCAGTTCACTGCACTAACATTACTTAAAGAATTTATAGCAGCTTTTGAATATGAAGAAGTAGATATTTTCCCCTTGTGAAAGAAATTTCACAGTGGTGACTTTGTTAAAGATGAGAAATAGATATAGAAACTCCCAGCTAAATTCAATATGTTATCTTAATAACAAGAGACGTAAGCCTGGAGACAAGAATCTGAAAGATATTATATTTTTATTACTGAACTGCTGTTAGCATATTGTTTGCAAGAATAAGTACTGAAACCTATTTTATTCTGGATGGGCACACTAAGGATTTCAGAACTGGCAGTGGCTTGCTTTTTTTTTTTTTTTTTTTTGCAAAAAACACCCCACTCCAACAGCCCTACCCTTATCAGCAAGACTCTTTACCAAACCATTCTCTTCATCAATAATGTTTTCTCTAGGAGAAAAGAATCTATTGCCTTAGAATTTCATAAGCTGAAATTAACAATCAGTCAAGAAAAACTGGATTTTTTTTTCATTTCCCCCAAGGTTGTATTGAAATGTTCATTTCTTCAAAAACTGAAAAGAATGTAAGAGTGATGCTTGAAACTCAAGATAAAACATGCTAATGTACACTGGGCTTTTAATGTAGCTTCTAAGCACCAAAGTCAATTACATTTTATGTCTTCATTCATGTATATCACCGCTTCAGTAAAATTAGGGTGTCTCCTTACCTACTGCTGTTAGGGGTTTCATGAAATAGCAGTTCTCAGTGTCTACTAATAGCTCAAACCCAGGTGTGTTACTTTCTATATATATTACGGTGAACTTATGCAAAGGAAGGTAGAGCTATTTTACCATAAAATAGGAAAACCAACCTCAGAAGATGAGGCTTTGGCCAGCCACATATGACCAGGTAAGTGAAATTTATGATGTTTAAAAGGGCAGTTTCCCATTGCATTAGGTTTCTCTAATGATGCACATAAGGAAATATCATCTGTAAATATTGTGGTAGGGTCTGAGGCAATTGCAAGCACAGCAAGATGCCAAGAAGACTACTGGGGCAACGACAAGAGAAGATTTGGGAGTAGGAAAAGAAAAGAAGCTTGAAGGACATTTTGGGGAGGCCTGATATATGGGCCACAAGGTAAGTTGCTCTACTGCAACCTGGAGAATACCTTCCAATTCATCACTGCTTCAGGAGACAACACAGAACTTAGGTTGTCCCCATTTGCCAATCCAATCTCTTATGAGCGCTGCAGCATACCTGAAATCTGACTCAATATGACAGGCAATTCACTGCTGCTGTGCATTTCAATAAATGGCAGTTTTGAAGATGCAGTGAGAATCTCTGTGTCTCATGCTCCACCACCTTTGTGTCAGGAACAGACTGGAGCCAGAAGCGTATGTGACTTTCTGCTTGGAGAATGATCCCACTGCCAGTCCCAGCATGGCTGCTGGTTGGCAGATCTTGATAAATACTCTGACACCAACTCCCTAAATGATGTCCCACTACAGGAACCTACAGATCTGAGGGATTCAATGTGCCCTGGCTCATCACAGAGCCTATCCCCTCTACACTCATTGCCAAAACCCCAGGAGCAAATGGCAAATGTGGTGGCAACTCTAATCAGGTGGCCAGGCCAAGAGGTGCAGTGCGTACCTGGTAGTATGAACCCAGAATGAGCCTCATTCTAGAGGGGAGGAAGTCTCTATGCATCACCTGGATCAGGCACCTGCTAATGTTGTGGTTCGAGGACCCGATCCCCGCATAGTGGAATGAAACACAAGGACACATGATATAAGGTTAATGGGCAAGAAAAGGCCACAACTTTATTGATTACAGCAAGTGAAAAGGTATTGGCTTAGGCATTGGATTACGTCAGCTGATTCCACCCACTTGGAGAGGGGTGAGTCTAAAACAGGGGGGTTTATTCACCAGTAGGTGGAGCCTGTTGATGCTAATCCAACTATAAGCTCTCCCCTGATGTCACCGAGGGTCGTGCCATGGCCTCCCGCCACGCAGGCATCGGACAGAATACACGACCGCCGGATTCCTTTAATGGAATACCCAAAAACTGAAGGCGTAGGCGATGGCCACACCTAGCCCTTCGACACCACAACACATTATTCCAATGCCTAACCTACCCACCAATACCACGAAAGTTGTGACAATTGCTATGAGGTAGGCAAAAAAACCAAAAGGCCTAATGCCAAATGGAAAAATTCCTACCAGGCCCCCCAGGACGACCAACCTAAGGTCCATAGCAAGGCCAAAAGAAAACTGAAACCCTGCTCTAAGGGAGTGGAGGGTGAGTGACTTGTGACAGGACGACGAAAAGTGAGGCCGGGAGGCTGGCGCCACAGCAATTTAGGCTGCTGTACACGCCCCCTTGAAGGTACCTGGTTGGGTGCCTAGCCGTGGGCGTGGGCGCCAGCCAGGTGAGTGGTGTTAGTTTCTGCTTTCCTTCACTGTGCAGCTCTGCTTGTCACGAGACAGGTGTTTACATTCCACAGTCTGTACTGTTGGAGTTTCTCACGGGAAAGGGAGACTGGATGTGACGTACACTGGTTTCCTGTTTTTCACTGTGTGATTCTCTCCGAGCTGTTGAGGAGAGAGGATGCATTTCTCTGCTCCGGCAGAGGCAAGATGTCTTTCTGTAATATACCAGCTTTGAACTGTAAATAAAGCAATATAGAGTATGTAGCACGTATTGCTCATCCTTCCGCTGGGCACCAGAGACTCTGCTTTAAATCAACACGTGGTTATGGGCCCAGAGGTCGAATCGGAGTGCCGGCAAAGGATCGGAATGCAGAGGGACGGATCGGAAAGGAATCTGCTCTGCGCGTAAAGGTGATTGATGAGGTATGTGCTACTGCTCCGGGCAGCCTGCCAGCTTCAAGTTAATGGCTTTATGGCTGGACTTTGAACTTTTAAAGCCGGTTTTGCCGGGAATAGGCAAAAGGCTCCCAGGCACAAGTCACTATGCTGGGGAAATCTAAAGTAACTTTTAAGTGTGCCTTTGTAATAAAGCAGCTGCAGCAGTGACGCAGCAAGATTTAAAGCAGCATATGACGCTGAAGGCTAATGCCAGAGTCATGATGGCCCTTCAGGATGCTTGTGGGATTCCTAAGCTCAACAAGAAAAATTACAGCGACTGGGTTCTGTATGCAGAGGCAATTCTGCGGAAAGAGGGTTTGTTTGAGGTGATTACAGGAACCCCCAGTTCCAGTTACAGATGCATGGGAAGCTAAGGATTCCAAAGCAAGGGGAACTCTTACATTGATAGTATCCCCAGAAGAGCTCTGTCTATTGCGTGATAAGACCTCAGCCAGAGAAATTTGGGACGCTCTGAGAGAGGCTCACTTAAGGACAGAAGCTGGATCCACTATGTTTTACTTTAACAAGCTGCATAATATGGCTCTTGCTGAAGGTGGAGATGTGCGTTTATATCTGATGCAGATGCAAAATCTGAGACATGAGCTGCAACAGAGAGGACTCAACTTTCCAGAGGCTGTGTATTCTTTCATGATACTACAATCTTTGGGTTCAGGTTGGGAGTCTGTTGCAACCCAGATTGCTGTGCAACCAACTGCTCAGCTGACAGTGGACTTTGTTACTGCCGTGATTTTAAATGAAGCAGATCGCCGGGGTGCTAGCTGCATGGGCAAGGGGGAGTCTTCACAGACGTCATCCCATAGTGCAGTGGAACCACCAGATGGCGCCAAAGCTTTGAAGGCAGTGAAATGCTACTCGTGTGGACGTCTAGGCCATATGAAGAGGGAATGCAGACATCCCAGGGCCAAGACAGAGCAGCGCAGCGAAAGCTCATCGCGCGGAAAAGGCCGAGGCAAAGGCAAAGGTCCGGTGTCTAGGACAACGCAGCACAAGGCTATGGTTTCACGCTTCACTCCAAAGGTTGCAGAGGTCCAGAAGACGTCTAGATCTTTCTTCGTTGTTGATTCAGCGGCCACCCACCACATGTGCAACGATAAGAGACTGTTTGTGTCTTTTACACCGCAGGAAGGTGCGATTCACCAGGCGGATGACCACACTATTCCCAGTAAAGGCTACGGAACTGTTGTTCTTCACAGTTTGGACTTATCGATACAGAATGTGCTTTACGTGCCAGACGCCAAACATAATCTGCTCAGCGTTGGACAGCTGAATGAGCGGAACATTGACGTTTCCTTCAAGAACAAGAAGTGCATCATCACAAAGAAAAATGATTATGTATTGCATGCAGAATATGTTGATCATTTGTTTGTTTTGTATTATGATGATGTGGTGCAGGATGACACTTGTTGCATTGCAGGTTCTAACAAAAGTTTGCATGCAGAATGTATTCACGATTTTCATCGAAAATTTGGTCATTTGCATTTTGAGGCAGTATCTAAAATGCCTGCCTTGGTTGAAGGTATGACTATTAAACCCTGCAGGTACCACATGAAGTGCAAAGCATGCGCAGCAAACAAAGTGAAAATGGCTGCGAAAGGTAAGGTGTCTAGTAGGAAAGCTACAGAACCATACCAGGTTGTTCATGCTGATTTGGTTGGACCACTATCGCCCTCTTTGGGTGGAAATAGATACTTCATGGTTCTCATTGATGCATTTTCTAGATATATTTTTGTGTACAATCTCAAGCAGAAATCGGAGGCTTTTCCTAGGTTCAAGGAATTCTGTGCTTGGTTGGAAAATGTGCATGGTAAGAAGATAAAGACTCTTTTCAGTGATCGCGGGGGGGAATTCACTTCTCAGCAGTTTGAAGCTTTTCTGACTGAGAAAGGAATTCAACACGATTTGTCTAGTCCTCGCTCGCCATGGCAGAATGGACTTGCGGAACGGGCAAATCAGACATTGCTTCAAGGCTTAAAAACCTTGCTGCATGATGCCAATCTTCCAGAGAGTTATTGGGCCGAATCTCTCTCGTGTTTTGTTTACAGTTACAATCGCAGATTATCTTCAGCGATTGGTAGTACCTCTATGTGAAGATGTTTGGCAAGAAGCCATACATCAAACACATGAAGATTTTTGGTTCTGACATGTGGGTTCGCTCACCACAAAACTCCAAGTTAGACAAGCGTGGATTGCATGGTATCTTTCTAGGTTATCAGAAAGGGTCTTACAGAATAATGATGACTGACTCTAAGACAATTAAGCTCACGAGAAGTGTTGAGTACAATGCAAAGTGGGGGAGAATGTGGGAATTTTCCAATGTTATCCTGATGACGGTGATGAGACTGAGGATAGTCAAAAGCAACCACAACAGCCCACACCCACTGATGAAGGTTCTGAGTCTGAATCTGAAACTGAATCGGGTGATTCAGAGGATTTCGAGAGTGCGAAAGCCTCTATGCGACCCTCTGAAAGCTCTGATCAAGAATTGGAGGAACCATTGTTCACAATAGGTCGTTTTTCTCCTAAGAAGGAAGAGGAGAGTGTTGAAGACTTAAGGCTAATTCGTAGGTCACAGAGAGCCACAAAAGGCAAACCTCCAAAGAGATTTGCTGATGAGTTTGCTAAGATAGCAGTAAAAGCTGTTAAAAGCTCCAAGAAGGTATTTGAACCTTCAAGTTTCCAAGAAATCCAGGATTTGGATTCAAAGGAAGCTGAGCCATGGTTAAATGCCATGAAGGCTGAGCTTGATTCCTTAGAAAGGAACAAAACATGGGAGCTAGTTCCAGTAGTTCCAGGAATGAAACTGCTTGGAAGCAAATGGGTCTTCAAAGCGAAGACAGATCAAAATGGCAAGATAGTCAGACACAAAGCCAGATTGGTAGCCAGAGGTTTTGCACAGGTACCAGGTGAAGACTATCACGAGACCTATTCACCCACAGTGAGATATGAAAGCATTAGGCTTATGCTCAAGCTAGCTGCAGAGGAAAATCTACACATTAGTCACCATGATATTAATACAACTTTTCTGTACGGATCTCTAGATGAATCACTTTATATGCTTCCACCTGATGGCGTACAGGTAAAACAGGGATTTGTTTGTGCTCTGAAGAAATCCCTTTATGGTCTCAAACAAAGTGCACGGTGTTGGCACACAAAACTCACTGAAGTATTGTTTTCTCTAGGTTTTCAGCAAGGGAAAGCTGATCCATGTGTATTTGTCAAAGAGGAGGGGCAAAAGAGACTGTACTGTTTGTTTTATGTTGATGATTTATTATTCTTTTGGAAAGATGTTGCAATGTACAATAGCGCCCTAGCTCAACTGAAAGAGCACTTTGACATGAAAGATCTTGGTGAGGTAAACAACTACCTATCTCTGGAAATAGAGAGAGATCAAGATGGTAACATTCTAGTACACCAGTCACGGAAAATTGCTGATGTGTTAAGCAAACTAAATCTGATGGATGCTAACCCTGTAAACACACCGATGACAACAGGTTATCAGGTAGATGACACTGAAGAAGCATTTTCTGACACTACACTGTACAGGAGTGTGCTAGGCAAGCTAAACTTCATTGCCAGATGTTCAAGACCAGACATTGCTGTTAGCTGTAATTTGCTAAGCAGACAAGTCAACAATCCTAGTGTCAAGGATTGGAAAGCTCTGAAACGCATAGCGCGGTATTTGAAAGGCACTATGCATTACAGACTGAGATTTAACAATCAGAAGTCTGGTGGTCTTGAGATATTTGCAGATGCAAGTTTTGGAAGTGACACTACAGACAGGAAAAGTACGTCTGGAGTTTGCTACATGTACAATCAGAGTCTGTTTGATTGGTCATGCAAGAAGCAAACAACAGTTAGCTTAAGTACTTGTGAAGCCGAACTGAATGCACTGTCTTATTCACTTAAGGATTGTGAATGGATAGTACAATTGTGCAAAGATATGAAAATTCCTGTCAAATGTCCAATCCAGGTTTACCAGGACAACAAAGCATGTTTGGCTTTGCTGAAGTCTGAAGGTTGTAAGCAAAGCACAAAGCACTTGCAATTAAAGTTGCAGCATGCTAGGGAATGTATTCAGAAGGGACTCGTAACGGTGTCCTATATGCCAGGTAATGAAATTCCTGCTGATGTATTGTCCAAGATTGTATCAAGGGATCAACACTGTACCTATGTGCAGAAGTTGGGTTTGTACTGATATTGTACAAACACGCTGCCCAGTGATGTTCACAGAAAGGGGGAGGATGTTAGTTTCTGCTTTCCTTCACTGTGCAGCTCTGCTTGTCACGAGACAGGTGTTTACATTCCACAGTCTGTACTGTTGGAGTTTCTCACGGGAAAGGAGACTGGATGTGACGTACACTGGTTTCCTGTTTTTCACTGTGTGATTCTCTCCGAGCTGTTGAGGAGAGAGGATGCATTTCTCTGCTCCGGCAGAGGCAAGATGTCTTTCTGTAATATACCAGCTTTGAACTGTAAATAAAGCAATATAGAGTATGTAGCACGTATTGCTCATCCTTCCGCTGGGCACCAGAGACTCTGCTTTAAATCAACACGTGGAAGGCAGGGGGCAAATGCCCCCTTGCTTGAGGCGGAGTCCGGCTCCCAGCCACAACCACTCCCCTCTCTTGCAGGGAGGAGAGTCTTTCTAGGAAGGGCTGGGAGCAGGTGTAAAACTGGTTGGGTTTGTAAGAAGCTGTTTCTGGCATCACATTCTGGTCCGTTCCTGTTGTCCTGTGACTCCGTTGATGGACAGCTCTTCTGCTACTCAACCCACCATGCTAGAGACCTTGACTTTGTCCTAATTCCTTGGTCTTAATGGTGAAGTTAGGAATACAAGCCCACAGCAGTGGTAGCAGAAATGCCACAAGGAGTTGCAGCTTTGCTGGCCTAACCACTTGATGCTTATTGAGAAATATGAATGTGTTGGTTTTTGTATTGATTTCTCTATGATACTGTGTACACACACACACAAGTCTAAGGAAACAGAAATGAGTATATGTCTCTGTGTGTCTGAAACACATTTTAAGCACACCCCTTCCCTCAAATAAATTCTAGGCGCTGTAGTTTACCCCTCACAGAGTTACAATTCCCAGCAGCCCTTAACAAAGAGTGTGGTGTTGATAATGCCAAAGTTGCAGGTTTGATCCCCGTATGGATATTGCCGCATTGCAGAGGGTTGAACAATATCATCCTCAAGGCCCCTTCCAACTTTACAGTTCTATTATTCTGTTCCCAGAATTCTTTGAGGGAAAGAATGTGCTTCAAATGTGCTTTAAAGGTACAGAACAGAGAGAGGGGCTAAAATAGCAAATATCAGAACTGAGAGATGAGAGATTAAACCATAACTTAAGGAGACAATGCCTTTCATGAGACTATCTTCACAGTCAAACAGTATGCAGGCTTTAAAGTTGTATTCGATGCTTTATCAGAGATAGGATAGCTGACTTTCAATCTACAGACCTGGCTTGCTCACTAAATCAAAGATTGGGAGTCAGCTTACTAACCTTTTAGCACATCAAACAGATGTGAACAATACATTTACCAGCTGTGAGTTAGACTTTTAAAAAGACTATTGTTTTAGATGCTGTCTTGATGAGCACATTAATGACTCCAGAAGCACTGCTGCATGCTTAATGGGCTGCAGTAAGGTCTGTTTTGATACTACTGTAGCCTGAGGGTGAACAATAGTTGCAAATACTTCTGGGGATTCTTTCCTCATGAGATTTCTCTGTGTGTTCATTATATCCAGCTAGCTTCATTAGTTCCAAATTCTCCAGTGCAAATGAAAAATACAAATTTTGTCCTTTGACATAGCTCTGTGAATAGTTGCATATATGCTGTGTTCCTAATCCAGCTTTGCCTAAGAAGAGCCATATGTCAAAGCAAGCTTTTAGGCATGTCACCTGTCAGATCAAGAACTGCAAACATAAATCAGATATGCACAAAAATGCACATTGGAATGCTTACCTGTTTGTGACCATCTATCTGCAATGCATTACATTTAGTTGGGTGCCCATTTTCATGCACATCCACATTCTGATGCACCTTCTCATGCGTAAACAACTTCTTAAAGTATGATTAAAAACTGGTTCATGGCACACATGTCCTCAAAACAAATAGTTTTTTTCCTTTCATCCTCCTTCCTAATCTGTCCTGTCTTTCATTAATAGTGAGTCTGTGTGTAAATTTTTAATCTTTGTTCTACTAGATTTGAGCACTTCATCATTAGCTTCACAAAAGTATGGTGGCAAATAGGTGCCAGCATTAATAATAATAATAATAATAATAATAATAATAATAATAATAATAATTTATTATTTATACCCCGCCCATCTGGCTGGGCTTCCCCAGCCACTCTGGGCGGCTTAAAAAAATATTAAAATACTGTAATACATCAAACATTAAAAGCTTCCCTAAACAGGGCTGCCTTTAGATGTCTTCTAAAAGTCTGGTAGTTATTGTTCTCTTTGACATCTGGTCAATTCAATGCATCCTTTTAGATTTGTGTGTATGCTAAAGTTAAGGAGATGACAACTGGGCATTATTCAGGTTCATGGGTGTTGTACAAATTACTGTATTCAGTTCTATCTGTGTGTCTAAATTGCCAATAATGGTTTCATTTATATAAATTATAAGCTGTCCTGGACTAGGAATGTCTGCTAGGAGCTTCACAGAGCTTTTGATTCACATATAAATGTTGCCGTTCACATACATGTAGTTTCGGAGCTTCACTGTCTGATTTCTGATTCTGGGAGCTGATAAGAATAAATCAAAAGTTGGCCATGGAAAAATTTGGCAGCTCAAATTTGGGGACTGTTTATGGGCAATTGGGATATGAAAGTGGCTTACCATTTCCCCTACTTCTGCTTTTGCTACCACTTTGTGGCAGTGGCAGTCTTCCCAATGGACACTAGATGGTGGTAGCAATTTCTACCCCCGGAATGCCCCTGGAAACAACTCTAGATCATCACAGAGACATATAGGAAGGGGTGGGGATGATGGTAGCCAGTGGCTGCCAGGACAACTACTGGTAAATCCCTCAAACTATCTCATTTTGCATTCACAAAAACAAACAAACAAACCCCCATTAACTATGCCTGTGAATCATTGTTCTGATGTGAACTGAAAATTAGCCCTTATATGAGCAGAACATGCCCAGGAAGGTCATTTTTGGGTTCAACTCATTGACTTTAGGACTTCATTTTACTTCCAACTCTGCCCACATTTAGATTCTGCTTGCATGGTATGTATTTTAAATGAAATCCTGAGCTTCTTTCCAAAGGCAATATTTGCTATGAGAATTTGAGTAATTGTATATTTACTTAGTTCCAATTATTTTCAGCAGGGGAAAAAATAGATCATTTCCCCCCCATTGCACATCACGTTTTTCTTACTAACACTCATGAGAATAGATCATTGATATTTTACTTGATGATGTGATCAAGCCACTATCTCAACTATAGTCTTCACTGTGAAGAACAGGTTCCATTTTGTGTGTGTCTGTCTCACCCTTTTATTCAGTGAGGCTTCTTGATTCATTTGCCAATCATTCTCTCCTGTTTTGTAAAAGACGGACCATGATAAGACAGAAGAGAGAGCAGAGAGGGAAGTTGGCAGGGTGTCATGGCAATATTTGTCAGGAATCTTGAGTTCTGGATGTACCCAATGCACAGCTGGGAGTAACCCTGAAACATATCACATGGTCAGAAGAGGTGTGGATGGAACTGCAGAGTTTCAGTGGGTAGTTAAGATTTCAGTGTGTTTGATTAAAGTCCCAGCGTTTATTATGGAGGCCAGAATGGCTTCTTCATTCACTTTGATTCAGCAATGGTAAGGTAATAAACTGCTCACTGGAAGAACAGATCGTGAAGCTGAGGCTCCAATACTTTGGCCACCTCATGAGAAGAGAAGACTCCCGGAAAAGACCCTTATGCTGGGAAAGATTGAGGGCACAAGGAGAAGGGGACGACAGAGGACGAGATGGCTGGATAGTGTTCTCGAAGCTACGAACATGAGTTTGACCAAACTGCGGGAGCAAGTGGAAGACAGGAGTGCCTGGCGTGCTCTGGTCAATGGGGTCAAGAAGAGTTGGACACAACTAAACGACTAAACAACAACAAGGTAATAAAAAGGTATATTCCTTGATGCATAAGGGTGGATGTGGAGACTGGATTAGAGGGCTTTTGTTCTAGGATGCAGATATGAAATAGGGACCTAGCTGTATTCATTTCCTTATTCATCTCAACATTCCCCAAGGCCTCCATGGGGGAAAGCAAAAACATTTCTTTTCCCCTGCGCCAGAGGTTTCATTCTTTTTCTGGAGCAGATCCATTTCCTAGTAAAATGCAGAGGAGTCTGCTGGACCCACTTTCCCTCCTAGAAGCCATGGGTCTTGTACAGATTTCAGTGATGGAATATTTCCTCAGCCATAATTTTCCATTCATCGTATGTGCTCTCTAGCAAATATGTGGAGAAAGCACAGGGTTTTCTCAGAAAACAAGCCGATGAAGAAACAAGAACATTAAGAAAGTGGTCTTAGTGATGTGGGCTGTTCTCCTTCTCTGGAGTAAGGCCCTTGCATTAATCTCATTACATTTATAACTCTTATTCTTCTGCTGTCACAATGGTGATGGTGAGTAGTCATTGGGCAGGATCACAGATACAAAAATGAAGGACCTCATAAGGGGTCTTGTCAGGATGCTACATTATAGCACCAGCAGTAGCTCATGTGCAGATTCCAGTTGATGACTAGGACCACTGGAATGACCCATGCAAAGGTGGATTCAAATTATCAGTCAGCTCCCTGATGGCAGCCATCTAACACACTAAACATTGGGGTTGTTGTTCCCAATGTAGTTGTGGCTATTTTCAGCCCACACCTGGACTCTGCATGCTATTCCAAGTGGGGGATTGGCTCCTGGAAAATATGCCACATGCATGTGGGCAACAATTGTGATTTGCTGTTTAAAACTTTAATTGTGTTGTATTGAATTGCTTTATTGTACACTGCCTTTGGTATTATTTAATGACAGGCAAAATAGAGATGTTTTAAGTAAATAAATAATGGGCACAGAATGAAGCCTACATCCTGGAAAAGACCCCTAAATTTAAAATGCAGATGAAGGGAAATAGTGACAAAAAGAAGGGTAGGAGACATATATTCAAGTTTTAATATAGATTTATAATTGCTTGTATGATGTAATATTTATGAACTGATATTGGGCTAATGGTCTATAAAACCATAATTAATCCATACCAGTGAATAGGTCAAGCAAAGGTTGTAATGAATCAAAGCTCTCTCTCATCTTCACATGAAGATTCCTTTGCTATTTTTATAAACCTGTGAAGGAAACAAGAGCCCCTTTCATCTCTGACATGTTAGAAACAGTCTTTCTATTGTTTTGTAGCTGCTTTGAATGTGGCCTTGTGCATTAAGAAGGTTATTACATCTTTAATGAACTGAAAAAATCCAATTTGGAAAGTTTTGCGTGCCCCTGAGGTGGCCTTAAGGTTCCGGACTTACATTTGAAGTTAATGGCACCTTTAATACGTCGCCCAAGTTATTTTGTGTGACAAGGTTAGGCAGATAAATTTAGCTGGAGTGGCAGCAGCAGCTCTGCAGCCATTTCAAACAAGAGGGGTCCTTCAAGCTGATTATGCAGGTGCTGCTATTACTGAAAAACTGAACAACTGGTTTTGTAATTGACTTCAAAAAAAAGGTTGTAGTTCTGGCCCAAGCTGGCTATGTGTTTTTGCCTTTGCTCTGATTGGGACTTTGAAGATGCCCTAAGGAGAAGCACTAGAGATAATTAAGATGCTGAAGATCTCGGAAAGTTAGTAGTGCATTTTTAAACTGTCCTGAGCTCTAGGCCAAATGGAGCTTGAAAGGGAAGGGGAATACCCAGCTGTGATGAGATGCAAGACAAGCCCAAAGCAGGTCATCATGTGGCTAAGAGTAAAATAAAATAGGAGGAGGGAAGAAAGTCATGTTGTGCTGAAAATATCTTCTGTGTTTGCCAGACCACAGACCCACCTATTCTCTATCAGTGAGTGGGAAAAGAAATTGCATCCAGAAATTATCAGAGGACACAATTATGTGAAATTCTCATGGATGGGGTGCAGGTTTTGCTATTGCATATCCTCTTGAGGTGGCGTTTCATTCAGCAAGCAAGTGGTGTGTGCCTGTGGGTCTGTGTTAGTGTGCCTGTTGTTCTGAGATATTTCTCTGGCACACTGGTCAGATCTCATTCCCCACCTTTTAGATAAGTCCAGCCCAATACCCACCAAAACTCTAAAGTGGCTTACTCTAAAGCGACAGAAAAAATAAAGTCTCATTTACAAGAGAAGAAAACTTTCAAGAAATCAGAGGGCAGGTTTCAGCACAACTCTAGAAGAAAGGAAGGAAGGAAGGAAGGAAGGAAGGAAGGAAGGAAGAAAGGAAGGAAAGAAGGAAGGAAGGAAGGAAGGAAGGAAGGAAGGAAGATGGAGAATATATGTTGATAGTAGTTAGATTGTTGGGCTAGGACCTTCAAGATCAGGGTTCAAATCCCAATTCAGCCATGAGACTTTCTGGGTGAGCTTGGGCCACTCACTGCCTCTCCATCTAAACTACCTCACAGGGTTGTTGTGGGGATGAAATGAAGAGTGGTGAGCCATGTATGCCACCTTGAGCTCCTTTGAGGAAAAGGCAATCAACCAATCCCTCAATTAACAAAATATGTTTCCATGTGGTTCTATAGTCCTATAAGATTTTGGATGAAATGATGTACAGTGGTACCTTGGTTCTCGAACTTAATCCGTTCTGGGAGTCCGCTCGACTCCCAAAGCTGTTCAAAAACCAAGCAGAAGCTGCATCGGATGTTCGGCTTCCAAAAAACATTCACAAACCGGAACACTTACTTCCAGGTTTGCAACGTTCAGGAGCTGATTTGCTCTGCAACTAAGCTGTTCAAGAACCAAGGTACAACTGCAGATCACTGTTGCTCAAAGAGGAACACACCCAGTGCTTTCTTCTTCTCCAGGGAGTACTCAAGGGTATGCAGTACTGACACCTCTTTTCGGTTGTTGTTAAAAAGTATGGCATTTACTGTAACAACTTCATGGTGATTACCGGCACCTATTTTTCTAGAAAAGTACTGAACACACCTCAGTTGGAAAAGTCAGCATTCCTGAGCCCTTTATTTTCTCTTGGCCCTCTAAAGGCCAATGAAACTATCCTGAATTGAATGGGTGAAATAATTTAACTTCCTCCCAGCAAATGTGATTTATAAATCAACAGCTTTGTATACTGATGTGGCCAAAGAGTAGCCTAAGAATTTAAATCTAAATAAAAAGTCCAAGAGTCTGAGGGGCAATAAAATTAAACAATGGCATAAGAATAGGAAAATAAGCAGTGAAGCCTTCCCATAATAAATGTACTTGATGACATAATGCTTGCAGTTGCAACTGTGCTGCTTCATTGATTTCACTTGGTTTTGTATGAATAAACATGAGAGCGGTCAACCATATGGAGTCAGCACTAGCAGCAGTGGTGAAGCTTGATCTTTTTATTTTAGAAATGGAGATGCTCAGTGAAGCAGTAGTTGCCTCTTCTAATACTCACATTCAGAGGGTGACGTCCCTCAACCTTAGCTCTGGGTATTCAACTGTGAGTGATCTGTGCTTTCAGTCCATGCTTTTCAGACCTTGCACTAATTAGAATAGGGACTGAAAGCTGGAATGGAGTGGAAGGGGAGTCAAAAGCGCAAAGGTTTAGGGTTGAGGTGAGTTCCTCACCACTACCACTTGCTTATTCTTGAGGAGGAGAAACATCTTATAGACCACTTCTTGTTTTAGGCCAGAGAGTAGGGAAAGTTTCAAAGTTTCTTGCCCAAGAGTGGCATTCCCTTCTCAGCAACATTCCATCAAGGCCAGCAAGAGGCAATGTCAAAGTTCAAAGACCCATTCCAACCATGCAAAACATTAAAGAGTGGTCCAAGGCAGGGCTGGTTCAGAGATGAGGTGTGGCTGGGAAGAGGGCGTGGTGTGGGGAGACTCCTCGCTCCTGCTTTAGGCTGTGAAAGATACAGATCTCACCTGAGTCAATGATGCAATATAATGCAGAGTCCAAGAAAACATGCTCAATGAGGATAGGCATTGAAAGTTACACACACATGGACCTAAAGCTTCTTGCCACTCCTTTAGTTCATCCCTTCTCAATAATTTTAAGATAGGTATATCCCAATGAACTTACAGTGATTTCTTATGATTTCTTATTTATTTATCAAAATTATTTCCGTGCTGCCTTTAAAAACACTGTATAGGGCATTCAGCAAAAATTGGAAAATAACAAAACAATAACTGGACAGCAATTTAAATCATGCAAAGCCAAACAATTAAAAACACCTGAGAATACAAGATCCAAGAACCAACACAAAGCAGTAAAATTGCTAAAAGAAACCCAGAAAAATCAGTAACAAAAAGCCTTATAAGAAAGGTTTCAGAACCTGTGAGATCATCCTAGTTCATCCTCACAATTACGCTTTGAGCCGGCTTAGGCTGAGAGATTGTAAGTGGTCAAAGATCATCCTCTATGCTTATTGAGTGGCATTAAAACCTGGACTCCAACAATCTGCTCACTGCAGCACATGGCTTCTTCCACTTCCTTGATCACTTGCAATATGTCCCCCCTCCCAATGCTACTCACTGCCTGATTATAAATATGTTTATTCAAACATAAGTCCTACTAAGTTCAAATTGAGTTACCCTTCAAAGTATGCCTGAGACTCCACAGCTAGACTGTGATCATGCATTCTTAAAGCCCAATACCATGCATATGTCCTCAGGAATAAATCCCATGGTGTTCAATGAGACTAATTCTCAGTTAAGAACTACAGTACTAAGCTGATTCTGCTGCTGTCTGTTATGACTCACACTTCTATAATTTGGCACACTTATTTAAAATGATTTCTATTGGAATCAGTGAGACTGTATTCCTAATGAACATGGTAAAAAATACAGGGTTGCTTTGTTTCACTAAATCTGCAGCTATTTCTCAGTTTGCATTTGTGTTGTTTTTTTGGTGATTTAATAATTTCAGGTGAAAAAAAATCAAGTTATAAAAAGCTGATGAGATGATAGAAGGAATTTATGTTCACCCGTATAGAATTTTCAACATAGAGCACATGTCTAGAATAGGTTCTCATGGCACATAAAAGCTCTGAGAGCTTTCTTCATCAGAAAAAATGATTAGCAATAGAAGGATAGTTTATAGGGTGCTTTTCATTGACAGTGTACTGAATAGAGCACTAAATAATATAGAAAATTTGCTCTACTTATTGGGCATGGGTGCAATCCAGCACATTTACGTAAGTCACAAAGGACATGCCCCTCCAACAGGGAACAAATTACACCAGCTCTGGAACACTGGAAATGTCTTTTTTGCCCCATTGAACTCAGTGGAGCTTCCTCCTGAGGAGGTATGAATAGCAAAATGAAAAACTTGCCCCTACTTGCAGGATCACAGGGCTCATTTTTATTTTTATTTTATTTTATTTTATTTCTTGGATATATATACAGCCCTATATCCAGAGGTATCAGGGTGGTTCACAAAATAAAAATAAAAATGGTCCTGACTTTGGATTGTACAGCCAAGCAAAAAGTACTTGTTGAGGATCAAGCTTTAGTAAAAAGAATCTCTTTGTGCTCCTCAACCCAAATGGGACTGAACTCCAGTGAACATGGTGGGTTGTACTTAAGCGTATCCAGGATTGCTATAATACTGTTGTGTGCACGCCAACCTCCAAGCAATGAGAGATTACAGGCAGGGGCATAGGAAGGGTGTGTGTGGAGGGTGTGATCCGCCCCAGGTGCCACCTCCTGGGCGGGGATCACCATAACAATCACCCTTGTGGGCGGCCTGGCCTGCCCCTGGGTGCACGGCATGTTCGCCGCTTCGGGAGCCGCTGCGGCCAGCTATTCTACTGATTCCAGGAGTTCCAGAGCTTACCTAGTGTTGGTTTCCTTGGAATGAAGGTCAATGTACCTATGGTTATATGGATATATGGTGAGAGGGTTCGCTGCATTAAACTCTAACAGATCTTGCCTACCCATCAGGTTCCTAGATCTCGTCCCAAAAGGCATAACTTTGGATTCAGTATATAGAATGACAACCTAGCTTTCAGTACAGTCGTACCTTGGATCCCGAACGCCTTGGTACTTGAATGTTTTGGCTCCTGTATGCTGCAAACCCAGAAATGAGTGTTCCAGTTTGTGAACATTCTTTGGAACCCAAACGTCCAACAGGGCTTCTGCAGCTTCCGACTGGCTGCAGGAGCTTCCTGCAGCCAATCAGAAGCCACATTTTGGTTTCCAAACATTTTGGAAGTCGAATGGACTTCCAGGACAGATTCCGTTTGACTTTGGCGGTACCACTGTATCAGCCAAAACACAAAGACCACATTGGCCTATTGTTCTCCATCCCAGGATGATGCAGCATCTAGTCAGGTGAGGTGGGAAAAGGCTCACCCATTTGTCTCTATGGCAAGAGGGCAACTGCTTTGGCCATGTAAATGGCAGTACTTAACTGGCCAGCTAGGGGCATTATCTTAGAACTTGACTGACTGGTTCAGCTTCTTCTTCTACTAGTTTCCAAACCTCACAGATACAGGATCACAGATATGTAAGGGATCTATGGATAGCATCCATACTGACCCCCACAAACATATAACAATACTTTCACCTTTTTAACCCTTTTCAAGAAAAACTAGGAAGTAGACATAGATAATCAGACAGGATATTTTTCTACTCAGAGGTCAACTCCAATGTAATTTGGCGTAGTAAAATGTCCAAAATTTCACTCAATTTATTCATTTCCCAACATTTATATACCACTTGTATAAATATAGCCATGTGTGTTCTGCCAGAAGAACAGCACTTTAATCTGCTTCCCAGAATAGTTTTTGCTTGGGGGAAAGAAGGACTTTTTAAACCCCAGTTAATTAGTTCTTAAACAGAAACTAATGAATTGACACGGGCAATCTTAGCGAATAATTTTCTGCTTCAAGCCATGTTCAGACAAACTCCTGAACACACATCTAAACTGAAGTGTGAAGTTCTGATGATGATGATGATGATGATGAAGAAGAAGAAGAAGATGATGATGATTAATTATACCCTGCCCATCTGACTGGGTTGGCCCAGCCACTCTGGGCGGCTTCCAGCATATATAAAAACATAATAAAACCTTAAACCTTAAAAAGATTCCCTATACAGGGCTGCCATCAGATGTTTCCCAAATGCTTACAAGGCACGTTTCCAAGTAAAACTATTTGCACATGACATCAAGCTATCACAGATTAACCTAACACTGATGTCAGTTTCAAGAAGCTGTATGGATTATATACAAACTATCACTTCTATGCTTAGAAAGGCTAGACTACTGGAAACACCTTAACTGTGACTTCACTTCCATGGCTATATAATATGTAATAGTGGGAAAGTGATAAATGAGAATAATTGAAACCATATCACAACTTTGCTAGATGTGTAGGAAGTCTCAATATGAATATCAGTGAAGTAAGTGTTAGTACACAGTGCTAGATAGTTTGAAGATTTAGAATTAACAGACTTCACCCTTTAAGAACATTTTCATAGTGAAAAACTGCTGAAATCATTGACATTTTTGACAATGTATCACAGAAATCAAATTTGCCCTTTAGTTTTCCAAATCCCTTTGAATATGTATGGTGATAGGTAGTCATTTCTGCCCCCCAGCACAGGTTAGAATAATAAAACCATTGGACCATATTCCCTTAATGTTACACTGCCTGTAAGCAAATACCTTTGCCAGCTCAAGTGACAAACTCACCTTAAAAATCAAATCCTTTTTCCCATAGCGAAGCTCCTTCAGTTGGGCTTGAATCTTTTTTGACTGCAAGCAGAGGATAATACATTAATCCTTTAAGTAATTTATATTTTAAAACCTGCAGAGGAAAATATATTAAAGTTCAGGTAATAGGACAGTATATCCGGGGTGGGGGGAGGTTTGGTAAAATTACAACTGTTGATGAAACAAGCTGTGTTTGCTACAGCTATGCTGGTCTTGCATACATTATGCACATAAAACAAAGGGCCAAATTTATCACTTTATAAAGAACATGGCAAGAACAACTGACACATCAAGAATGAGATTGCTCTTAATACACATGTTGGCCTGGAACATGAGTGCAAAGTAAGCTAAGTCAGGTCAAGGAGACTTTGCCTTTCCCTCTTTCACCCTTAAGCTCTCTTTGGCCCTCAAAAATGGGTGATCATAGAACCCATCTGAACAACATGAGTTAGGGTGCAACAGAATGTCAAAGGGAGGGCACATTACCCAAAATTGAGTGGAGCCACTTTTCATGATTCCGTTTAACTCACAAAATATGGATCTGCACCTCCTCCCCACAACCCCCCCATGCTACTTTGTTTAGGATTATTTCCATTCTATCTCTATAATGATCTCTATAAATTGGTATAATCAGTTAGGGCTTGGAGCTATCCAGACTTTTCACAATTTGTAGTGAGAAAAAAATCTGTTGGAAATTGTTTTTCATCACTTTGTATCTGCAAATAAACCACTCAGGATATTCTTGTTTGCAACCACATGAAGATATGTAACACGAAGCAGCTTGCTTCCATGGGGATTTAGTCGTGTTTACCACACCATCACAGAGACACAAAGTAAGTCTGCAAACCACTTTGGGAACAGCTGGAGCTGCTCTGACTAGGGCAGTGGTGGCCAAACTTGGCCCGCCAGCTGTTTTTGGACTACAGCTCCCATCATCCCTAGCTAACAGGACCAGTGGTCAGGGATGATAGGAATTGTAGTCCCAAAACAGCTGGAGAGCCAAGTTTGGCCACCACTGGACTAGGCACACTCTGAGGTCCTGAGAAGTTGCTGAAAGGTTCCTGGGGGAAAGGTACTGGTTCTGGTCATGCCACGCCCCCCATACTCTTTAAATTGCTTTTTCCTGAATTTGCCAATTCTGTTAAAGTGCTTTAGTGGGCTGGGGGGGGAGGAGTGCTTTGAAGCATTGATGAGTGTAAACCCTATAAAGATGCACACACAGTGACTTAATGCCAAGAGGAGCATTAGAGAAAGGACCTTGTAACCAAGGAGCTTGTAACCAAGGACATTGTAACCAAGTGGTAGCTCAATTCTATGCATATCTACTTGGATGTAAGGCATATGGAGTTCGCAGAGACTTCTACCTTCGTAGATTTGTATGGGATGGCATCCTAAACCAGACTACAAGATTATCTGCCCCATTAGTTTCTAATCTAACTAGAAGTTGCACTGCAAAGTCTCAAGGAGGTATTTCCTAGCCCTGCTGCATGTGATCTTTTAAGCTGGAGAAGCCAGGGTTTGAATTTGAACCTTAATCGTATGCATGGAAAGCATGTCATCTAACACTGAACTGCAGGCACTCATGAGACAGGATCATTTTTCATAATTAAACTCTGCAGATCAGAAACATGAAATGAACTTCCTCCCTACATGCTGAACTTCGCTTTGTCTCTTGCAGAAATGTTATTCAACCAGTTCTATTTCACAGGCTGCCTAGTGGCATGATGGCAGATTGGAATCGCAGGTATGAGACACTTCACTACAAGATAAATCTGAAAGCTTTTTTTTCTTTTTTCTTTTTTGCCTTTGGAACAATATTTAGAACACTGACTTCATGGTCTAGAGGGAGCAAAATCAACCTCAAAAAGAAAATGTTCATTGACAGCTACATGGCTGCAGACCATTTTCTCTTGGCTTAAAAACCCTATTAAGCTGAGAGCGACATTGGTTAGTGAGGGCAACTTTGATCTCATCCATGCTACACTGCTGTCTTTAATGTCACACTGGCCAGTCTTGCTTGAACATGATCTTTTTTAAAAAAAATAAAAAAACCCCAGAAGCAAGAGCAGAACTCCTGCAACCCCACCCCATAGCTATTTATTTTAGATAATTAACTTACAAATTTTAAAGGTATTATCATTCATTCCAATTGCGAAACCGATGCTGAATTATCTCCTTTGTCATAATCAGACTCAAGTTCCTATTAATTTTTCAGTTTAATAATATTCAGTATATTGATAGCTCATTAATACTGAGTGAAACATTAGAAACTGCCTTATACCAAGTCAGAAAGTCTGTGTATCGGTGTTATCTGCTCTGAATGGAAGCGGTTCTCCAGAGTCCAAAGGTTTTGCTCATTTCCTGCTTCCTGATCCTTTCAGCTGGAGTAGCTAGGGAATGAAGAATTTAGGGTCTATTGCCTAATACTGTCAACCATGATCAGATGCAGGCCTACAAACAGGGCTGTTTCCAAACTATTTTGCAAATTAACATGCTGAATATTTTAGCTCATTGACTAAGTTCAATATAATGTGACAACACCAGAGTTATGCAAGCTGCTCCGAATCAGGGACCTATCTTTGGAATCAGTAAGATTCCATATGTTTATGTTATCTCATAGGAGCATAGGAAACTGCCTTTCACTTGGCAAAGTCACAGACCTACCTGTCTAGCTCAGTACACTACACTGATTAGAAGCAAATCTACAGGGCTTCAGACAGGCGTCTTACTAGCCATACCATGCCTGGGATGGGCCAGAGTGCCAAGATCAGCACAGTGCCAATACACTGGCAGAGCCAACCTGGCAATCCTGCTAGTGTATCTGTCCTGCACGGACCTCATTGCCACCTCACCCTTTCCCATCCTGGTAGGCAGCAGTGACATAGGCATCCGGAGGTTAAGGTGAGTGCCACTGTGCCATCCCATGGCCTGCTTTGGGGATAGGAAGCCTTCTTATACCAATCCAATTCCTTGGTCCATCAAGCTTAGAATTGTCTACAATGACTGGCAGTGAGTCTTTCACAGCCCTACTTGGAGATCTTTGGGATTTAACCTTGAACGTTTTACATGCACAAGATGTCTTCTATCACTGAGCTATGGTTGCTGTTTTTAAGTGTAGAATGCATTACAGGTTCTGTTATATTCGGTAAACCCACAGCAAGGCAGGTTTATTATTAACAAACCTTCCTTTATAAAATGTATTTCTCTTAGAAAGGTGCTCAGTGAACAATTCTAGAAGCTTGTCAACTCACAAAGATCTATAGGCAAAAAATACTCAGGGGCGCAGATTTAATATGAGGCACCGGGAAGTAATATTCCCTGTTTACCATTTAAATGTAAACTCTCGTGTTACATTATTCACAGTTGTGTAGCAAATATTAAAATGTGCATAAACATCATGCAAAACAAACAGAAAAGGAACAGTTGTAAAGTAACAGTGCAGATCAAAATATTATGTTCCCAAATGAAATGTTATGGAGTTACAGAAGAAAACCACTGATGTTGGCTGCATCCACACAACTAAAATGATTCACAATTTAGATTAAAAAAGAAAATGGTGATTAATATGATGACAAAGAGGTGAGCATTCCTTCTTGCCACATTTTGTATATTGAAAAATTATTCAAATAATTGGCTAAAGATGTATTCAGGGAATCATGGTGAACCCTCTGGAAAAGGATATCCATATCTATATATCCTCATTTACAATAGTTTTATTTAGGGCTGCATTGAAAAAGCAGCCCTTTCTGTTGGCTGCGAAATTGCCTTCCTGCATTTAACTCCCTCCACCCCCCACCCCGCTTTTGAATGAGGACCTATGAACATGAATGAAGTTTTCTCACTGTTCATGGGGAGGCAGGGACACCTCTTATCTTCTGGCTTTTGTGTGTGGTTCTCAGTGCAATATGGGAAGATAAGAGAGTACATTTTCCAGTTGCCTAGGTGGGCCTTGTGTCTGTCAAGGACTGCATTTCCCCAAGAGTAATCTGTTAGGGGCTGCACACAGGCAGTGAGAAGGAACACAGCCAAAAATAGGCAGGGTTACCTCCTTTTCGCTCTTATTTTTTGTCACCTGCTTCTGTGTCTTTCTTTCCTCCCTAGTAGTGTATTGGGGTGAAACAGATAGCTCCTCCTATACCAAAGGGTTATTTCTGGTCCCTTGGTATGTCATCATTCATGGACAGATCAGCTATATACTTACCAACAATCTAGTGCATTAAAATATATATTAACAGTTTGTGGTGTTCATTCTATTATACTTAAAGGCAAAAATGAAAGGTGCAAGAGTACAAAAGGAATGAACAGACTTGAATAACCTGCAGTTAAAAGAAGCAAGGAAGATCAGGTGAATCAGAAAAGACATGGACTTATTCCATTTTACATTCATAATGGGTTTTGACTAGGGGCATAATCTGGATTCTTTAGAGTCAAACATGGATAACGGTCTGCTTAAAACTAGTGCAAACCTGATCATGTAAACTAGGCTGAATTGCCTTCACCAATGATTTCTGCAAATGTAATTTATCTAATAAGTGTGCCACATGAACAGGAGAGTGATCACAAATTTAATAATTTGGATTTAATTACAGTTGTCCTCTGTGAAATGACAATCACGTTTGTTGATTGCATTGCTGTTAACACTCCCTGAACCTTCTCTTCCTTTTTTTAAAGCATTGTGTTTTGATATTAATTTCTCAGTACAGCATTGTCTTTTTAGAACCTTGAAGAAAGAAAAGTGTTCATTAACTATTCCCCCTAATCAGCTGTACTAAGATATGCTAAAAAAAATTAAATTGCTTAATCAATCAATTCATCCATTTATTAGCGAGACAGCCACCAAGCTCCCAACCCATTGTGTTGTACCTGACAGGGTACAAAACACATGGCACTGTTTGGGTTCATCAAGAATTCTACTCCTGAGGAACAGCGTAGGTGCCAAAGCTATTATTCTGCCAACAGTTGTTCTTCTTTCAAGTATGATAGCAAGTGTGATAGCTTTGCAAGATCCTGCTATGACAACAGAATGAGGGATGGCTCACCAGAAATGTACTGTAGCTACCACAAAACAAGCACAATCCTATTTGTGTTAAAATGTGGCACAAATACTGTAGAATAATGGTAGAAAGGGTCTGCCCCTTTTGTCTCTGCATTGTGATTGCAAAGAGATTCACACCTTACCATAGCCAAACATGTTATTATGCTGGGAAAGCAGAAATTAAGATTTTAAAGAAATGTTCTACTTCTCACCCTGTGAAAAGCATAAAATTATCTGTTTGCACAATAGAGGGGGTGACAGATTTCAAACAACCTTCTGCACATTTTGATTCTCCTGAAATCAACCGTTTTCAGCACAATGCTTTTTTTAATCATGCTTTAACATCGTATCGCTGCTGATCTCAGAAACATCTGGAATGAGAATCAAGCTAAACATGCTGGCAGCAGATTGTGGTGCTTAGACACGGATCAGCCCCAGTCCAGTAGAAATATTAGGTGGGATATCTGTATCTTAAGTCAGAAGACAGGGGTTGTGAATTCATAGGCGGGAGGACAACTTCTCAGAAAATAAGCTGGGCCATTTTGAGGTCCCCCCCCATCAGTCTATATTCTAAGCCAGTCGGATGTGAACATGAGGAAAGTCACACATCTGTACTTGAAATGGCTCAATCTATGGTATGGACCTGCGAGGCACCAACTTGGAGCTCCTCAACCTTGCCAACACCATGCCTTGTCACCATCCTAATGCCCAGGAGTACTGCTGCCACTTGTGGGCACCACTGCCACTTCCTCCTTGCATGAACTGCTGCTTTGTGACACTCTGAAAAGCCTAAACTATGAGCCCAGATCACAGGTGCTGACTCAGATGCACAACCACTTTTGCATTGAAGTTTTTCTTCATTCTAGCTGTTCACCCCACCAAATTCCTCAGATGCTCCTAAAACTCTATTTCTGGTGCTCAGGTGGTTCAAAAGAACTGAGGTGCCCTTTAACAATGACTCAGGGTAGCTGCTGTTTTAAAATGACAATGTGTCCTTTCTCAGATTTTCAACCCATGGCCTGCAGCTGCATATCCAGTTACAGTGGTACCTTGGTTCTCAAACTTAATCCGTTCCAGAAGTCCGTTCCAAAACCAAAGTGTTCCAAAATCAAGGCTCGCTTTGCCATAGAAAGTAATGCAAAATGGATTAATCTGTTCCAGACTTTTAAAAACAACCCCTAAGACAGCAATTTAGCAGGAATTTTACTATCTAATGAGACCATTGATCCATAAATTGAAAGCTATAAATGTACTGCAGTCACACAATCAATCAATCAGTAGCTGAACTGGGTTCCACACAGTCACAAAAACAAAACAAAAAAGAGTCACCAAAACCCCCCTCAAAATAAATAGCAAAAACTGACAGACCTCAGCAAAACACTCAAAACAGAAGCATAGCACTCAAAATGGAGCATGTTCGGCTTCCAAAAAAGTTCACAAACTGGAACACTTACTTCCAGGTTTGCAGTTGCGGGTTCCAAGTTGTTTGAGTACCAAGGCGTTTGAGAACCAAGGTACCACTGTACTTCTGTGACATGTTAGCTGAGGTCTTTGCTGAAATTTCATCTGCTGGGTGGGGGACAGGGATGCTATCACAATATTGATGAATGATATTCAGCTAAGTCCTACCTAAGTTATTTATGTTTATTAACTTGAATGGGTCTCCTCTCGATAGGACTAGCATTGACTACCACTCTCTGTTCGTAGAAATATTTTGCACATGTTTCACACAAGAGCTTCTGAATGTGAAACAAACTGAAAATTCCAGTGTACGCATCCTATTCCCAGCAAATACATATCATATGGCTTTTCTATGACCCATGTGTGTGAAAATATGAAGCATCATTAACATTGCAAGGTTTTTGAAACAGTGGTTGGGCTTTTTATTAGATTTGAAACATTGCTTAGGAGTTTTATTATACTGATTTATTCACAATATTTTCTATCCATTTCCCCCTTAAAGCAGATGAAATAGCAGAATTTTTATGATTGACTGCACAAATGACTTCAAGACTCTTATTCTTGGGCACATATTTGCTTTATGAATGAACATGTAAGAATCTACTGTAGGTAACCAGACACTTTTGTGCACAGGATTATCTTGACACTTGCACAGAATATTTTTTTACTCCTGAAATAAATTTGTGCAGTGGCAGACTTGGGTATTATTGTTCCCTGTCCAAGGCCAAAAAGTGCCTCTACCCACTAGCCCTTGGGCTGCCCTCCCAAAGGTGGGTAAGGAGTCACCTGGCTTTGAGAAGGAGGCATGAGAGTTCAGCAGGGTCCCACAGCCCTCCCAGCTTTTTTTCAAATCTGGGAAAGCACTAACTAGGTTTTGGGAAGGAGGAGGGTGGACTCTAGGACCCTGTCAGACCCTCTTACCTCCTTTCCAAAGCCCAGCACCTCGCTTACTGGGCTTTGAGATGACACCCCCTAGGCTCAGCACCCAGTGAGTGCTCACCCTTGCACATCCCCAAATCCGCCCCTGATTTGCAACAGGCTTCACCAATAAATCATTTCCTCTATTGGGCTTGCTGGGGTCAGAACAAAACAAATCCTACTCACCTCTTCAGCATGAATGCCACAAAGCTTGCTTCCAGAAAGGAGTTTATTTTTCAGGCTTTTGTTCTAAATGGAGGAGAATAAATATATAGATATATATCACCAGCATGCATTAAAATATTAAGAAATCATCTAAATATTTTAGTATGGTATATGTAAATATGATATTTAGGATAGCAGTGAGGACAAAAATACATTAAGAATGAAGATAAATATATAAATAGCACAAGTAGCATTTTCTCTTTCCTAGATGCCTGTGGAATTTACTTTTAAATAATCATTTGAGGAGACAGAAAAGCACACTTAAGTTTTCAAAAATAGACTGTCAATCAAGGTGGAAAGTATTTGTTTGGACTAGCCACAATATGGGATAGAAAGGGTGACAGGTTATGGAAAGACACTTTCTCCCACTGTTGACTTCAATGAAGCAATTCTAGTTTTTGCTATGTATGGAATTTGTCCCTAGTTTTAGTGCATTTTCAGCACATGAAGGGGCTTGTCTGAACTCCCCCGATGTCTTCACACATAAACGTCACTAGCTCAAGTGGAAGCTGCATTGGCACAGGGAATAATCATGTGAAGCATCCTTGTCACAAGTCACCACACTTCAAATTTGACTGGATACGAAACCACGTGGGACCTGCAAATACTGTTCAAGCAATTTAAGAACTTCCCCCACAGTCTTGCTACTTGGTAGCCGATTTAATATACAGATTCTGTAAACAGAGAGGCTGAGTCTATTTTAATTCCATTCATCCTCATGCTAAGAATACAGTGAAGCGGACCAGAAGCCTATGTTTGCTTATATGCAGGCACCAAACTAGCCACACATTTTAGTGTATGTGAAAAATTTCCCAGGTACTTTGCAACAAAAGCTGTACCAAGTCTTTTCACTCTTCCCCCACCTCCATTTTCTGCCCTCATTATTGCACAGAAACCCATTACTATCTATATTTCATTACATGTGGGATATTAAGAAGCCTCATGAAAAAGCTAAAGTGGTTTCTAATGGATCTTATGTTTTTTTAAACACCATGCTACTCCAATCGAGGAGAGCTTGCATAATTAATACCACATTTTTAATATATTAACAACATTTACGACATTGACAAGCAGTGCAGATGTTCTGGATGCAGGATGATCCTGTAGAGTAAAGTGAGAGGCAGACTGCAAAAATTGCTTTCAGGCAATTTCCCATTTCTGGTTTTTATACAGCAAGTGTAATAATAGTATAGCACTTACTTACAGAGTCAAATAAAGCTCAGGAACCATTGTCTCGAGCCCTGGAGGCCCTATTTCTTTTCTATAAAACACCACTTTGGGAAGGAATGATTCTGAGCAGAGAAACAGCAGGGAGAAGACTCATCACTGTGTTGCTTTGCCCTGCAAAGGGTACTGAAACATGTTTTGGCAGCAACCCAACATGGGCAAAGTGGATGTCGTGGAATATGAAGAGGCATAGAAGTAAAGGATTAAGCACTTTCTCTCCTACTGTTGTTTCTCTATCCCTCCTGAGGTGTATATATATATTTCCCCTTAAAAAAAAAGGAGGTCATCACGATGCAACATGTGTTTAGGTCTTGTGAGTTAATTATTTGAGGAAATCACCATGAAATTGGTGCATACCGGTAATCTTTACAATTAAAAAAAAAGTTGGTCTGGAAAGCTTTTCACACTAGATAAGACAATCAAAACTAGATGATTGTATCACAAGGAAGATGTAGGCTAGGGGTCTTCAGGAACCGAAGAAGAAGAAGAAGAAGAAGAAGAAGAAGAAGAAGAAGAAGAAGAAGAGTTTGGATTTGATATCCCACTTTATCACTACCCGAAGGAGTCTCAAAGAGGCTAACATTCTCCTTTCCCTTCCTCCCCCACAACAAACACTCTGTGAGGTGAGTGAGGCTGAGAGACTTCAGAGAAGTGTGACTAGCTGAAGGTCACCCAGCAGCTACATGTGGAGGAGCGGAGAGGCGAACCCGGTTCCCCAGATTACGAGACTACTGCTCTTAAACACTACACCACACTGGCACTTAGGAGTGCCTAAGGAGGAGTGGCTTGCGATTTTGCTCCCAAATTCAATAGCTCCATTTTATTAGTGGGAAGGACCATTTAATAAGTCAAATGAACTCCAGTTGGCTGAGGTGGGAAGTAATCTGACTATGCAGAGATTAAACATCAGGAAGAACTTTCTGACAGTAAGAGCTGTCCAGCAGTGGAACGGACACCTTCCTTGGTGGTAGACTCTCCTTCCTTGGAGGTTTTAAAACAGAGTTTGGGTGCCCAACTGTCTTAGATGCTTTAGTTGAGATTCTTGCATTGCAAAGGGTTGGACTAGATGCCCCTTGGGGTCTCTTCCAACTCTACAATTCTATGATTCTGTGATTCTATTAACTACAGACAGGGTCAGTCTGGGGAGAGGGATTGTCCCTCTTCCTGGAGAGGAGGCAGAAGAAAGGTTTCTGCCTGTCACAACCAGTAGGAGGAATATCAGAGGAATATCCTTCACCTTGATGCAATAACTCTCAGGAAAAAATGAAATGAAAAGAAAAGGGCTAGAGCATTTCTCTTTGATTAATTTCTGTTAAATGCCATCCCATTACTTTTCACACTGCAGCATGCAGTGCCTAGGAAACCCACATCAAAACATATTTCAAAAATGAAATATGTGAAGTCATTCAATGACAAGCAGCTGTAAATGATATGGAAACGAAGCCCTATGCATTTGATTCTTTTAGATAAGCACACTGCAGCAGTAATGCAAATTTATTTCTAACTACTAATAGCATCCTCTAAAATTATGCATGGGAAACATGTTATCAATTGAAACAGAATATTAATTGAATTCAGTACATCAAGCCAGATTTAAGTCTGCATTCTAATGGAAACTCTGAAAGTCTGAGTTGTAAATAAGACATTTCTTAGTTTTATTGGACTAAATCTGCTTGCTAAGACCGATGCAAAAAATAATTCCCATTCACTGTTTACATTTGAAATCCCTCATGTGTCCTTTGCACAATTCCTAGGTAATGACAGCATGCAGCATCTTGTTTCACACACATTTTAACTTGTTCCTGTCTATTACCCACTGAAAGTGGCTCCTTCTGCAATGATAAATCGCTTCAAGCTGCTTGATGCAGGTGTTTGTGGCACTATGAGGCAATGAAGAGGAACTACAATATTATTCTACAGAGAACTCAGAATTCACACTTTCAGCACATCTCCTCATTTCTTTGGAGCACCTATGCAAAGCCAGTCAATCAGCACAAACTGGAAGAGACTAAGGATTTTCTGCCATGCATTAATTGACTTTGTCCTCAACAAGGGTACATGTCTGAGCTGGCATTTCACAGCTATAGTCTACACTGTCCCTTTTGTTCTTGATGCCAAGGGCCAGGGTCTAAGCCATCCTTAGGTTACTTTACACCTGCTGAGTCTTATGCTGTGCCAAGGGCATTTTTTAAATATACTTATGGATTGATTCTACAATTTTTTTGCATAGAGCAGGGGAGCCTCAAAGCAGCAGCAATGCACTTCAGCTTTGGGGAGCTTACATCTTTCTTACTTTATTTGGATTTTTTCCTCTGGCCCGGTGTTCAATATTGTAAACCCAGAGCAAAGTATCCAGGCAGGAGACAGTGGGAAATCTGGCACAAAAAGTGATTTTCTTTCCAAAGACAAATGCAGAGACTCTGAACTACAGTTCGATTTAGTCAGGCCAGAGAAGAGGAGGTCAAGGGCATCACAGCGCTCCGAAGGATAACTCGATTAATTATAAACCAATCCGAAAGAAAGCTTGAGAGGAATACTGAAAGCTGGCTGCATTTTCACAGTGAACAGAAAGAAATCTGAGACCTGGGAAGGACATGGTAAGCCTAAGGCAAGAACATCACACTCTTCACCTCAAATTAAGAATGAGTTTGAAGGTAACTTCTATTCACTGTTAAAGCAGGTGGTGCTAAATTCAGTGATAATTACTGTGCTAATGCATTGCTCATTTGGCTATGATACCTCTGGAGGTGATTATGGGGGAGGGACATTGAATCTACACAGAGTGCATATCCCAGTTGTTACACTTCACAAACGTTTGCAACAGCTTCTTGTACCACCAGCCCACTCCACACTACAAGCAAGTGCAGTTGAGCAACCCGCAAGGTCCCTGCCATTGCTGCTGAAGGAATCATGCTTTGAACCTACAAAAAAAGGATAGCTCCTTCTTCAAAGGTAATTATGTTAACTCAGTTTCATCACTTCCACCTTAGTACCAAACAGAGAGTGGGAAGTGTCCATAAAGAAACACCTTTATCTTAACATTCACCAACACTGACACCTTTACTTCTTTGTGCAGGGCCCTAGTTATGGAGCTTACTCCCATAGAAGGTGGTGGTGCCCGCCAATGGCCTTGAAAGAGGAGCAGACAAAATCATTGAGGTCTATTGATGGCTACTAGCCACAACAGCTACACTAGGCCCTCCATGTTTGTAGCAGCAATGCTTCTGAATACCAGTTGCTGGAAATCACAGGAGGGAAAAGTGCTCTTGTGCCTGAATCATCCTTGCAGGTTTCCCACAGGCATCTAGTTGGCCACTGTGAGAACAGAATGCTGGACTACATAAGCCATTGCCCTGATCCATCAGGGCCTTCATATGTTCTTAAGTTTAGTAGTGTCTATATAAAAACAGGAAACTGCCTTATCCCAGGTCACATCCCAGGTGGGAATGTTCAGGGAGGCAGGAGAGGATATATTGTTTATTAATATCCTTCCTAACTTGCGCTAGCAAGTTCTATAACTTAGCAGAGTTTTACATTCCCCTTTTAAACGCACAGCAGATAGCTGGTTGCAGTCTTGTTTAAGCCTCTCACTATCATAAAATTCAGTATTGAATTGTGTGTTCCTGGTAAGTTCCCTTTTAATCCCTCTTAAAAAGAATAAACAGGCCACAAACTTGTGTTAAGTATAGAAAAGAAGTTTACTCACATCATCAGTTCACAGTTGGATTCCTGAAGCCACACTTAGTTACATATGTGTTGATCTATCCCATATGGGGATAATCCCAGTGTCCTCTGTTGACTGAAAGTCAACAGAGCATTTCTAGCTAAAAAAAGCTGCCCCAGTGACAGAGGAAGTCAAAGAGAGGAGAGGAGAGTGTGCTGCGTTACTTGCCCTTTTGTTACCTGGGCAGGTAAGGTCACGCCCACCTCTAGTCACATGCAAAGGAAGTATGTCCCAGCCAGAAGGAAACAGGAAGTTTTCGACTGGCTGGACCAAACATTCCCCCGCATGTCCACTCTAGGAAAACAAGGAATCTTGTACTTGACTGCTACTTATAGATCACATCCCACAATTGTCACACTATTTATCTAGCTGTCCCAGTATTGCCAGCAGCTCACAAAGTTCTTACATGAGGTCTAGTTAGAACATTGGACTAGGACCTAGGAGAACAGGGTTCAAATCCCCACTTAGTCATGAAGCTAATTGGATGACTTTGGTCCAGTCATTGTCTCTTAGATGAACCTGCCTCACAGAGCTGCTGTGAGGGGGGAAATGAGGAGGGTGAAAACTGTGTATGCCACCACATTGAGCTCCTTCAGGAAATGCTGAATAGAAATAAATAAATAAACTGGAAATGACAGAGATTGAACTTAGAACCTTCTGCATGCAAAGCTTTACCTCTGAGCTATGGAATTTCTAAGATCCTCAGGTACACTTTGAGAATGACTCATGCATGAGCAATTTTGATTAAAAACTGAATTTGCCTGAATGCTTTTTCTTTTTCTTTTTAAGAGACATTTTGGACAGTTAACCTCCTTCCTTGCCCATCCCCATGGCACAGGTATACCAGTGATCAGTGTAGAAGCTTGCTGACAGCATGATGAATAATGATGTCATATTTACTTATTAAAGCAATACTCAACAAACCTCACAAGATGACAGGTTAAATTTATCAAGGGCACTCATGGGAACCTGTTGCGAAGAGCAAATGAACATTGTTGTTTATTGTTGGAGTGTTATTTGGTGTTACTGAGCTCTGACCACATTGCAGTGACAGGCATTGTTTTGCATCTTGATTAATACTGATGATATTCATTCTCTTGCAGTTTGCAAAGCACATTTAACCTGTGTTCAGGTTGGGCAAATAATCTGGCTGTTCAACTAATTATAACATTGTATTCATAATAATAGGTTGATGATAATGATAATTCAGAGGAAGATACAGTCCAGCTTATTTTTCACTACTTATTTTTCAACTACTGTTTTGCACTTCTAACCTGCCCTATCTTCAAGACTCATGATGGGCACAAGACAGAAGCTAACACCAAGAAACTAACACAACAGAGCCTTCCCAAGTTCCCTTCTTGCTGTACACAAGCCTTGTTTTAAACTTCCACTCCCTGCTACTCAGTGTCACCTTTTGCATGCTCCCTCAAACCTCTGACATTTTTTTAAATTGTCACTTTTTCCTTTCAGTGTTCTTCATCCCTCCTTTATTCAAACCTCTGTCATTGTTTAAATTTACCACATTACATGATATAGCCAGTTGCCCACTGACCTACAGAATCATCATGTGAGTGAGAGCCCTGATGGTTTGGTCAAGCAAAATTTACTTAGGCCTGGATTTGATTTCTACACTGATGAATGATCGTAAACCTTCAGTCAGGCTTGAACAAAGATTGCAGCGAGGCACCTGTGATCTTGTTCTGAAGGCATTTGCTGTCTCACTGTCTAGGAATAAGTTTAAAGAAAGCAATTGTCCTGGACAAGTCACACAATACAGTGATCAGTTAAGGAAAAAGGAAGTGGATGTTCTCTGAGACCCAATCCAAATGTTATACTCAACACATCTCAGTCATGAGTTTCCTCCCTCCCACAACCCCTATATGTCTTATTTATGACAAGTATAAGACATTATTATGGGATATGTGCACATTCATGTAGCAAATGCTGTCACAGACTGCCTGCAGGGTATGTCAGGTCAAAGCCTACTAGGGACCACAACATTGATCTGCATGCAAAACTACTGGAAGGTAGGGCAGAATTAAACACCACTTTAATAGGATTCTGTTCATCCACCCTTTTTGGAGATGCAACTTTATTATTTTCCTCATCTGTAGGCTACTTGAATTGTCTTTAAAAGCATCCCCATTCACAGTCTGTCACAGCAATAATCCACACAGTAACCAGGTCCAGACATTACGAAGGCATTCATTAAATGTTTTTTATATTAATAGAAAATATATTTTATACTTAACCACCAAGTTAAGCATATGAAACATAACTGCTCAAATAGCCAGGGGTTTATTTTTAATAACCACTTTCTCTTTAAAATACAGTAATTGTTAACACTAAACATAGCCCTTAGATTTAGTGAAAATGTCTCATTAAATCCAAAATAAATGAATCACCAAGGTAATTTGGGTAATATACAAGAGCAGTGAAGTGTTTGCGTCCTCTTCTCATTAAGCACATTTAATAACTAAAATCTGTTCTTGGTCTATGACATTATTGCTTGCTTCAGTTCCTAGTAATTTCAGCATCCCAGCTGATAGGAACCATAAGCAAAACATGCAAAATCTTGGTGACCATATTAATGTGTGACTGTATTTCCTTTATTAACTCATTAACAATATTTAAATCTGGTATAAACACCTAGCAAGACAGAAGGGAAGGGCCATGTGGGACCATGGCAAGCATTAGGGTCCACGGCAGAAGAAAACCCTAATTAAAACCTGTGAGATTGTCCCACTGGTGTTCATCAGTATTATCTAATTCAGTAAGTGAACCAATTCACATCTTTCTGCTAAACATAAAGAGCTCCACTGATTGGTTGTGCTTCCCCTTCAATGTGTCAAATGCCGCCATTTCTATAATAATACACCAGAACCTATTCTCATATAAAGCATCAGCAAATGACATGGCCCTTTCTGAACTGTAACATGTCAGGACGGAGATTGCAGATTTGATGCTTAGCGTCTTCTTGTTGTAACAGTTTGCTCATGTTTACATGAGCAAACTAGACTCTGTGATGTTTTGAAAGTTTCTGTCACAAATAGTTGGCACTGCTGCATGAGAGTTGAATGAAAGTAGCTCCGACCAAAAGAAATGTTACCAGGCCCTTGTTTTGACCATACAGTTAATATCTAATATTAAATAGCAAGCAACGTACTGTTCAGTGGGAGAAAAAACAACACCATTATGCAGGAAGGCTCAGTACAAATTAACCAGTGTCTTCTCCCGGATATTAAGAAGTGGGGGCATAGTGTTTGTTTATGCAAGGAGAATCACGTTCTCTTTCAGAAAATTATTTCCCACAATCAATGCCAATCTAGACATTTTACCCACTGTCTGGAAGGCGTTATTTGTTTTGATCAAGATAAATTTGAGTCTGCTTTCCCTTAATGAATAGAGTAAATCAAACTATGCCGAGCCCATCTTCAGGACATTTTATATAGGAATAATTTCTCCTCCCCAAAACAAAACAACTAAAAAACAAAACTGCATTGTGCTTCTCTGGACGATGACAGGGCTGATTGCCAAAATGAGCTATTTCCCATTTCCTATTAAATGATGGCTCTTTACAGAGGTTTGATAGCACAGGGGAGGGTGCGTGGGGAGGAAACAGCAGTGAAGGGCAAATAAATATCTTTGAACAACCTACTGTGTTTTCGTTAGCAGTGTTGGTATTGTGAGTTATGCAAATTGTTTTTCAGCAGAGTAGGAGTTTGCTTTATATGACATGAAATGGTGAATTTGCTAAAATCCAGGAAGGGTTGCCCAGCCCTTCAATCATACAAGAGAAAGATAAATTGACTTTCATGCAGCTTACTATAAGGAATCTAAATGAAGTGGAGTGTGTGTGTGGGATTTCAGCCGGAGAAATGGATAACTTTTATAAACAAGAATAACGCATAAGAGACAATAATGAATGTGTGAGAGTGGAGGAGCCACAACCTCAGAGATAGAACATTCAAAATCAGTCTATGATACTACACATACATGTGTGTTCACACATGCACATACACACTCCAATGCCCTCTTCTTATTTGGCTCCTAACATGATAGACAGATGATAAATTACGGTAACTGGATTAGAAAAGGAAGGAAGGAAGGAAGGAAGGAAGGAAGGAAGGAAGGAAACAGGTGTGGCAACACCTTTGGCCCTCCAGATGTTGGAGTACAACTGCCATCATCCCTGACCATTAGACATGCTGCCTGAGGCTGATTAGAGTTCAACAACATATGGAGGTCCAGAGGTGACCCACCCTGGAAAAAGAATGATAGATAAAAGTGACGTATGTAGGAACCCAATGAGATGTGGGGAGTGTTGACAATGGACTGAGATGTAAAGGTGTCTGCAGAGCAAAGAAACTGGGAAAAGAGGATGCCAGGGACTAGAGCAGGTGTAGGGCTGTGTGTGTGTGCAGTTATTTCTGGGATATTTCTCCATGCAATTACTTTTTCCTTTAGAGTGGCCTTTTCTTTCCTCTGGGAAAATTATTTCACTTCTTTCAGTAGATTGGTCCCCCAAATTCAGAAGAATATAAATTCAAATTTTTGTTTGAACATTTAAATTAGGGAAATTTGTTTCACATTGATTCTCCCCCACCCCACCCCAGCGAGAACATTCAGCCGAACAGCCTAGATGGTGCCAAGATGGCCAGGTGCCTTTGCGTGCCATTGGAGCAAGAGAGGCAGAGCGGGAAAATCATTGGTGCCGATTCATACATTACTAAGGTAGTCCAAGGAGGCAGGCAAGATTTGATCCGTACTTAAGGAACAATCTGCCTTCTCTCCAGCCTCTCCATTTGCTGCAGCAGCCTCCCTTTCTGTCTCCCAGTGTGCTTCAGGGTTCCCACTAGGCGGCCATACAGGATTTTTTCTCCTATTTGTATTTTGGATTGCAGATTGTTTTGTTTTTTTGCCTTGTTGTTGTTGTTGTTTAGTCGTTTAGTCGTGTCCGACTCTTCATGACCCCATGGACCAGAGTACGCCAGGCACTCCTGTCTTCCACTGCCTCCCGCAGTTTGGTCAGACTCATGTTTGTAGCTTCGAGAACACTGTCCAACCATCTCATCCTCTGTCGTCCCCTTCTCCTTGTGCCCTCCATCTTTCCCAACATCAGGGTCTTTTCCAGGAAATCTTCTCTTCTCATGAGGTGGCCAAAGTATTGGAGCCTCAGCTTCACGATCTGTCCTTCGAGTGAGCACTCAGGGCTGATTTCCTTAAGAATGGATAGGTTTGATCTTTTTGCAGTCCATGGGACTCTCAAGAGTCTCCTCCAGCACAATAATTCAAAAGCATCTATTCTTCGGCGATCAGCCTTCTTGATGGTCCAGCTCTCACTTCCATACATCACTACTGGGGAAACCATGGCTTTAACTATACGGACCTTTGTTGGCAAGGTGATATCTCTGCTTTTTAAGACGCTATCTATGTTTGCCATCGCCTTTCTCTCAAGGAGCAGGCGTCTTTTAATTTCGTGGCTGCTGTCACCATCTGCAGTGATCATGGAGCCCAAGAATGAAGCCTACTTCACACTGAATAGCAGGATGGAGTGCTTAGGATTTTCATATTTTAAAAAGTGAGAATCAGGATGCAAAAGTCTGGGGGGAAAGGGTTTGGCCAAGTTTTTTTGTTTTTTTTTGGGGGGGGGGGTTGTTGAGCGTTTTTAAAGGGAAATTGCCAGAACCTACCTCTTCTGACATGCAGACAGATTTTCAGATATTACAGACATTTCCACCCAGACGTATGGCAACCCTAGGAATGCTTGATCTGCTGTGTTGTTAAATAGGTTAATCTTCTGGATTTTTTTCACTGCGTCAGGAGGTCAGATGTCCTCATCCACCTGAGGTGGACTAAACGACTAAACAACAACAAGGGAGCCATGCCCAATTCCTTAGGCAAGGCTGGTTCATCCAGTGGCTATAGTTATTCAGTTCAGTTACCTCCTGCTCCATAGTCAACCTCCTCTGCTGATTTTAATTTAATGTCTAAATAAAAGTGGCCCAGTTCAGCCCCAACTTGAATTCCTTATTGTGATTCAATTCATTTTAGCCCTTCCAAATCTGTGAGACCAGCCAGACCAGGTTTCTACAGAGGCAACTGGGGCAGGGCTGGTTTTATATAACCACTGCCTCAGTTTTTGTTCCTTCCTCAGATATTCAACCAAGCAATCATTTATTGTGTTTGACTAAAAGCCATTACAAAATCCTCAGCTATTCAGAGCACCTACTCTAGAGACTTTTGTCTCTCCCTTCCCTTCCCCTTGACTGTGGCCTTTGGGAACCTGGTTGCCTGCCTGACCTGACTACATACCTGCCTCTGGCCCTGCTATGACCTACCATGAACTCATCTCTGGCCCTTGTGGGCTCACCCCCATCCAGACCTTTGGATTGTTCACAAAAGGAATCAGAATTTGGACACTCCTTTTTGCTTCTTTGCTGGGTGTTCATCTGTTCGTTGGGAGGTATCTATGACTGTTCAGATAGCTCTTTTCCACAACATCCCCCCAAAATCCTTCAATTTATTTCTACACAGTTTACCTCAAACTTGTTATAGAAAAGCATGTTCACTTAATGATTCCATTCACGTAGGAAGCATTTCTAATTAAAGCAAAGCAATGGATTTAAACAGAGAATCCCATTTTACAGTATTTGATTCTGAGATGTAGGGTAATTGCTTGCACTATGCAGGATTGTGTAGTGAGGAAGCCTGGTGATTCTTTGATCCTTTCTTCTGAAGGGAGTGATTGGGAGCTTCCAGTGCTGCTTGCAAGATTCAGTAAAAACAGAGCACCTTTTCAGAGATATGTCAGCCTGCAGCACCATCTTTCCATTTATTTGAGAAATGGTGCAGAAGTGTTTGACCTCCGCAGGCTGCAGATTGGGCTTAAAAAGTCCATTACTGTGAACTGACAGCACCACCAAAGGCAAACTGATAAAAATGAAATGAGCAACATCCTGAAGCTATATATGCAAAGAAAAAAGGGGGGGTGTAATCTAAATATCAAATGCGTTATTGAATTCCTGGCTTCCAAACAACACTGCTGCTGCATTGAACAAGCATGGGAGGAGGCAGAGTACCACTATTTAGCTCCACATCTTTTATCTTTCTTCTACAGACTGTAGAATAGTGCATTAAGTTCTGGCAGGTTAGTAAACATTTGTATTGTGACCATTGTCTTAAATATACCCTTGTGGAAAGAGAATAGGTACAAGAAGCAGGAACAGATTACCAAGATTCTTAGAATGAAAATGGCACTTAGGTTGCCCTCCCATTAATATAATTTGTAAGTTGGTTCCCCACCGCACCCCCCACATAAATGCAGGCAATCGTTGTGCTAGTGAGCTTTCTGTTCCGAAATTGCCCCAGTGCATATTTTGTAAACTATTGCATGTGCTCGTGGAGTCCAGCTGTGTACTTTTGACACTATCAGGATGTGCATTGAGACTCTGAAACCGTCTCCCTAGAAAAGTTAGACTGGCTAGAAGTTAGTCCTTCCACTAGCAGGTGAACACTTTCTTATTCCAACAGGCTTTTGGGGAACTGATTTCTTTTAATGAAAGATATGGTGCCGTGCTGTTTTTATTGCAATTATTTGTATAGTTTTAATAGCATGCCTGTATATGTTTAATTGTTGTTGTTTTTTAATTCCCCCCTCCCAATGTTTTTAGCTGTTTTTATTTTTCTCTGTAAGCCACCTTGAACATCTATCAGAGAAAGAGGCAGGGTATAAATAAATATATAATATTAATATAACAACAGGGTCTCAATTCAGAGCAGGGGCCCCTTGCTGGCAAAGGAAAGGGGTTGTACTCATGACAAAAGTACATGATTAATGTCACGTATATGTTGAGCACAGACAGGGAAGAGAAGACTATTGCAAATATCATCAGAACATGAAAAGACAGCAGAAGCAGCAACAACTTACCCAGATACTAGGTCTCAGTCAAGGAAAAGGTACACAAGGGACTCCATAAAACCAGGCAACACATTGGGGATTCTTCCTGAATGTCAGGAGGCAAGTAGTGGCTGCTCTCCTACATTTTAACAGGCCTACTGCATGTAGGTGGTCATGCAAACAGCCAGAAATGCTGCCAAGTTTCACATTTCCTGGCATAGACATACAAACCACAGCACATGAATTGATTTTAGAATGTATTTCAGTTAATTGACCGTGATTTTATGTAAATTGTGCTACTTTTACTGTTGTTAGCCGCTCTGAGCCTGGCTTTGGCTGGGGAGGGCAGGATATAAATAAAATTTTATCCTCCTCCTCCTCCTCCTCCTTCTTCTTCTAAAGCTGGGCTCAAATATGAAGCAGTATTACAACCTAAACAATTCCAATGCAGTTCAGAATGCAAAATGAGTTTCTACACAGGCATGAAGAGTGCTTTTTAACTTAAATCCTCTTTTAATTGAAGTCCTGGGCACCAATTAGTACTCAGACAGAGCTAAAACACCCCAAAAAGGACTGTGATTTTAATTGAACAAAGAGCCATATGGAAGGAAGCAAATACTTTGTTTCTGTCATCTCACTATAAACCAAAGAGGTCAGGAATGACACTCCCCCTGACTGCCTTGAGGCAAAACATTTGCTGTGTGGGATGTGGTAGCCAATGGGAGGATGGATCTAAGATATGCATACTTGTAAGCATTGTTTGGCCGGATAGCTGCAAAATTCAGATGTGTAACTATTGAAGAATGGCCGTGTTTCAGTTCTCATTGTATTGGAAAGTGCAAATTTCATAGATTAGACTTTAAAGGTGAATGTTACTCAAAACATTTTCAGGCAGTGTTTGGAAGTTAATAAGAGTAGCTCCATACCAAAGCAGTTCCAGAATTGAATATTTTCTCTGAGAATCTCTTTTTTGTCCTCTTCTTTCCCTTGCCAACATTTTTTTTTAGAACAAACAACAAGCTAAAAATCTAAAATGTATAATTTTTCTACCCAGGGATGGCAGAAGGTGGAAAAACCTGTTGCTCCCATTGATGCTTAGTGAAATGCTACCGGTTATCTCTTTATAATAAAAAAAGACCCACGTGATTTTGACCTCAAAGTGATCCACAAATCTCTCACTGATTTGTAGTAACTGATATAACACTCGTCTGGACTAGTCAGTTTACTACTCTAAGCAGCTCTGCTGGCTGATTCACCAAGGATGTCATAGAGGCTGAGAGATATAATCTGTTTGCTGCCACCACTGAGATGTTAAGGATTGGCTACATGTTTGTACTTCTTTTGGGTCAGATTTGCAGTGGGAACTTGCACCAGCCAGTATACAGCTTGCTTCATTGCTTTGAGCTCCTGCCCCCCATGGCTGGAGGTGGCGCTTAGGAGTGATCCTGTCAATGGCCCCATGCATCTCACTATTCTGTAGTGAAACTAGGGCCTTGGCAGGAACATCAGTCATGCCACCTGGAAAATCCACCAGTCTTCAAAAGTCCCTCAGATTCCATCAATCTGATTGGTCACCCACCCTCCTTTGGGGTCAGTCACAGACAATCCAAACCTCACTCTCAACTTTAACTTGGTCTATATTACAAAACATATGGTTTCCACTCTTGCTTAGAGAATCTTTAAAGTTCTCTGAGCAAGAATAGATTCTCATATTTTGGTAATCCGTATATGAGCGGAATAGTATCTTCTGACAGTAGGTACAGACTTTTATATCTTCTGACAGTAGGTGCAGACTTTAAGTCAATGAGGCTAGACCAGTCCATGGCAGCAGAACGAAGTAAAACCATTTGTCCCTCGCTATCTCTTCTCACTGTGACAACTAGGCCAAGTTATACCAAACTAGCAAACTCTGCTAATGCTCTATGTCTCCATTCTTCTAGAATAGTTGCAGAAACCATCTCTATGTGTGCACTTCACCTGAGAGCCGTTTTGCACATAATCAATAGCCTGCATCAAACTGACCTGGGTTTTAACACAACATGATGAGCTAGCAAAAATGCTTCTGAAAAAATCTACAGCAGTTTTATAGTGATTCATTAGCTAACCTTTTCAACTACAAGAGTGATATAATTTAAATAGCTCAGGGATTACTGTATCACTGAAGTCAAACCCACATTGCTTAATGTGAATTTATTTTATTCCATTTTATTCTATTCACTATTGCGTCCCCCACCATCTGCTTTATGCTCCTTCACTTTATAAAGAAAATAACTACAATAACAGCTTCAGTAAGAGTCTGTACCCTTCAGGACACCCCTATAGTGCAGCCGCTATAAAAGGTTCGTTTGTTCAACGATTAAAGTCCTACGTGATCTGAGTTCAGACCGGAGAAATCCAGGTCGGTTTCTATCTATGCAGCACTATTTTTAGTACGAAAGGACCAAAATAGTGGGACCTATACTAAATAAACGTCCCAAAATAAACTACTGACTTCTACTAAAGTAGTTATTATGCTTTTCTCCTAAATCAAAATCAGGTTTATTAAGGTGGCAGAGTCAAGCAATGCAAAAGACCTAAAATCTTTCTACAGGGAAGCAAATTCCCTTCTTAATAATGCAGAAACTTATAACACATATTATTAGCCCAATCTCATACATCATCCCCATCCTTATTGCTGTAGCATTCTTAACGTTACTTGAACGAAAAATCCTAGGTTATATACAACTCCGAAAAGGCCCAAACATAGTCGGACCTTTTGGGATTTTACAACCAATTGCTGATGGGGTTAAACTATTTATTAAAGAACCTATTCGCCCAACACATGCATCCCCGATACTTTTTATTTTAGCCCCAACCCTAGCCCTCTTACTAGCCCTTATAATATGAACCCCTATACCCATACCCCACCCCTCGCAGACATAAACCTGGGTCTCCTATTCCTACTCGCCCTCTCAAGTATAATAGTCTATACAATTTTATGATCTGGATGAGCATCCAACTCAAAATACGCCCTAATAGGGGCCCTTCGAGCTATTGCACAAACAATTTCCTACGAAGTTACCTTAGGCATTATTTTACTCTCCATTATTATATTAACCGGCGCCTTTACAATATCCACTCTTATCATTACACAAGAACACACATGATTAATTTTATCTACCTGACCTCTAGCCATAATATGATACGTATCAACCCTAGCAGAAACAAACCGAGCACCCTTCGACTTAACAGAGGGCGAATCAGAACTTGTTTCAGGCTTTAATGTAGAATACGCAGCAGGACCCTTCGCACTTTTTTTCTAGCTGAATATATAAACATTTTAATGATAAACACACTATCATGCATCTTATTTCTTAGTCCAACCATCACCTTACAAACAGAACTTTTTACAATTAACTTAATAACAAAAACTACCCTACTAACTATTGGTTTTTTATGAGTCCGAGCCTCCTACCCACGATTTCGTTATGATCAGCTAATACATCTTCTATGAAAACAATTTCTCCCAGCTACTCTAGCACTTTATTTATGATATATCTCCTTTCCAATCTCACTAGCCGGTCTCCCACCATTAAATTAACTTTCACCAGGATGTGTGCCCGAGACTTAGGGGTTACTTTGATAGAGTAAACCACAGGGACTTATAAACCCCCTCACCTCCTCTAGAAGAATGGGACTTGAACCCACACCTAAGACTCCAAAATCCTTCGTACTACCACTATACTATCCCCTAGTAAAGTCAGCTAATAAAGCTCTTGGGCCCATACCCCAAAAATGTTGGTCAAACCCCTCCTTTACTAATGAACCCCTACATTATATCCATCTTAATGTGCAATTTAGCCCTTGGAGCAATCATCACAGCTGCCAGCTATCATTGATTTCTAGCCTGAATCGGATTAGAACTTAATACCCTTGCTATTATTCCAATCCTAGCTAAACACCACCACCCACGAGCCACCGAAGCCGCAACAAAATACTTTATTATTCAAGCAACTGCTTCAGCCATTATAGTATTTTCAAAGTATATAATTACCACTGTCTGGAACCTGAGATGGTGTCAGAGACAGACGCTTAGGGGAAGTTCATTGACTGTGGATAAAACGTTTTTTGACAGATAGTTAAAAAAGAGAAACATATTGATTCCAATGTTCCCTTTTGCACTTAAAAGGAACAAAATATCTGAAAAACGAAAGGAATTTTGTTGCTGGATCTGCTTCTAAAAAGATGGATACAAACAGAAATTGTTTCCTCTAGAGGGAGCTTGTGAAACTGTTGCTGGAGTCGATCTGGGGAATTCTACAGCTGTAGAGATTAAAGATCGTGAGAACCAGACACTGACCTTGAACAAGAATGTGCCCAGAAGAAGCTTTAGTGCTTGCTTTTTGCAAGACAAGTGCTTTACTGGAACAGCTACATGACATGAGAAGATGGATTTGATGACTGTTGCAGTTGGCAATTTTGGACAAACAGTGAATATCTATATAGAAACCACTCAGGAATCAACCCAGGAATGTGCTTTGACAGGGCAAGTTGTGAAGAAGATAAAGGAGGAGGTTGTTGCTGAACCTCAAGTAATAGAAATGGAGAGAGCTGCGGCCTTGCAGGAACATAAGTTGTTGTTTCTGACGACTGAACCTGGAGAAAGTCAGATTTGGAGAGATGGAGTACTGTTTGGTCTGGAGATGGGAAGTTGGATAGATCCCCCTATGCAGGGATGTTTTGACTTTTCGGATCTGGTTTTGGGCCAGGGGGAGTTTGGAGTTGTGGGGGCCCTTAACCTTGGAGGGACTTTGAAGCATGCCTTTAAATATCTTTTGGATTTCAGTGCTGACTATGGAGAATGGGCTGACTTGTCGAGAAGGGATAAAGATATTGTCAAGTTGGAGTCTCCCCGAGATCTACCCCTCAGTGAGAAAGGAAGGAAATTAAGAATAAGAACAGCAGAAGATAAAGTAAAGTGCAGGTATAAACATGAAGAAGACCTGCAGAAGGGACATGGAAAAGACTTAAGAGCCTCGGATAGAAGGTCACCAGGTTGATGGACTAGATGGAAGGGATAGAAAGGACTGATAAAACCCGAGACCAGGAAGAAGAGACGATGGATGAAGATTGGAAGAAAGTTTTAAAAATTCATTTAGAAAATCATTGTAAAATTAATGAGTATTAGAAAAATGTTGGAATGAAACTATTTGGCTTTAGTAGAAATGTTAAAAGGAATTATGTATAAATAAGTTTTAAGTTTTAAGCTTTAGGGCTTTTTATGGTAAGATAAGGTTAAAATAAATTAAGGTAATTTAATGACAGAATATAGTGAAAGATTGAAAGGATTTGCTGAGATTATTAATAACTAGAATACAAAAAAGGGAGGTGTGAGGAGGTTGATGAAACAAGTTAACGAAAGATAAAGATTTGGGAATATTGGATTTGTTTTTAAAAAAATTTATTTTTGGTTTTGGTTTTGATGTATTGTGTGTTTTGTTTTTTCTTTTTTTTCTTTTCTTTTTACTGACTTGTATTGTTTAATTTCTCTTTTTGTTTACCTTTTTTCCTTTTCCTTTTTTTTCTCTGTAATTTTAAATTCTCAATAAATATCATTTTTTAAAAAAGGAAAAGAAACATAGATTGAGTTTCAGTGATCTTGGAGAAGACAGGGGTTTTCATGCATGGGACGTTTAGATATTATTTTTTAGAAAGTGAATTTTTAAAACTTTTTTTGGTAGAAGTGGATGCAACTTGCAGGCATCTGACACATTTCAGAAAGACTTTCTCCAGACAAACCATAGGCTGTAATTAACTTTTTTTTATTGATTTACAGCTCAAGGCTTGTCTGGAAGAAACCACCAGCTTGGGTTTGAACAATACTCAAAGTCAAGCCATAATTTAGCTGACAGTGGTGCAGCAGTAGCAGGACTCCGGAAGTCCTCATACTCACACATTTGCACTAAGTCATGGCTAGGCTCTCTCAGATATGTGTGTTTGAATTGGAGTGACCACATCAAATAAATTTCTGTGATGAAAAGTTAGAGTTGCTTGTTGAAACAGAAGATCCCCAAAAGCCTTCCTAAGACGTTACTAATCAGTTGAACACAAACATTTGAATTCTCTTAAATTTTGAAGCCCATTTTGAATCGTTGTCAGAGTCATGACAACAGTGGTAGTAACAGACATCAAGAGTTGCCAGATGGCTATCCATCCTTACAAAGCAAAATCATGTGCTACCTTTCTCTATGAACCTTTCTGCACTGACCACTTATAGTGGTATAGCTGCCATTTCATCTGGTGTGTCAAAGAGCAAATTTGTTGCTGATTGTCTCCACTTGTGGTCACATGTTACTCCTATTACATAGTGAGTATGGAGTTTTTCTTTCCACACTAATGTTGGGTTGCGCCTGAATTGAGAAAAAATCCATGGCTGTAGTCATACTCCTTATGTACCGCCATGTTCCTCCAGCCAGTAAATCTCAGAATGATGAGCATGAGCCCTTTCACAGCTCTTTTTTTTTGGGGGGGTGTCTTTTTTTAACACCTAGTATTCAGGAATATTGTGGGAGCATCAGAGGTTACATATCTATGGTGAACCTGGCTATTGTGATGAATTCTGTCTGTAGCTAATGATCACTGTCAAGCACACTACTTTGGGCTCTATCTGCCAGATCTTTCTTTTGAACCGAGCTTGAAAATGGACAGCTCGCCCCTGTCAGAGGGAGGTAATGCAAAATGTCTCCCAAGCCATGCACATCAACCCCTCCACAAAGAAACAGGGACAACATAAAACCATTCCAAATCTTTCCCAAAATATTGATTGCTTGTGGTAGAATAAAAGTATTTTTTCAGCGAATTATTCCAAAATATTAGCTGAATAATGATGACATTGTATGGCAGCATGCTGAAAAATGTGACACACTCACCCACCCATCAAGTTTAACACAGTAAATGAAAGTAGAAGGGCCCTACCAATTTCTTCTTAATACCGTATTGACCCGAATATAAGCCACACTTTCCCCCAAATTCTGACCATGAAAAGTTAAAGTGCGGCTTATATTTGTGACCTTACAAAAATTGGCTTAGAGAGGGCTTGTCCCCAGATGTTGCTTGGTTTTGGCTGGCCCAGCTCCCAAAATGACGTCGCAGTGAGGGCAGGGAGCCAGAAGGTGACAAGGAGGAGGAAGGGAGGGAGGAGCGCAGATGAGAGAGTGAGGAGGTCTGCTAGGAGGAGGAACAGGAGATGCAGTCAGTGTGCTGGGACTGGTGCTAGTCCAAGGTGCTGCCTGGCTGTAGCCCAACGAGGGGCACGTGAGTCCCACCAGCTGCTGCCTCTCTCTGCCCATCCCATCGGGGGGGGGCATGGTGGTGCTGACCCTCTGGAAGCCCTGCTGCCCACCGCTGTTGCCACCAGCAGTGGAGTAAAGGCGCTGCCTCCGTGGCCTCCCTCAGCCCCCGCTCCTCCTCAGGTATTGTCTTTTCCCCCCTTTAATTTTAAAGGTGTGGCTTATATTCGGGCCAGTACGGTACTTCTATAGACTTTTGTTAAAGCAAAAGCCTGTTTATCAAAAGATTCCTCCCCTAGTTTTGCAGAAGGCTATGGATAAGTTGTTTTCAGAAGAGGGGTCCTCTCACCATGAAAATCTTCTTGCGTTAATGCTTTTGCCCACACTCCAGATGTCACCCATTATTGATAGCATTTTCTCTACAGTGGCATCTGTGCTTGTGAAAAGCACCTCAGACAAATTGGACTGGTTGGTGCTATTTAAGATTGTTGTGGGTTAGGGTGGGTGAGTAAGAAGGAGGGAGTGCCATTTGTTTTCAGTACACTCACCTGTGTTTCCACTACATTCTTGGGGGGCGGGGGCGGGAACCACCAGAAAATAAGAAAAATAAGATTTGCAGGCGCCCAAAATCAAATGGATACTTGGTTTTCATTGATTTTTCCCAAAGATCAAATAAAACCCTTGTAATAAAAATTAAGGCCTAGATCCTCAACAATTCTATTAGCAACCGAATCACACACAACCTCATAAGAATCATTAAAGATAAAGGTAAGCTGTAGCAGACCTTAGATTGCTGCAAAATTGGTACAGACCACAAAACCATCAGAGGAGCAATTTAGATGTAACAGTATCTTTTTAATGTGAACAGTTGTACTTAAAATTTCTACTCATGTACAAATCCTGCACTATAGGCACCCTCTCTGCTATATACAGTGGTACCTCAGGTTAAGTACTTAATTCGTTCCGGAGGTCCGTACTTAACCTGAAACTGTTCTTAACCTGAAGCACCACTTTAGCTAATGGGGCCTCCTGCTGCCGGAGCATGATCTCTGTTCTCAACCTGAAGCAAAGTTCTTAACCTGAAGCACTTTTTCTGGGTTAGCGGAGTCTGTAACCTGAAGCGTATGTAACCTGAGGTACCACTGTATTGGGGGGGGGTGTTCTTGGGTTCTGCGTTTACATGATCATTTTTGCATATTAGAACATTTTCAGTATAATCTGATCTATTACAGAACAATGAACGTTCAGAAATGTGAAGGTTTTTGATGTCACATTTTGAGTGGGAACGGAGAGATGAAGACACCATCAATCCAAGCACCCTTGAAAATGTCAAAAGCACACACTCCAAGCACCAGTTTCTGCATGCATGAAACTGAAAAAAGTTATTGGCACTGCCTCAAAACTAGGCCATGGTCAGATCTTGCCTGCTTATATGCACCACAGCTGCCATTCTTTTTCCAACAGGAGGGATTGTTTTGAACATTCAGGGTTTTTAATCTGATTGATAAAACTTTCTTCAACTCACAAGAAAGATTATGGTCACTGAAAACTTCTCATTGTGCCATGACTGCATTTTCCTTTATTTTTAAAAAGCATACACGGAAATATGGATTGGCAACTCCCCAAATACTTTACCTTTTGCTTCCAAATTGACATCTGCTAGGAATTTTCATATTCTTGTATCACTGTCATGCTGCATTATCAGTAAATTTAAAAACAATTCTCTTTCTCCCTGTCTTTCTGGTAACATTCACACATCACACAAAATAATTGTTTAGAGCGGCATGCGTGAGTCACAGTAAGCTTTGGGCTTCCATGCTCCTTCCCCCTAATTAAAACAAACAAACAAACAAACAAACAAACCAGAACAACAAGGCAGATACAGTGTTGTGATTCAGAAATGCAGAGCTGAAAGAGAAATTATTTCAAGGGAAGGGAGAAAGGTAGCATTCAGAACATGGTGGTGTAATGCTAAGCATATTGAATACCTTTTATTTTGTTTGCCAAGCTTTGCCTCGCATTTACATCTCACCACCACCAACTGGGAAAATAAACCTTCATGAGAGTTTGTGTCAGATGCAGGAAAACTTAATGGGCCAGATTCAACTGAATACCAGTGGGATACAGTGCAACAAGTTCCACTAGCACAAAATGGCTTCTCTCCTATCTCCTTTCCCTGGGCATACCCCCAATTTGGCAAGGGGCAGCAGGAGATCTCCCAAAACAGGACATGAGAGGAGGAAGGAGCTCCATTGTCAGACAAATGGAAATGACTGCACTGCCGAAGCAATTTCCTTAGCACTCCCTTGAGTTCCACCCAATTTTAAATGAATATATAAGGTGCTAAGACCAGAAAAGAGGACTGTGTCACTTGTCCATCTCAGTCATGTTGGATTAATAACCTGTGATGTCACAGGGCACTCCAAATAGCCTGGCAAGCACTGGCAGAAGGAAAACTGCATTCTCCCCCCACACAAATATTATAGTGTGAACATGGAATTCTTAGCAATACACAATCTGGAGTAAAGAAGTGTGGATCTATAGCAATGTGCTAGCTTGTGGGAGATAGCTGTGAACAATATATCAAATGTCACTTGTCTGTGAAGAAGAGAGATGTGGTGCCACAGTCTCTATTCATGCTTGGGGGAAAAAATTCTCTTGTTCTAGCCAACGTTTTACGAATCTAGATTTTCCCTGGGATGGTGATGTTTTGAATAGTTTAAAAAACAAAAACAAAAAAACAAGCAAAAGTCTGGTGGATAAATCTGAAAGACCTGGTAAGTGAACCAATTCCCTGTAGCTCCCTAAAAAGAGCAAGCGATTATAAGGCATTTGTTCCTCATTAAGAGAAAATGTTGCAAGGTGGAAACTGGCAGCTGTTTATGAATTTGGGTATGGTGTGGCCTTGAAAGTGTTAGCAAACCTTCTTAGGCTTTTCAGTCACAAACAATGGAAAATAAAAAGCACTGCATAGCTTTGCAGTTGGCTGCAGAAAGTTGTAGGGTATGTCTATACAGTTTAAATTATAAACATAATCAACACAGCTCAGTACCTACCCCCTGAATAAAACTTTGTAGCCTCTCTTGTTTCTTGTGCAGTATGACAATGATTTATGAGAACACTAGATGCTGTTATACTTACTGGCTATTTTGTGTGCATTCACAATCTTTAATAAATATAGAATCAATTTCGGATGCATTATCCATCCAATACGCATATACTTCAGCCCATTGCTTGATAAATAGCTTGAATGAAACATGCTGAATTGGGTTTCTGAGCGTATAAAAATGTAGGATGCAGTTTGTACTGGAGGCATCCATTATTAAATCACAAACTTGGTATACTTATGTGTCTCCTGCCCCTATTGATTTTTTATTTGGCTGCATAAAATAAACAAATAAATCATAACAGCAATTATTATTCTGGAGGCAATTCAACTATGATCGATATTTTTTTAGAGGACAGCAGTTGCCAGCATACAATGGTGATACAAAAGGTTAACTCTTCCAACTGGTGGTGACCATGAACACTTTTCTTGTAATGTTTGATCAAGAAAAAAAGGAGGCTAGTATGATGTAGTGGCTAAGTAAATGCGATATCCCCATCTGAACTCTATTCTCAGATACAAATGTTTGCAGTAATCTTAACCAAGCCACTATGGGCTCAGCCTCCATCTGTAGAATGGGCACAATACTGGTCTATAATGCAGGGCTTTAAGGTGAATTGCATAGAGTACTTCAGACATGCTATGTAAAACATTGATAAGCATTGTTACTGGTAGATGGCTGACATTGTTCATGGTCGCTGCCATAATGAAAAATGTCAACAATAAAAGCTGTGTAGCTTGATACACCCGCAACTAAATTGTATAGAAATATAATCCACAAAATAAACTACACATAAATTCACTGAGTACCAAGTGATTTATATGGAAAGCTTAGCCACTCGCTACTGCAAGACTGAACAGAAAATGTGCTAGTTGCTCAAGATCTCATGCTTCATTTGCTAAGCAAGACTCCAGCTATGTAGCATTTTCAGAGGAAAGCAATGCAGCCAGGTGCCTGGAAATTTTTTAAAAGTCAAAGCATTTGTTCATGGTAGGAAAAAGTCACAAAAATAAACTTCCAAAAGTCTTCAAAGCAAACAAGCAAAATGGGTATCCACTGCTGACTTTCCTTAAAGGCTGTACTTATTCACAGAAGAACAGAAACAAATCTCTAATAATTGTCCCGGCCTCCAGCATGCCAAGAAAAACAATATTTTCACACTGCTGTGCATTCTGCATTTATGCTCTTTTTAAGTGCCTCTCTCAATTCAGCATTGAGATTTATCTATAAAAGCCACAATCCAAAGGAGCTATAAGCACAGCGGGCAAACAGTCAGGAACTTTTATGTTGCCACAAACAGCTTCCATCGCTGAAGTGTTACTCCACTGTTCAGTTTGGGGAAAACAGCTTGTTTCTTCAGCGATGGAAACTGTTAAGGTATCTACAAAAAACTATCCACACCCAATGAGCAGATTTAAAACTATAAACATATGCTTAGTGCTAAAGTACATATAGAATCACAGGTATATTTAAATGATATTTCTTTCTGCATTGTAGGAGTGATTTGGTTACTTATACTAGCTCTAAATGTATGGCACTGACTTAGTATTCTTGAAGATACAACAAATATATTCATAATAGAACAGAAGGTAAGTCAATATCAGAAGGTTCAGTGCAGTAGTATGCAGAGGGTAATAACAGATTAACAATACATGTTTTGTATATCCACAAGTGCCTATATAGGGTTCATATCATTCTCACAAGTAGTTGATTCCCAAGGTGTTCAGGTGGCATAAATTTGACTTACTGGATCTGCTGAGCAATATTCAAGCTACTTGAGATGCTGGTTTTATGTGTGAACTAAAGTATCCACAATTATTTCCTCTAAGTAGGTGCTATAGGGATCTGGTTCATATCACCTAGGGTTCAAGATTTGGGGTAGATGGAAGTATTGCAATCTCACCTTCCTCATTTCTTAGTGATTTACATTCAGGCTTATTTTCCTTCCTCGGAGTTTACATTTTATAGTAGGAGATCTACTTTGGATTAAATACAAACCCTAAATTTACATTTTTGAGTTGATATATTTGCATGTTCTAAGAGTGCTTGAGAGTAGGGGAAAGATAGCTTCTGTCTTCAGCAGTAATTGAATATTTGCCTCCCAATTCCAGCTGTTGTGAGTTTAATAACTATGCCGCAGTAGCAGCCGTAATAAATCAAAACTCTTAAATGCAGAATTAACTATGAGCGTATGAGAAAATCCAGGTCAGTAAATTCATCCTAGGTGTTCAAAATCTGCACTTTTTATAGAATACATATGTAGCATACGCATATATATATTAAAAAAATTGAAGATCTGATTAGGCTCTTAGAATGACTTCAAATTTACCTTTTAATATGATTCTGTCTGACACAAATAAAGAGCAGTGACAACTTCCACCCAGGAGAAATCTCAGGTTGCAGACACACAACCCATCAGAGGAGGGTAAATAAGCTGGAGGAGGGGAGGGGCCCTACTGTTATTGCAACTGCTCCATAGGGCTCAGAGCTGTGGACAGAGGCTAGAAGCATGCACATGTGTATATCCCACAGATCACCATGGAAGCTGCTGTAAGTGCTTCTCTTGCCAATAGAGTTAACTGCCTTCCATATCTGGGACAGGTCATGACAATTACCATTTAATTACACCCTCTTATAGTGAACTTGGTGGTTGCAGAATTGGAGCCTAAGCAAGGCCACTAAGAAATAAAACAGGCATGCAGCCAAGTTCAATCTAGCCAAAGACTTAAGCCTTCCTCCTTCATGATAGGGCCCAATACAGACTGAATACCCACGTGAGCTATTTGTGTGGGGCATGGGGGAGACCCCGGCGCTGGAAAGTATATGACACAATTAAATGAACATTTTACTTGGTCCTTACTGATTCTGTTCAGTATGTTCCTAAGCTTTGCAATGACCATTACAAGCTTATCAAGTTCTTTCTTTCAGTACCAGTACAATCAAATTAGCCTTCAGCACTGACGCAGCGAAAGAAAGTAATGACATTGTGGATCAAATCTGATTCCCACCCACCTCTCTTGATCAGTGCTTATCAAGAAATCTCTCAAGGCCCTGGATGTACGATAGCCAAGACAAGGAGCATGACACTGTACAAAAGGGAAGGGAGACACTGAGACATTAAGACAAACTAATTAAAGGCCTTATCTGATTTTCAAAACCAATTTGTAGCTGTATGCACATTTGTGTGTGCACGAATTTTGCAAATCGGGGAGAAGAGAGTTTGATCATCCTTATAGGAAACTAGAAGCCTGAACAAAAGAACTGGCTGGTTAGTTTAAAAAAACCCCACGCAGCTAGCACAATGCTTTGGGGCTCTCATTGCCCCCTTAGTTTACAAGGTCATAATGTCTCAGTGACAGCAGGGATCACAATTAAAAGATTTTCCATCAAGTTCTGGAGTCCGACCCAGCAAACCTCTCCTCTACTTGCTTATTCCTTCACCTGCCCACCACATTCCCATTAAGAACATTCTGTCCTTCCTGTTTTTAGGACATAGCATTTTGTTTGCATGCACAAACACAACTATTCCTTTTTTATTTGTTTCCCTTTTTCTTTAACTCCCTGTCTCCACTACCCATTGTTTCTGCAAGCTCTTTTCAGACAACTGCTTACTTTGCCCACCTTCCTTTCATCAACGCCTTTCCCCTTAATCAGCTTCTCTTCCTGTGCCTTGTACCATATATGCCATCATCTTAAACACTGGGAAGTTTCTTCAGAGTCTCCACTCTGATTCGTCCCGCTCCAGTTCCATCTCTCCTAAGGTCATTGCCTCCCTTCATCTTCCCTGTGGAAGGACCACAGGTCCGTGGTAGAGCAATGCTTTGAATACAAAAGGTCCCAGGGTCAATCAATCCCTGCTTCTCCAGGAAGGGCTGGGAGAGATTTCTACCTGAAACTCTGGAAACACTTAGGTAGATAGACCATTGGTCTGCCTTGACAATAGGCAGCTTCCCATATATCTATGATGTTGGGCTCCCCATCCTTAGTTTCTCTAAGGGAAAGCAAATTGAAATGCACTTCAATTTGCATAAAGTTTAAAATGCGTGAATTAAGTAGCTTCATATTTTAATACAGTAGGAACAAACTACTCCTACATATCTGTAAGCTCGGAAAGAGAATGCATGCATTGAATGTAAAACTCCCAGGCTGAATCATTGGTATCTCCAGATTAGGATTGGCTTGATATATAGTAGCTTCTTATTTTTCTCATTATTATAGCACTCTATACCCAAACATTTGTGAAACAGGACCAGTGGCTCTTTTCTTCCTGTTCCTGGTTTTTTAAATCTAACCGTTCCATTCTATACCCAGTGGTACAAATACAGAACTTAGTTTTATCTTCCACAAGTCCAGTTTAAACTATGCCTCCATGTCCTATGACTATAGCAGGTAATATAATCACACACAAAAATTTTGGCACAGGTGATCTAGAAAAAAAAAGTATTTACTGGAAGCGAGAATGGCTAGAATTATTTTTGCATGGAGCTGCACTTAAGATGACTGTCACAATACGTGATTAGAGAAGACTCTGAGCATATATGCCAGGCACAGAGGGAAACAGATTTAAGACTTTTCTTCATATTAATACCCTTTTTACAAGCCAAGTTGGCATTCAGCATTTTGGCAAAAATAACATCAGAGACATAATTGATCCAAAAAGGGAACAGTGTTTTTTATAGAGGCAGCCAAGAGACCTGAATGCCTTTCTGAAAAAAAACATAGTCATCATTGCTACTATGGAAATGATGGCCTGGTTTTTAAACCGGTTACTACAGCTCCCAAAGATTTCCTGAAGGAACTAAGAAATCTTCAAAGTAATTCAGTTCAATAAAGCAATCCAGGATTTGCTGCTAGTGAGGCCTCAAGGCTATGCCAAAAGCATTATTTTATTATGTCGGTTCATCAACATCTTGTATGATGATAATGAAGAACATTGGTCATGGTGTTGTATTTAATGTCCCCCCATGTAAGTAAAGGTCTCAAAAAATTACTAGTTACTGGTACATATGAGGTAGGGAGAAGAATAGTTAGCAGAGCGAGATGGGAAAGAGGGGCATCCTGGGATATTACAGAGCAATTTTGAAATGAAGTGGGGAACCATGTGAATAAATCTTTAGTAAGCTGATCCATCAAAGAAGTATAGTGTAAATTTACTAATAAGATGGCATCTAGCACCTGCAGGATTAAATAGAATTCACAGGGAATAAGTTGGATAACTCATTGAAATTATAAAATGGAAAGTGAAGGTTGTGCTTGCAAGAGAAAAAGGACAAAGTAGCAAGTAAGCAGGAGCTTGTTATTAGAAACTGTTGCAAGGGAAGGGAATTGGAATTTTCTGTGCCTTGTGATTAAACCAGGAGAAGCTAGTAGAAGAAAGTATATGGAAAATAACTGTCCCATTTCTTCTCTTTGCTTGTAAATGTATAAACACTTGTGTTGCTTGCATACTTGATGTGCCACCCATCAAATACAATGTCATGTTGCACCAGCCTTGCAATGCCTAAAAAAAATGCCCTGTTTTTCTGACTTCTGGAGTCTGGAATGTATTGGCTGTCTAGGTTGAACCCACAGGGCATTGGTCATTGAACCCCCATATTTACCCAACAACTCCATTTAAACGTCAGAATTGTCAGGACAGCAATGGGCATTTACTTCACATTGGTGGGAATGCCTGATCATAGCAAATTACTGGAGAACAATGTATTTTAGACGTAACTGGATGGACCAACCCTGTTGTTGTTCCTTTTTAACCTTAATGGTAAAGAAGAGTCTTAAAGATTGAAACCATTGGTCTCTATCTTAATAGTGGCTGCAAAAATCATATGGGCCAGATGGAAGAACCAGAATATTCCAACAGAGTGGAAATAGTTAATGACGTGCATACAATTTGCAGTTATGTACCATTGGACATAATTTGTATCAGGGAAGGAAGGAAGAAGGTGTAAGATTGAGTTTTCTGAGATATGGAATCGCTTTATTGATTATTTGGATAGATAAAATGGTAACGTAAAACTGGAAAGATCATAGAATCATAGAGTTGGAAGAGACCACAAGGGCCATCGAGTCCAACCCCCTGCCAAGCAGGAAACAAGATATTTATGTAGATTGTGTAAATTATAAATTAATAAAGAAAAGAAAGCTTACCACCTTCTTCTAAACTAGTACATCACCAGGGAGTAAGCTCAAATGAATTCTGTTGGATTTATTTCTGAGCAGACATTGTTAAGACTGTAATATTAGACCTTCTGTCATCTATTCCCCTTTCTTTCTCTCTCCTTTTTAAAGTTTATGCTTAGCCAACTTCAGTTTCATCCAGTTCCAAACTTTACTTCATTACCTCGGCAAGTATCAGCTGACAGTCATACATGAATATAGAATAATTAGAGTACAGTGGTACCTCGGTTTAAGAACAGTCCGGTTTAAGAACGATTTGGTTTACAAACTCCGCAAAACAGGAAATAGTGTCTTGGTTTGAGAACTTTACCTCAGTCTAAGAACAGAATCCGAACAGTGGAAGGGCACCAGCAGCGGGAGGCCTCATTAGGGAAAGTGCACCTCGGTTTAAGAATGGACTTCCAGAGCGGATTAAGTTCATAAACCAAGGTAGTACTATATGATTGCCCATTTTTACCAGTCTGCGGATAAAATCAACACATGAAGTCCCTGATCTACATATCAAGTCATTATATCATTTCATTTCCACACACATTTGTCTCCACCTCCATTCACTGCCACCAAATATCTCTATCTTCAAGTCATGCTCAACTGCCATTTCCTATTATGAGTTGTTAGAAATTCTTTTGAAATCAGTGCCTTTGTTTTGTTGTTGAATGATACACCAGGAAAGCTCTGAAATTGAATTCAGCTAACCTAGACCTCACCTTGATAAGAGTCTGTCTCTTGGTTGATCTAAGCATTAAACACTGGCAAGTGACAGCACAGACTGGACTGCTGAAAATAACCTATTGCTGAGCTTGGTGACTCCAGAATATGTGGTATATTGTTATGCTGAAGCATGGGGATCAATAGCATTGTGTGCACACAAACACACACATATATACACAGATATTTTATGTAAATGCAGAGTGAATCTAATGAGCAATCTTTTGAAGTAAAACAAATCTGGAAAAGAGCTACTAACTTAGAGGTCCTTCTACTATGTTAGATTACAAGCATGGAAATGAAGCTGGTGAAACAAGCAAAAGGTTCCAGGGTGATCTCTAGCAATCGATAGGATCAAGCAGTCATGGTTCAAACCGACGATCTGCCTGAGAACCGACAGGACCTTTGTTTGATGCTGATAGGATGTCAGATAATATCAGGCTCCATTTTCATAATGCATTCTGTGCCCATGCTGTAAGCAATGCAATACAAAATAAAGGTCTAATAGAATGTGACACGGTGTCATTAGGTAGCAGTGTTGTACTGGCTCCTTGGGAATATGGCTATTTGAAGAAAACCATCTGCTGAGCATTTCTGCCTCACTAGGTGTTTGCAAATGGAAGACAAGTGTTCATTAGCCCAAACACTTTAATAATAACTGAGTTATCCAGGCCATTATTATATACCACTGTTCCTCAACCTTGGGTACAGAGTTACTGTTGTACTGCAACTTCCATCATCCCCATGCAGCTTAGCTATTGGTCAGGGATGATGGGTACTGTGGTCCAACAACATCTGGGGATCCATGGTTGAAAAACATTGCTCTACATTGACTGGCACTGACACTCCTGGGTTTCCTATGGTAAACATTCCTAGATTGGAGATTCCAGAGATTGAATCTGAAAACTTGTGCATGAAAAGTGTGTTCTGCATGAAAAGTGTGTTCTACTGAGCTACAGTCCCTATGGGTCCTTTTCCCTTACACCACTGTCAAAACATCATTTATGAACTGAAAAATAGCAAGCAACTCTTTTCATCAATCATCTGTGTGTGTGTGTGTGTGTGTGTGTGTGGTTTTCCCCCCTACCACTATAAAAAGATTATGAATGCATGTTGTCAGAATTCCTGCTTTAGGCACCTCTTCCAGATAAAATCATGCAATGCCATGGCCATAAGACACAGGAAATATGTCAGTTGTCACTTTCAACTACTATTTAATAGCTATGTCAACAAATACAAGGAGTGCACACACATCATTTTGCTTGTGTATTTTAAGGCTGCAATCATAAGCATATATATGTGGAAGTAAGTCATATTGAAATCAAACTTCCATTTAAATGTAGCTGTGATCAGGATGCACAAGATTAAAATTAGCCAGGAGCTTTCTGTTGTTGCAGCTAACTTCAGGGAGAAAGGAGCTGGGAGAGAAATAAATACCCATGTGGGTCCACGTTTTGTGATACTTTGGGCCCACATCACCAGAGGTTTCACAAGAATCAGAATTTAATATCTTTTCATTTTAATCCTTGGAAATGAGAGGTGAAAGCAGGACCTATACCTGACTTCCTGAATCTTCAGTTCAAGCAGGGCATCCCAACCAATTCCACAAAAGAACACAGTGGGTTCTGAGTAGCTGCTTTTTAAGAGACTAGGACTTTTTTTCCTGGTCATCCCTGATTGGCTATTGGGCTATTCTACCTCAAATGTGCCCTTAAATGGTAGTAATGCCTCTTGCTTGTTGGCATGGAGGATGGAGATATATTTGTGTGTGAGAGAGAGACTGTAGAAACCTCTGACATTTGTGTGGCTTGAAAGCAACCTACTATCTGTCGTTCCACCCACTCTTGCCTCTGTCACTCTCCACCATGGGCACGTGGCCTGTGGGATATCACCCAATAAGGAATGCAGCTCTCAGGCCTTTGATACGAAACAGAAGGAAGGATAGGACAGTGCATCCTATTAAGGACATCAAAAGAAGGACTTAATGTAACAAGATACACCTTAGGGTTGCCATATTTCAAATAGTGAAAATCCAGACAGAATAGTTGTTGAACATTTTTCCAATTTTCACCCAGACACTGCTTCACAGAACCCTGCAAACCATTGGTGGAAACAGAAATGTAATGGTATACAAGGAATCGGGTTATTGGAAAACAGCCATTACAGGTTTTTTTGTTTTGGGGTTTTGTTTTGTTTTTGCAAAAGAAAAAAATAGATACAGGTAAGAAGGAAATAAGCAATAATGGAAAAAATATGAAGGGAAGGAACAAAGTTGATAAGAACAATGAAAATCAAAGTCTTTCTTCCCAAGAAAGGAAAAATATAAATTATCTGAGATCTTGTTTCCTGCTGTGATAAAAGAGTGCAGATTATCAATATGAAAAAAGCCAGTGAGAAAATACAGAAGTGACCTTGAATGCATATTGTAAGAAAAGTCTTTTGAAGCATATATCAGCTGTGGCTACAGTCCATGTCGACAAAGAAATAAGTCCCATTGAAGTCAATAGTTTTTAAAAACTTGATTTTAACATAGATTTTTGTTGATAATTTAATGTAGATTTTAGGTTCTTCGTACGCAGCTCAGATGTATTATTTACCATTAAGCAATACCATTAATTACCATTAATTAATTAATTAATTGAGCAATTACCATTAATACAACTTTTGCTAAATAAAATAAATAAATGGAGTTTTATCCCAAAGTGTTATATTATTTTAGCATGTTTCATGTCACATTTAAGGCTTCATTCCAACCCACCCACCCTTTGTGCCAGGCTGGAAGCAGGGTGGGGCTTGGGGCTTGGATTGTACAGAAATGTTCCTCTGCTCAGACCTCCGGGCTCCCACTATCCTCTGCCCATCCTGTCCAGAAAACATGCAGGCGGGCTGAAGTACCACTGGTGGGATCTTTGCTGGAAGTAGTGTGTGGAAAATTCCAAAACTGTGTGTTTTGTGGATTAGGGGAGGCTTAGTTGTCCTTGCATCGGAGCCCAAGTACTGCTATCACTTGACAGCATCTGCCTAGTGGCTGTGCCAGGTCCAGTAATTTGCCTGCCCCAGAGGTACAGGGATTTGTCGTCCACCCTGGCTGATGTGAGTGTCAGGACTGAGATTGCATCAATTTGCCATACCCCATATGCTGGGGTTTGTATTGTTATGTTAGAGAAGATAACACCACACTCTGTGGAAGAACTATAAGCTATAATCTTTTGAATTATGTTAATTATTTGTCTGCAGTTTTGTCAAATGGCTGCTAGAAATCATTGTAGTAGAAGTAGCTGTATACTTCTGAGGAGGATTTTAAATGTTGTTTCATTTTGTTTCCCACAACAATTTTGAACACAGTTTGAATTGTAAATACCTAACTGGGAGGAGGGACTGGTCTCCTAGCTGAAGCCAATATTTCATCAGGACATTGCAACACAGAGAGCTTAACAGTCTCTGAGTACAATGGCACTAGCTAGAGGCTGCACAATGTCTTGTGCAACACACATGTTGGATTCAGCAGTTGTGTTCTTGAAAGAACAAGGTTCCACGAGCACAATGGCTATTGTGTTGTGACTGGCCTGACACAACTGGATACCATCCATCACATTGGGGTTCAGCTGGCACTCTGCCAAGAGGCAGTTTAACTGATGCTTTTGCCCCAGAGGGTCTTTGTGCCTTAATAAGTTTCAAATTATAACAGTCGGTCGGAATGCACAGCTATTATATAATTTAGTGGAACAGAAAGAGGTCAACTTCTTTTGTAGGCATTCTGTTAAAATCTGTTGGTCACAGTTGTAAACCAATGAAGCTTTGGGATTACAGTGAATGTTCTTAGCTGGAATGTTTTGGCTGTAAAGAGTATAAGGCTCGGCACTGTTTAGGGGGTAGTTAGGCAGTCTTTGAGAGGAGGGAGCCGAGACAATAACTTAAGCTGAAATCACGGAAAGCAACAGTCAAGAGGGTCTGCAAAGAGGAAGAGACTCCAGTTGCAGTTTTTGGAAAGAGCTGAGGCCAGTGTGTCAACCGTTAACCTGAAGAAACAGAGAGTTCCCTCACTAGGAAGACATCTGGTGAAGACCCAGAAAGGCCTCGAAGGCAAGGGGGATGGGAAATTGAGTGGGTGGGTGGGACTTCCGGTGAAGTCTTCTAATCAGCCTGCAGAATGAAGCTAACAGGATGATTGGTATCAGTATAGCAACAGGAACTAGAGCAAGTGCACAGCCATCTTTTTAAAACAGCAGTACAGCGTTAACGTAAATGGAGCAACAGTAGTATCGATAAGTCGTTATTAAGCAAAGTATCGCAACATATTCAACCTGCAAATAAATCTATCTTGTTATGTTATTTTAAGCTAAAATGAAAGTTATTTAGCTTTAACTTTCCAATCCTGGTCTTTTTGTCCCATTCTTATAGCCCACTACTTTAAGTGAGTAAATGCATACAGAGGCATCCCCACCCTTCCTGGATTTTAATGATGGCAATGGGTAGATAAGACAGATAAGGAAAGCAGATACTCTTTAATATATGGTGTATTTGGCAGAGTTCCTGTGCATAATAATAATATAGTGATGAGAATATTAAACCACAGCTGGCTGCATTCACTGTAAGTGGTCATAGTGAGGGTTGGCATCAATCATTTGAGCGATGGGGGAAACATTACCCTTTGTGTGGCCAGTGTCATTGCGTGACCAGGCGGTGACAGCCCCAGCCCCCAGGGATCATAAGGAAGGAATAAAGACTCTGACAACATTATATGGAATTAAAATTAGGCCACAACTTTATTAAACTTTTTACTTCCGGGTTGGCGCCATCGGCAATGGCGGAATTCCTCTGACCGGGAGGAACTTGCCCCGTGGAAAAATTGGGTCTGGCTGCCACGGCGAAGGCGGAGACCCGTAAAAATCACAGGCGGGAGAAGCCTGTGAGCGTGGGATTCGGCAGGCACCTTCTGCGCCTCCCCTACTCGCGGGGAAACCCGTTTTCGGGTCTCCGGAGCGACGTGCGGTGAGTGGCGCGGTGCTTCGAATCGTCTGCTTCTTCCACGGAGTGAAGCCGCACAGCCGTTGCCGGAGAGCGCTGACTTTTTCCTGTGGACAATTTGACCTTAAAGTAATTACCCGTGAGTAGAGCTGAAATGGGAGAATTGGATTTCTAAAAGTATAATTTGGTATTGAAGTGGGGAGGTTCAAAACAGGAAGTCCACCTCCCCCTTTTGTAAATAGACTGAGGCAATGAAGTTGCAAGCTGGAGTCCTGGAAAGTCTTTTGTAAAAGATTAAATTTCCATCGGTAAAGAACAAAACCCCCCTTTGGAGGCAGGAGAAGGGGGGGGAGTTGTGGACTGAATATGCCTGCAGGAGAGAGCGAAGAGATCTAAAACACCGCCGCTCTGACCCTGGAAACGGGCTGCTAGTAGGTCTGATGTACTTTGGAATGTTCATTGACAGCGTTTAGAACGTTCATTGACAGCTAGTTAAACAAGAGAAATACATTGTTTCTACTGTTTCCGGCTGCTTTAAAAAGGAGTAAAAGTAACTGAAAATTGAAACTAACTTGAAACTAATTTTCGGATTGTTTAAAAGAGGATACTATTGACTATTGCAAATAGAAACTGTTTCCCCCTAGTGGAAGCCTTTGAAACCGGTTGCTTTACAAGAGCTGGACTAGGGAATTTCCAGCTGCAAGTTAAAAACCGTGAGACTCTGGGACTGACCTTGATCTTTTAAGTGTTATGGTAAATGGAAGAGGAAAAACAGACCAGTCAACTGCTGACAAAACATTAAGGTCTGGGAGGACTTGGCAACAATCCAGGAGAGGTCCACCATCAGGCCCTCCTGCTCCTTCTGTTGCAGCCTTTGTACCAGTATATGTAAAACCAAGAGAAATGTTGACAGAAGAGGCTCTAGTGGCGGTATTATTTAAGATAAATGATTCATTGGATCAGCTTCACAGGAAAATGGACACGATAAATGCGAAAGTGGATGTTTCAATCATTAAAACTAACTTAAATATAGAAAGTATAAATAATACTAATATAGAAACTACCCAGAAATTGACACAGGAACCTATTTCGATATGGCAAACTGCGGAGGAGGCCAGGGGAAAAGCTGTTGTTGCTGATTGTAAAGAAACACAACTGGAGAGAAAGAGCAAGAGAACCCCAGCACTACAGAAGCAACTTGATGAATATAAGTTGACGCTTGCTATGACTGAACTCAAAGAAAAACAGACAAATTTGAGGATTAGAGTTCACCTTTGGTGGACATGCCCAAGGATTAAGACACTTTGGGAGATGATTCATAATGAAATGAAAAAGGTATTTAAATATACCTTTTTGAAGAAACCAGAGGCCTTTCTCCTGGGCATGGTCAGCCAATTGGTGTTAAAGAAGGATAGAACTCTTTTCACGTATGCAACAATAGCAGCAAGAATACTTACTGTGAAGTACTGGAAGACACAAGATTTATCTATCCGGGAAGAATGGCAGATGAAGTTGATGGACTATATGGAATTGGCGGAAACGACTGGCAGAAATCCGAGACCAGGGAGAAGAGACGGTGGAAGAAGACTGGAAAAAGTTTAAGACTATCTATAGAAATATTGTAAAAATAATGAATGTTAGAAAAATGTTGGAATGAAGTTATATGGCTTTAGTAGAAATGCTATAAGGAATTAAGTATAAATAGACTAATAGAGTATTAAAGGGAAAAATAAGATTAGAATATGTTAAGATATAGGACAGAAAACAGAGGAAGATGAAAAGGAATTGCTGAAACAATTAATAGAAGTGGAATACAAAAAGGGAGGTGTGAGGAGGTCGTGGAAATAAGGGAATGAAAGTTAAGATATTGAAATTGTTTTGTGTTTTAAATGGTTTAATCTTATGTTTTTTCTTTTCTTTGCTTTGCTTTTTCTTTTCCTTTTTTGTTTTTTCTGTTTTACTGTGTTTAAATGGTTGGAAAATCAATAAATATTATTTATATATATATATATAAAACTTTATTAAACTTCTTCATCTAGGAAGACCTTGGCTTAGGCCGGGGGGAACTGGGACTCATCAGGGTAAATGGGATAGGGGGTGCTCTGTGAGATGTAAGTGTAGCAGGCAGCCAAGCCCATATCCCCGCACACAGGGTAGTTCACTGACGACTTCTCAGTGTATGGCCTGTGACACCCATATATATAGCCCCTTTAAGAGGGGACCCTGGAATCGCCTCTGCAGGGGGTTGAGTCACCACTTCATGCCCCCCCCCCCCCCAAATAGGGAAGAAAAGACTAAAGGATTCCACCCAAGGCCATAACCGCCAAAGTTGTGATGAATTGCTACGGGGAAGACAAGACCTGCCAATGCAGGAAAATTTCTTCCCGGTCCTTCAACAGCAACCAGTCAAAGACCATAGCAGTGCCCACTAAACAGGAAGAAAAAGTTAACCTGCAAACAAGAAACATTAAACAAAGGAAAGGTAGGGAGGGTGAATCTCTATTGTCGGCTCCACCCCCTATTTATAAATGGGGCTGGCCCCACCTCCCAGCAAGAAACTTGATTACTGAGGCTGGTCGTGAACCTCCAAAAATTAACACTGAGAGGCAAGCCAGCCCCATTTCCCAGTAAGCTGCCTGGGAACTGTAGCACCATGCGCCATCCTGCAAAGGGCACCCACAATGTAAAGTGTGAGTGCTCATTATATGACTCAATCTGTGTATGGCACTGGATTTAGTTGTGTCTGGATTGAATCAGGATTTTCTTATACAGTGGTACCTCTTGTTGCAAATGGGATCCATTCCGGACGCCCCTTCGCAACGTGAAAAGCCCGCAACCTGAAGCGCCGTATCTGCGGAGGTGTGTGGCGTGATTTGGTGCTTGTGCGCATGCGCGAAGTGTGATTTAGCGCTACTGCGCGTGAGCAAGCAGTGAAACCCAGAAGTAACCCTTTCCAGTACTTTCGGGTTGCCGCAGGATGCCACCTGAAAAAACGTAACATGAAGCAAACGTAACATGAGATATGACTGTACTGTTCTGTTCTCAATGGAGAGAGACAGTACAGTAAGCTTATTGTCTCGCTTCCAGAATGGTGCATCCTCTAAGTCTCCCTCACTCCCAGTTTCATGGTGACAGTCAAATCTGGTTGGTTACATGGTAATATGACATTAGCACATTTATGGTATCTTCCTTGATTGGCTGAGGTCATTTTGGATTAGAAAAAAGCATGAAAGCAGCAGCAGGGAGGTGAATGGCAGTAAAGAGCAGCTAACAAAAAAGGAGGAGGAGATAGTAGCTTTCCCTATTGTCCTTCACATGTGGGTTTTTGTCCACATTTTAAAATCTGGGGATTATGAGAAATTTGGCCTTGTAGCCTTTGCTGATAAATTTAGTTTTAGAAAAGGCAATAAGGATAGTAATGCAAATTGATGCAAGCACTGTGAGTTTTGTCATGTAAGTCATTTGGCTGGTGGCACTGAGGAAAAATAAGTTAAAGAAAATGTTGACATGATTGAAAATAACTGATTTGAAGATTGAAATATTCATTAATCAGCCTGGATAAGGCTTTATAAAGGTAAAATGGAAGGTACTTGAAATGTAAATTAATTTGAGCTGAATAATTATACATGTTAAATAGGTAGTTTTAGGCTTCTTGAAGTGTTAATATTTGGGACTAATGAACTGTAAAATGATGATGGGAGAAGAAATTCAAATAAATGGAAATCTCCGTTTGCTGCTTTTCTTACTGAAATCTAAGCATGCTTCTAGAATTTTAGGTAGTACCTTGCAGCAGTTTCGCCCATAGCATACTCTCTCAACCTCTACCCATCATGGGTAATTTGAGCTAGTTGAGAGTCTAGGGTGTGCCTAATGCATATTTGTGGGTAGGTGGAGAGGTGCTGAAGGAATGGGTTTCTCAAAGAAATGACAAGTTTCATGCAGTATATATATCTCCTCTATATATGGAGGTATATATACCTATATATATAGGGGATATATCTATACTGCATGAAACTTGTCATTTCTTTGGACTTGCTGTGGACTCACCACGCAAGTGCCTTCTGCTATCAGTGCCTGTTTCTTTAAAGGAGTGTGACTGCTCCTAAATATGACCTCCTTGGTCCTTGAAGTACTTGACATCATCCACCCATGCACAAATGCCCTTTTCTGAGTACAGTGGTACCTCTACTTATGAGCACCTCTGGTTATGTATCCTTTGGGATACGCACGCGGCAAACCTGGAAGTATTTTTCTGGGTTTCGCCACGCGCGCATGTGCAAAAGCACTCTACCACGCCGCGCGCATGCGCAAAACAGGCACCTCCAGTTGTAAAAACCTCAGGATCTGACTGGAGCTCCAGAACAGATCCCTTCCGCAACTGGAGGTACCACTGTAAAGTGCCTGAGAGAATAGTTCAGCTGTAGAATGGATTATCTTGACAAATTTCAGTCTGGGTTGAGGCCTAGCTTTGAGATGTATCAGCCTTGGTCACCCTGATGGATGGAAAAGTGGCGTAGCGTGGTTTGGCAGTGCCCAAGGCAAGGCAAGTATTTTGCACCCCCTAGCCCATGCTCATTAATTGTTCCTCATCATCCTGGAAAAAAGTGACAAGTGGGGTGTTCTGTCCTGTGCCTGCTGTTGTTCAACATCTTTATAAATGACTTAGATGAAGGAATTGATACTCATCAAATCTGCAGCTGACACCAAACTGGGATGTATGTATTATATTAGGGGACATTGCACACACGCACATATATTGTGAAATTATACAAAAATACATATCTTATGAGAAGTACACAATGTACTTTGGGGGGACGGGGACGGAATGCAAACTGGGAAATTGGCTAACTGAATTTAAAACTTACCAAAAAAAAAAATGAAATTGAGAGAAACAGGAACTGACACAACTGTCACTCCTTAGCATACTCCCCCACACACCAATTACCTCAGAAAATGCATATGAACATTCTGTGACTCATGACAATTCAGATGCTAACGTAGTTCATTAAACAATCGGGAGATTTAAAATGAAATAGGGTCACATACTCTTAAGTTACCATTTAAAAATGTATTGAATGTCAACTGAATCTGTTATTGGCCTAAAATAGAAGGTATAGCAACACCACATTTTCTTGTGATTTTCACATCACTAGAATCCACTACCATATTTTCAAAGCAGCTCCAATGAAACAACTGTAACCAATTCCATAATCTCTTATATAGAGTCTCTGAGGTAAAGGTACCCCTGACCGTTAGGTCCAGTCGTGGACGACTCTGGGATTGCGGTGCTCACCTCACTCTATAGATCCAGGGAGCTGGTGTTTGTCTGCAGACAGCTTTTGGGTCATGTGGCCAGAATGACTAAACCGTTTCTGGCGAACCACGGAAATGCCATTTACCTTTCCGCCAGAGGGGTACCTATTTATCTACTTGCACTTCTTGATGTGCTTCCGAACTGCTAGGTTAGCAGGAGCTGGGACCGAGCAACGGGAGCTCACCCCGTCGCGGGGATTCAAACAGCTGACCTTCCCATTGGCAAGCCCTAGGCTTTGTGGTTTAGACCACAGCACCACCCGCATCCCTCTCTATAGAGTCTCTGAAACTGAGTACAAAACATTAAGTGTGAGCTGATTATTAATCTTACAGCTGGTACGTCCAAGGATTTAATCTTGAGATGCATGAGGTAATTTCATATACCATTTAAACCAAATAATCCATGCTTTGTATATCATCTTTGTAGAAGAGAGCATAAGGAGAAAGGTTATCTGTGTTAATGGCTCAAATGTCAGTGCTTCCTTTAATCCATTCTTCACTGGTTACATGTTTGACTTTGTTCTGCTTGAACTATGGGACTGTATTGCCTGTAACCCAACTTTCCGAATGAATCTATGCTCCTTTTATCACTTCCCTAATTATGTAGCAAGCCTGACACACAAAATCTTCTACAAGATTTTCAAGCAACCCCGCTAGCTCTGATTCACATTTTATAATCTCCCTTCTTTGGTACACTTAAGACTTCTTTGATTCCTTAAGAATATCTACATATATTTTTTTCATTGTTGATTGAAATGTTTTCAGCAGTGTTCACAAACTGTAGTCTGCAGACCATGAATTCCATTCAGGTGGACTGTGGAAAGGTTTCAGAATGGTAAAGAATATACATACTTGGACCTGCACTTACATTTCTTTTCCTGGCATTCATTTTTGTCCTGGGCTGGATTTATCAAATGGGTTAACAATGTCCTGACCTAGGGCTCATGTTTTTCAAAATCTGGCTTTGCTACAGTATACCATTCAAACCCACCACCCTTAAAATATTACCAGTTAAAGGGTTCCTTTTCAGAATCCTGGCCAATACACCACTCTTTTGGATTATGATACTGGTACTGCATAAATAAAAAATTAAGTGGTCTGCTAAGACAACCAGCAATGTTCAAGTACAGTGGTACCTCAGGTTACATATGCTTCAGGTTACATACACTTCAGGTTACAGACTCCGCTAACCCAGAAATAGTGCTTCAGGTTAAGAACTTTGCTTCAGGATGAGAACAGAAATTATGCTCTGGCGGCACGGCAGCAGCAGGAGGCCCCATTAGCTAAAGTGGTGCTTCAGGTTAAGTACAGTTTCAGGTTAAGAACGGACCTCCAGAACGAATTAAGTACTTAACCCGAGGTACCACTGTAGTGCAAATTTTATGAACTGTTGCAATAGGGAAACTCACCTGTCTAACTATGCAGTTGGTGATACAATCCATATAACAATAGCCAATAACCATTTCCCATATTTTCCCTCTTTTGCCTTTGGTCCTTACATTTTTTAAAACAGATGCTAGCAAAGGCATGTGACACTCCTAGACTCCCAATGGCATGAAATTCTGCTCATACAATCAAACTTTTCCTTCCTCTTCTCTTCCCTTTAGCCCTTCATACATCAGTAAAATCTGCTCTGCAGAGTTGGGGGACATTTTGGATAAAATGTTTGGGCATGGAGCAGAGTTGTAAGTAACTTGTATGTTGTGCAAAGAACATTCAAGTTTCTTGACTCATAAAAGTCAAACTGTATTACCCTGATCAATAGACAACAGGATCTAGCAGGTAGGCGTGATTGTTCCAGTGCAGATATTCCAGCAGCATAACTTAAATGAGGGCTCGATGAGTCACATTTGAAAAACCCCTTTCCTACACAATGATCCATTCTGTACAAATGAGCTGATACCATACGCTGAGGTAATTAAAATGCCTTTATGAACATCACTAAGAGCAAGCACTCAAGAGTAGTACTTAGCAGAGTCACATGGTCATCTCAACATGTGTGACCAATGGATCCTAATGGCATGCAGCTTACAGTGCCAGAGATATTTATATGACCTTAGATATATTGTTTTCCATCACACTTATATATATGAACATACAGAGAAACAGAAACTTCAGCAACAGCTTTTCTAGTTTTTTATGCATTTAGATTATTCTAACTATAAAAGTGTTACTGTCACTGAGCATTTCTCTGCCCCCACCTCTCATCGTTAGCTATTTTACACTGGGAAAATGTACACTGTGTACAGGAAAATACATAATGCAGTGATGGCGCATCATACATTGTATTTACCTAAACATTACAAGGAAGAGGTCAAAAGAGATATGAAGCAGTGGCAGTCTAGTTAATCCCTTGCTGTGTTAAGTGCTGTCAAATATGCAATGCATACTCTAAGATTTTTTGAAAGGTATGTCTATGCCTGGAATCCTAAGAGGTTTAGCAATGACATGTGGTTGTCTTAAATCATGGGAATGTTCTTTTCATAAATAAAACATTACTAACACAATGTGAATAATAAGTTTCAAGGAACTTCCACACATATATAAAAGTAAAGGGACCCCTGACCATTAGGTCCAGTCGTGACCGACTCTGGGGTTGCGGCACTCATCTCGCTTTATTGGCTGAGGAAGCTGGCGTACAGCTTCCCGGTCATGTGGCCAGCATGACTAAGCCGCTTCTGGCGAACCAGAGCAGCGCACAGAAACACCGTTTATCTTCCCGCCGAAGCGGTACCTACTTATCTGCTTGCACTTTGACGTGCTTTCGAACTGCTAGGTTGGTAGGAGCAGGGACCGAGCAACGGGAGCTCACCACATCGCGGGTTTCGATCAGCCGACCTTCTGATCGGCAAGTCCTAGGCTATGTGGTTTAACCCACAGCACCACCTGTGTCCCTCCACACATATAAGCTGACCCTCTTATGTGAGGCTTGTAAATGGTCAATCACTTACTCACCTGTGGTGAATAACATGGCATCTAGGCAAACAGTCAGGAAAGCTTTTAGAAATAGGGAGACTGTTGGTTCCTTCTTCTCTCTTTTTGACTCTCATTCCTTCATTTAAACGTCGTCCCAATGTGCCACAAATGCCCAATATAATGTGGGGTGTGTTTTAATGGGTAGGAGAGGATATATTACAGTAATTGTAATTAATTGCTCAAGACACCCATGTGTGTGGGTTGAACATCCCACCTTTGACAGCAAAATGCAAAGCATAGGAATTATGCTTCTTTTGAGCAAGTCCAGCTATGATGTAAGTTGGCTCTCCCTTTCTTACCCACTTAACAAAAAATCAGACAACAACTTGGGAAGTAAGTTTAAAAATATAATTTGCTTAGTTATAACCTTGCATTGGTACACAGCAATGGCAGCAATAAAAACTATGTAGCTAAATACTTATATTTACAGTATAACCAGCCTCAGGCCATAGGCGTAGCCAGGGGGGCAATCAATAAAAATACTTAAGTAAAGTTCTTACCCCCTAACATGAAGCCTGTCCCCCAACATAAATCCTGGCTATACCCATCCCATGCCTCAGGCATTTGCCTGTTCTGGACCAAGCAGAGACATGTCTCCATTGCTGATCAATAAGAGAAAGGGAGGCAAAGGAAGTACTATATGCTCCTTCCTCTTCAGGAGAGGAGGGGAAATGACTTCACACAGAGCCCTCTCAACCAATTGTATTTCTATGGTCTGAGTATCTGCCTATCAGCAGTATAGGTCTGTGAACTTAGCCCCTTCTCATGCTAACTAGCAAGAATATCTATTTGTTAGGTTTGGCTGCTAATCTCCCACATATACCGTATTTTTCGCACCATAGGGCACACCTAGTTTTCAGAGGGGAAAATCAAGGAAAAAAATATGACCCCTCCCCCAGCTCTGGGAGCAGCGGACAGGCTGCAGGCAGCCTGTGCGATTCTCCCAGACCTTCTTCCTGCTTTGGGGGAGGTGGGGGAATTCCCCCACCTCCCGCAGAAGCCCTGCGCTCTTTAAAGGGGCTGCGCGGCTTCTGCTGGCTTTTCTAGGAGGTGGGGAAATTCCCCCACCTCCCGCAAAACCGGCAGAAGCCGCGCACACTTTAAAAGGGCTGCACGGCTTCTCCTGGCTTTCCTGGGAGGTGGCGGAATTTCCTCACCTCTCGCAAAAGCCCGCAGAAGCCGCCCAACCCCTTTAAAGAGATCGCGGCTTCTCCTGGCTTTCCTGGGAGGTGGGGGACTTCCCTCACCTCTCGCAAAACTGGCAGAAGCCGCACACTTTAAAGGGCTGCACAGCTTCCTGGCTTTCTGGAGGTGGGTATTCCTCACCTCGCAAAGCCCGCAGAAGCCGTGCAACCCCTTTAAAGAGATTGTGGCTTCTCCTGGCCAGTCAGTTCCTTCTCCCTCCTGTGGAAAAGCCCGCAAGAGCGCACGGAGCTTGTGTGCAGCTCTTGCGGGCTTTTCCCGCCTGCCTCCCCCCCTGCATTCTCTCCATAGGACACACACACATTTTCCCTTGCTTTTTAGGAGGGAAAAAGTGCGTCCCATGTTGCGAAAAATACGGTAGATAGGCGAGGTAGTAAACATTTTAATGGGCTAGTAACTTCTATGGATTTATTTGCAATATCATCTGCTGTTTTGATTTATCCTGCTTAGTCATGCTGGCCACATGACCCGGAAGCTGTACGCCGGCTCCCTCGGCCAGTAAAGCGAGATGAGCACCACAACCCCAGAGTCGGTCATGACAGGACCTAATGGTCAGGGGTCCCTTTACCTTTATCCTGCCCCACAAGTCTCCATAAAGCAAGTTATGAGTCTGTAAAAAGCACATGTATGGACCTATAGCTATATTCATGTGGTTGCTTCATGCAGCTGGTGACCTCTATGCATGGAAAAGAAAATCTGAAAGGCTTGTCACAAGACCAAGAAAATTCTCCACTAAATTATCTTGAAGAGGTCGTCTGGAGAAAAAAAGCAGATCTTTCCTACAGTTCATTTTGTTCTGTGTTTTTAACTTGTTTTGTAATTCAGTACAAAGAGAGACTCAAGTGCTCCCTTAATTCTTCTTTCCAGAAACTCTGACATTTATATCTTTCTACCTTAATAATAATAGTTTGGTGACCCATTTCTATAAGCTATTATATTGACAAAGAGGTTCACAGGGTCCTGCTGTGCCTATTCAGCTCGGTTGCTATGGGAAAATATTTACTGCTTTGTACAGATGTAGGAACCTAATCTAACCTCAGCTCAAATCCCATCAATGACATTGCTGCACTCACCATAGTGTGTAGCATAGTTGTGTTGTGCAGCAATTCCACTTGGCTACCGGCCTCAGAAAGCCTCCTAATTGACCAGTTGACCCTGGTTCCCAAGGCTACTCTGGGCACCAGATTTCCTTTTACATCCTGCTCACCCTCTTGTGCTGTTTAGCAATGGAGCTGCAGCACTGTGAACCCTCAGCTGGGCTCTGTTTTCCTCTTTCCCAGTCCATTGCATGGATAACAAATGGCAAGGTGGAGGAGGTTGCCTCATTTATTCTCCAAGTGGTGTTTTGCTTTCCTCATTTGGAAGGGCTGGGTCCATAGACATGTTGTGAATGTTGTTGTTCTTAAACAAGCATAGTACATACATGCATCTGGAAGGGTTGCTAAGAAGCCTTTAGAGGTATCCTAAGGGGCTTTCACTGGCTCTAGAGCTGGTATCAGAATTGGAAGACCAGTCCAATGTTCTTGAATAAAAGTGGAAGGCTTCAAAAAGAAGTTGAATTGGACTTAGGTGGCTCAAGGAGAAAACCACTTAAAACTTCTCCCATACAAACTTTCCCGTAGCACCTGAGGTGTAGATATTATTATTATTATTATTATTATTATTATTATTATTATTATTTATACCCCGCCCATCTGGCTGGGCCTCCCCAGCCACTCTGGGCGGCTTCCATAGAAACCAAAAATACAGTAAAATATCACATGTTAAAAACTTCCCTGAACAGGGCTGCCTTAAGATGTCTTCTGAATGTCAGGTAGTTGTTTATCGCTTTGACATCTGCTGGAAGGGCGTTCCACAGGGTGGGCGCCACTACCGAGAAGGCCCTCTGCCTGGTTCCCTGTAGCTTTGCTTCTCGCAATGAGGGAACTGCCAGAAGGCCCTCGGCGCTGGACCTCAGCGTCCAGGCAGAGTGATGGGGGTGGAGACGCTCCTTCAGGTATACTGGACCGAGGCCGTTTAGGGCTTTAAAGGTCAGCACCAACACTTTGAATTGTGCTCGGAAACGTACTGGGAGCCAATGTAGGTCTTTCAAGACCGGTGTTATATGGTCTCGGCAGCCGCCCCCAGTCACCAGTCTAGCTGCTGCATTCTGGATTAGTTGTAGTTTCCGAGTCACCTTCAAAGGTAGCCCCACGTAGAGTGCATTGCAGTAGTCCAAGCGGGAGATAACCAGAGCATGCACCACTCTGGCAAGACAGTCCGCAGGCAGGTAGGGTCTCAGCCTACGTACCAGAAGGAGCTGGTAAACAGCTGCCCTGGACACAGATTTGACCTGCTCCTCCATGGACAGCTGTGAGTCCAAAATGACTCCCAGGCTGTGCACCTGGTCCTTCAGGGGCATAGTTACCCCATTCAGGACCAGGGAATCCTCCACACCTGCCCACCTCCTGTCCCCCCATAAAAGTACTTCTGTCTTGTCAGGATTCAACCTCAATCTGTTAGCTGCCATCCATCCTCCAACCGCCTCCAGACACTCACACAGGACCTTCACCGCCTTCACTGGTTCTGATTTAAAGGAGAGGTAGAGCTGAAAACTCTACCTCAATGTATCTTCAGAAAAGTGCTGTTTGCAATGCAATCAAGCAAAGTTTAAATAGAAATGGGAATGGAAAACTCTGCTCAATGTATCTTCCATTCATTAACAAACTCATCTAGGCAGCTTGGATTTGGGCACTCATTTTCTGAACATCTCTTTCAAGGGCAGTGCCCACCAAGCTTTATCACTGTCTACATTTCATTGGTTCCTGAAAACTTATTGTAAAACAGCATTTTAATTTGTGTTTTGAATGTGAAAGATAAAGAATGCATGATAATGCAATCCTATGTATTTACTCAAAGGTTTCACTATGTTCAGTGGGGCTCACCTTTTAGTCAGCCTGCAAAAGATTGCAGGCAAGACATGCTGTACTGATCATGCTTTTCTATCGCTAGCCTTCTGGGCTTTTTTTTTTTTTTAGTTATAGTTTACATTTTAATTTTAAATTAAATGTTAAATTGTATGTTTAATTTTGTGTTCCACCTTAGAAAGCATCTGATTGCATTGCAAACAGCACTTTTAATTTAATTTAATTTAATTTACTATATAGCAGTAAGGCCCAGCATGTCAAACAATATGCTCTTAAAAAAAAAAAGCAAGTATCTGGTAGGTACACTCCTGGTGACACATGTTTTAATAAGAATTAAAATCAATCTTTTAAACTTTAGTTTGATTTTGCAAGTGGTCATATTTCCTGTGTTCTGAGCCTTGCAGTCAGATCCAGCTATGCTCTAACTCCCACACTCAGGAGATTTTTGTTTGCCCCCTCCAGCCTAAGAAACCTACCACAACTATATGCACCAACCATGGTATTACTATTACTATTAAATATATTATCTACCCTTCACCAGCAAGTCCCAGGGTGGGTTACAACAATTAAAGAGTGGGGAATTAAACAGATTACGGCCACAAGAATAGAGGAGGCTCTGAAAGCACACATATCAGATGTCAAAGGCCAGGGAAAAGAACTTACCCAATCAATAAAAGGGAGTTTAACCCACAAACTCACAGCACATGTGGGTTTTAGTCAGCCATTGCTTACTTTTAGCCCCTCTCCCATGGGTTGAGCTGGTTGGGTGCCTACTCAGATCACCAGGCATTGGCTTTTAGCACAACCATAGTTTCCTTTGGGTTTTGATTCAGTGACCACCCATAGCATGACCACTAAAGTTTGACTGTCAGTATGACTCAAGGCTTTTCATCAGCAAACCTTGTGAGACTGCATTGCACATATAAACAACCAAATCATTGCCCCATTCAATTTCCAGCAACACAAAAGGTTATTCTTTTGATCCCTCGTGAACAGTCATAACATGGAATATTTCTTTGCTTCCTTGGGGTTATTAAAGGTGGTAAAGCTAAACTTCGCAAGCTTACAGAAAAGTATGACCACAGAGTTAGCAGTGCATCCAGGCAACAAGGATGTTTACAAAAAGGCCAGTGCTTTGCATTTTTGTTCCCTGAAACATGCTGATGAAAGCACTGCGAAGTTCCAGTCTTGTTTAAAGAATAGCATTCATCAAAATTCATTAGGCACCGCTAAGCGTTTAGGTGAACCGATGCAGGCAGTCCCAAAGCAGCCATAAGCTTCCATTTCATACCTTTTATTTTTATGCGTCTTTTAAAGCGTTTTATGTGAAAGGAGAACATAGATTTTTGTATGACTCCCCAAGAGACATTTTAGCACATTTCCCATCCCAAAGAGGCTTGAGAGATTGCAGGTAGAAAATGAAATTGTCTCGCAGGAGCTGGTGGGTGACAAATGCTTCAACCAAGCTGATATATAATATAAAGTGGCAGAGAAGATCAAAGCTCTTTATGCTACCAGGGATCAAATACTTCACACAGCTGGAGGAGCTGCAAACCCCAAAATGTGCTAAAATGATATCAAATGGTTTGAAGAAACCTAAATTGAGTTATTTCTAAATATCACCTTTACCAGAAAACAGGCAGCTTAAAAACAACGAAATATAATGCAGGTATTTTTGGTGTTTATGATACTAACTCTGTAGAGATGGGGGAGAAATTTGTTTCTTTTGCATTTTAATGTGAACCTACCTAATTTGTGCTTCCCAAACCAAAATGGAGTTATCCTTTGAAATTTGCACTGCTGTGATTTTGGAGGTGCTGTTCTCCATCCAAATGCGTGTGTACATATAGGCATTTATTGGGGGAAAGTGTGTATTTTAGTGAAAATAGTACAAGAATGCCGGTATATTCCTGCCTGATCACTAAGGGCTGCAAGTGAGGCCCTCTGGGTCATACAACAGCCTGCAGAAACCTATTTGGCAGTGACTAGGGAGAGGGCTTTTCTCTATTGTAATTCCCATCCTGTGTCATTTGCATCCCCTCTGAAGTGAGTCAGGAGCCAGTGGTGATATGCTTCTGGTACATATTTATTCACTCATTCCTCTCAACTGTTCCACTAAGTTACTTGCAAATGCTATATTGCATTCACTGCATGTACTGAGCTTTTTTCATGGATTTTCATTTTAGATTATTTTAAACCACCTTAACTTTTTTTTTTTAAAAAAGCTGCCAGATAAATGATTTTGATACAGTAAATGATGTTAGGGAAAATCTCTTGCAAAAATGTGTATCTTAGGAGAAAAGCACGCCAACTGCATATGAATTTCCATGTGAACCTAAAATAAAATTTCTGATGCAGAAATTCGGTGAACTGACTGGAAAAAATGAGAGAGAGAGGGAGAGAGGGAGAAACCAAAATTGTAAGATTTATCCATCTCCTCATTTACAACTTTAAAGATGGCTTAAAACTGTTTTGTTTAAATGTGCTTTTTTTCATTGACCAATTCACAGAATTTTGTTCCTGATACTCCTGTTTTTCACAAGTTTTTACACTGATTTTATTGTTATTATTTTACTGTGTTTGTGACTCACTTTGAGCATCTCATGGGGGGGGGAGTTGTGTATAAATATTTATACAAAAATAAATAAATCAGCAAAACATAGCCGCTTCTTAAAAAAAGGAGCAGATTCACAAGCCTACTGTAAATGCCCTTAAACGGTGAGGCAACAACTTCTCACAAACAACATCTCACCACAGAGCTGGTGAATTATTTGAATTTGGACTTAATAGAACTTGATTGCTTTGAGAAACACTGTTTATTCATACACTCAAAGAAATGAATCACTGAACTCAGTGGAACTCACATCTGAGTAGGATTGTTCTGGGAATTTGATGTAATATAAGCAAAACCAGATAGTTCCCATTTTCAATTGTGCATTCTTTCTTTCTCTCTTGTTTTTTGAAAGACAATAGTACCTGTTTAGGGTTGCCATATGTCTGGAATTTCTCAGACATATTCGGAATACTGTAGTCGGCAGTAGTGTCAGGACAGAAATCAGTTTTAAAAAAAAATGTCCAGGGAAATCTGGACGTATAGCAACCCATGTTGGCAGGGTCGTTGTGCCATTTACCAAAATAAAAGCTCAAAAATGGCATTTTTTGCAAATCTGCAAAACTTTTCTGGCTGGCTTTTCACTGTTTGAAATATGGCAACCCTATCGAGCATCAGTCTTACTATAGAGAATTTCAAATACTTGTTTCCTCCTGTTTCAGAACATATAGTTAAAAATCCATTATTATATCTTAGCCGTAAGAAAACCATTCACTAAAATGTCAAATTAAGGCAAACATACATAGTTATTTCTGAATGTTCATTTTTCAGTCAGGGCAGGGACAAAGAACCCAGGACAAGAAAAACTGGGGGCGGGGGGGGGGATGCAGATTTCATGAAAAACAAGCAGACAGGAGTTTGGAACAGGTATGCTATCATAACAGGAAAAACCTGGGAAAGGCAGGCTTACTAAAAATACAAGTCACCAGAAGATAATCAGATATCAGAAGCATGCCAGATTAGCACTAAAACTCCAGGACAGAATTAACAACAAGACAGGTGGGATAGAGTGGAGATGGCTAACCTGTTGGTCTACAAAAGCTGCTGGACTACAAATCCCAACACTTGGCAGGCCCCTGGATACAGGTTCCAAACTTCAGGCCTTGAACACAAGATAGAATGTTGCACAATATATCATTAAGGGGTTAACTGGAGTCAGCAAAGACTATTTCCCTAGAATGGGGCCAGGTTGCTCAAAGGAACAAGGTGTAAAAATATGGCAGAATAGAAACTGGGTATTGTAAATACCCCAGGCATCCAATCACTGTAACTTTTTATTTAATTCCACAGAAACAAATACAGATATTTAATATACAGTAATTGTACACTATCATTAACGATGTACGTATTTTAGGTATGTTTCTGACAGCTAAGGAGCCTCTTACCTCGTTTTGAAGATCCCTGATCATTTTGCTCTTCCTTTCCATTTCAGTCTTCAAAAAGTTAATCTAAAAATGAAAAATAACCTTTTAACTGATTGCCATAAATTCACCCAAAAACTCCCAAGAGAGAGGCATCTTATACTTTTTATAGATCAACTTTAACCTGAGTACCTTTTAGAAAGGGGATTCTTCTCTGTCCGCCCAAGCACTATTGACACTCTTTGATGAAACATTGGAAGAAGTCCTATATAACAACTTGGGCTACTTTTAGTGATAACAAGGTTGAAGATGACTAGAAAGCAGAAAAAGGAAACTGGAATGTATGGCAGAATGTGGAATGTATGGCAGAATTTGGCAGGTGTCTCCCTCAGAAAAACTCGCACAACAAATGGATAAACAGGATAAATTCTGGAGCATTTGGTTCTCATTCTTATCATTCTCTAGGTTGGGTGGGGATGTAGAAGAGATAGTAATTCCCTTTGGAAAGATGCTTTATCTTGAGGAGATTATAGTGGATATATTATACTATGATCCCAGAATACAATGCAAGACTATATTTTCTGTTGTATATAACACAGGCACGGTCAAAACACAACGCATTGCTGTTTTTTTCTGGGGACTATACTACTTCAGGACATATTTGAGAGTACACATTGAAATGATCTTTTTTTTAAAAAGAAAAAAGAAAACCTTTCTACACAGGGAAGGCTACTTTAGCAGACCAGAGAGTTTTGACTAGAAATTTTTCTTCTGACACTCCAATTTTCCTGATGGGGACAATTTTATCACTTCTCACATCATCTTATCCCTATTTCAGAATTCTGTTTTTCTCCCTTTATTCCAGTCCTACCTATATAACTAGCATCTAAATAGCCTACAAAGAAAATTACTAGAGTTGAACATGAGAAAAACAAACAAACCCTAATGCTGTGCCAAAATCTGTCCTCCAGTTTCTTGAAAGTCCCCCCCCCACACACACTTTTTCTATCTCATTCTTGGGTCAATCAATAATTTCTTTAGACTATCCATGGATGCAGAATTTTTAGCTTATTTTATCACTGTGAGCCCCAAAGGATAAATGTGATTTTTTCTTCCAGCAAGCATTTCTCCAGTATTCTGCAGCCTCCCTCGATGTCCATTTTTCCTTTAAAAAAATAAAATAATGCAAAGCCCCATGGGAGGAGTTGCCTCTTGTTATGTTCCCCTGGACTGTAACTGAAGTCTGGGGACCAGGGCTGCAGAGTTCACACCACTGGTGGTATCATTTGTAGAATGAAATACCGTAAATAACATTCACAAAGTCACTTTCAAGCAAGGTAAGTGCATCAAAAACTCTGCACCACAATAAAGAGAACTCCTCCTAATTTTCTCTCCCTTTTGATCTTTTTGAATGCAATTTTTTTTTCCATTACTTGATGGAAACTCTTTGGAATAAAATCTCAGACTTAAATATGATTGATTATGATACTCTCCATTGCCTTAATGTGCTCAGACTAAAAGAGATCCATTATTTCAGAAAAAAAGAAAAAATCAAAACAAAATAATACATTCCATGTATAAAGCCTATGAAGATGGCATTCACTTAGCTTTTTGTCATGTGATAGGGCAGCTATCCTACTTCTTACAAGCATCTTATTAATGCTCAGAATAAACCATATGATAAAATATTGACTAATATGCAGTGCCATAGTTATTTGCATTTCTCTACCATATATGTTACTTGGTCAGGAGGAAGGCACTGTCCCACGTTCCTCTCACTCCCATCTCAGGGTTGCATGTGGGACTTCTCATATTTTATATCTGTTCAGTTATACATGATTGATTGTGGCTTCTGTATGACTCCTTCAAGGATTTCTGTAATGTTTGTATTTTATTATTTATGTAGAATGCTTGTACACCACCCCCTTTGTAGACTTCAGACCCTAATGAAGTGGCTTACAAAAGATTCTCAAAATAAAAATCACACACAAATTGAGGTCAGCAACAGAAATTTCATGGTGTCCAAAGGAAACCAAGATTACTCAGACAGCATTTCCTATCGTCGTCATTGATCTTCCCTGGTATGCCAGAGAGCAGCTCCCTAAGGTGTCCTGAGGCAAGGGAGTGAGGCTGAGCAGATGGATCTCACACAACCCATAATGAAATGAAGTCTTCCCTTCATGTCAGTTGGTAGTTGCCAGGCAACAGCTCCTGAATTGGTCCTGTGAGGCAAGTGAACGGGCCTAAGAAGCTGGACTTCTCTGAGCCCAAGACTGAAGGAGTCTTCCCTTCCTAGCAGTTGGATGTTGCCAGTCAACAGCTCTCAGAGAGGTGCCCCTGAGGCAAGGAATTTGCATGTGAGGATTAGTAAGTGTTGAAAGGTTCAGTCCCTTAACAATCTCCACAGCAACAATAGTGTTATAGCTAGGTATCTAGATACAGATATTTAAATTCAATAGATTTATCTCACTATAACTGTATTATTGTACTGTGTCAACCAGCTTAATTCCATGAATAACATTCCTCTTTATAGCTTCTTAAGTCTGTAAGGAAAAGCCTCTTGGCATTCACACCTCACTTCCAATAAGTCAGGACAACCTGATGAAGTAAATTCATTTCACACATTTTTCTTAAGTGACTTCAAAAGCCCTGAAGTAAGATCATTCTAAGAACTATTTACTGAATCTCTCCTGCTAATTCCCTCTTCAGTTGCACTAATTTTCCTCTTGTCTTCTTGAAAGATGCATAGGCAATGATTTTGTCAGATGTCTGGGTCTTAACTGCAACCCACAAGATTATCTGTGATGGGTTTCTGCGCTTGTTTTCATATAATTAGCAATCCCCCTTTTAAATCATCTGGGCAAAATTAGGATCAGAAACTAATGATGTATTACCGAGATGAACTATATAAGCAACACAGAAGTGGTAAGAGATCAGCTACCCGGATCATCATGGCATGGTGGGAAATACTTCAAACCTGTTACGTTTTCAACCATGAAACAGAAAAACAAACTAAAAGGAAACAGTTGTTAAGATGTAAATGTGAAATTATTTAGCTAAAGAAATACACTCAGGCTACATCCTATACACACTTTCTTCATTGTACTAGGGATGGAAGATAAATTGCTTCAGTCAACATTTTAAAACAATTCAACCCATAGTATTCAAGAAATAAGTGGAGAGGTCAGCTTGTGGAGTAGCGAGGTAGCCAAGTTAGCTGATACCAAATTGTTCAGAGTTGTTAAAGCAAAAATATTTTGTGAAGAGCTCCAAGAGGACCCCTGCAAACTGAGTCAAGGGGGGGGCGGTTCTAAATTTCAATTGCATATATGCCTACAGTGGTACCTTGGGTTACAAACACTTTGGGTTACAAACGCTTCAGGTTACAGACTCCGCTAACCCAGAAGTAGTACCTCAGGTTAAGAACTTTACTTCAGGATGAGAACAGAAATCGTGCGGTGGCAGCAGGAGGCCCCATTAGCTAAAGTGGTACCTCAGGTTAAGAACAGTTTCAGGTTAAGAAAGGACCTCCAGAATGAATTAAGTTCTTAACCAGAGGTACCAGTGAGGTTACAGGGAACCAGACAGAGGGCCTTCTCGGTAGTGGCGCCCACCCTGTGGAACACCCTCCCTTCAGATGTGAAGGAAATAAGCAGCTATCCTATCTTTAAAAGACATCTGAAAGCAGCCCTGTTCAGGGAAGTTTTTAATATTTAATGCTGTACTGTTTTTAACACCTGATTGGGAGCTGCCCAGAGTGGCTGGGGAAACTCAGCCAGATGGGCAGGGTATAAATAATAAATTATTATTATTATTATTATTATTATTATTATTATTATTATTATACCACGGTATTGGCATTGGACTGGTGGTGACCGTCTAGGAATGAGATGGGGGAAGTATTCAACTACTGTATCTTGTAAGTGAAACCATTTCCACTTATACAATGAGAGTTCCCCCTCCCCCATGAGCACTGCACATTCTCCACTGATCTGAGTTGGATGAACCCCTACAAAAATATGGGGTTGGGGAGGAATGGGGTAGAACATTTAGTTGCACAAGCAGAAATCCTTGTACTGATGGAACATTCACACAGTGCTATGTTAGATGCAACCTCTTTTATGTATCGCTTCTCCAGGTTAAACAACCTTGTCCAACCTTCTTAGCATTTGGTCTCCAGCCCCTCCGTATCTCTTACTTCCTTCTCTGGACATCTTCTAGTTTGTCAACATCTCCTTTCAACTGTGGTACCCAGAACTGGACACAGTGTTCCAGTTGAGGTCCGCCTAAGACATAATAGAGTAGCACCAATACTTCTTGTGATCTGAACCCCATGCTTCTATTGATGCAACATGTAATTGCAGTAGCCTTATTAGTCACTGTGTTGCACTCCTGACTCACTTGTATGTTGACAGCTTATTATTTAACAAGATGCTCTCATTAGTGAATTTTGTTGCACCAACACAGGAAAAAAGGACCAAATCTGAAGGATTTGTCTGTTCTTTCTAAGGCAAAACATTGGTAGGCAGTTCAAGAGTACTTAAAAAGCACTTAAATAAGATTAGCAGCACATCTCAGGAGGATTTCATGCATCTCTATATTTAAATTAAGGCTGCCATTTAAAAATCTGGGAATATAGCACATTATCTGGATTCTGGATTTTTTTCAGTTTTATCGAAGGACAATGACATTATGTTTCTAGGAGACAAGCACTCAATGCTACACAAAACTGTGTGTTTGTGTTTCCAACCTTATTATACTTATTATAGGAAATGAAGGTTATTTTTCATTTCCTGACCTTTATTATAACAGGCTTTCGACCTTGAAAAATTCAAATTAAACCATTCTCACCCCTGAAAAATAGACTGTGTGTAAATGGTGATGGTGTGATTCTAGAAGAAGAAGAAGAAGAAGAAGAAGAAGAAGAAGAAGAAGAGGAGTTTGGATTTGATATCCCGCTTTATCACTACCCTAAGGAGTCTCAAAGCGGCTAACATTCTCCTTTCCCTTCCTCCCCCACAACAAACACTCTGTGAGGTGAGTGGGGCTGAGAGACTTCAGAGAAGTGTGACTAGCTCAAGGTCACCCAGCAGCTGCATGTGGAGGAGCAGGGAAGCGAACCCAGTTCACCAGATTATGAGACTACCGCTCTTAACCAACTTCTCCTCTGAGTGACCCCACTGTTTCTTTGTTCTTCCTTTTGCTACGGACATACCCATAAAAGCCTTTTTTGTTGCTTTTAACCTCTCTAGCAAGCCTGAGTTCATTCTGTGCTTTAGCTTTTCTGACTTTGTGTCTACACGTGCTGGCTATTTGTTTGAATTCCTCTTTGGTGGTTTCCCCCTTTTCCATTTTTGTACACATCCTTTTTAATCTTAACTCAGTTAAAAGTTCTTTAGATAGCCACCCTGGCTTCTTTAGGCACCTTCCATGTTTCCGTCTCATTGGTATTGCCTGAAGTTGTGCTTTTACTATCTCCCTCTTAACAAACTCCCAGCCATCATGAACTCCCTTTCCTTTTAGTATTACTGTCCATGGGATCTCACCCAGCACTTCCCAGTATCAAAGGCCTTTGTAAAAGTCACACCACACTAAATGTAGCACACATTTCCTAGATGTCCCAAATTATCCACTGGACAAGTAATGGGAGGAGCCTGTCCACCACATGCCTCTATGAGTTTACAGAAACACACTTCTCTTTTAAACACTATGGTGGCACTGATCGCTAAGAGATCCAAGGAGAAAACATGGAAAACATGCCACGTGAAGTGGTCCTCAGTATAACAGGCAACTAGTTTAGATTAGTGCTTTCTGTAGATATGGGTTAAATATCTGCCCAATTTTGCATTCTGGGCAGGACCTCAAATTGTGTCGGGAGTTTTTCTAGAATTTCAGTGGCTTCATTCTGAAAACAGTATGTGAAGCCTGATGTAGCTCAGAGATAGTCCTGAAATGATCAGCTCCCACATGCCAAAGATGTTGGTACAATGAGACTGTGATGCAGTGTTGTGATCCAGATGAGGCAAGACCTTATCTTGAAAGAAGAGCATTATAACAAATTGCAGAATAATTTAAAGGTTCTCATGTTGAAAGATGTGAATGGGACATTTTATATTTTGTACCATGGGCAAGAGAGAGAGAGAGGTTGACCTGCATTTCATGAAAAAGATCCCTCCTGGAGCCGAAGCATCAAACATTCTGGTTGGCGAGCTGGAATTCCTGGACCGTGCTGTTGTGGCTTTTGTTAGGTTGTCTCCCGCCATGCTGCTTTCGGGACTAGCAGAAGTTCCAATCCCAACAAGGTGATTTTATAACCAGAGCCAAGAAAGAAAGGCACATTTCCCAGTTCACAAACAAAGGACCAGGACCTAGATAGGCATTGCAAATGATGCACGAAAGCCTCTTTAAATCATTTTATATGTCACACATTTCCATACGTGTGCAGTAGCAAAGTGCCGAAACAGTGGGGTCACTCAGAGGAGAAGATGGTGAAATGCAAACAGGGGACACAGAAAGAGCTGAACTCCTCAATGCTTTCTTTGCCTCAGTCTTCTCCGATAAAGAAAACAATGCCCGACCTGAAGAATTTGGAGCAAATGATTCAGCAAAGGAAACACAGCCCAGAATAACTAAGGAGATAGTACAAGAATACTTGGCTAGTTTAGATGTATTCAAGTCTCCAGGGCCAGATGAACTGCATCCAAGAGTATTAAAAGAACTGGCAGATGTGAACTCAGAACCACTGGCAGTCATCTTTGAGAATTCCTGGAGAACAGGCGAAGTCCCGGCAGACTGGAGGAGGGCAAATGTTGTCCCTATTTTCAAAAAGGGGAAAAGAGAGGACCCAAATAATTACCGCCCAGTCAGTCTGACATCAATACCAGGGAAGATTCTGGAGCAGATCATTAAGCAAACAGTCTGTGAGCACCTAGAAAGGAATGCTGTGATCACCAATAGTCAGCATGGATTTCTGAAAAATAAGTCATGTCAGACTAACCTGATCTCGTTTTTTGACAGAATTACAAGCCTGGTAGATGAAGGGAACGCAGTGGGTGTAGCCTACCTTGATTTCAGCAAGGCATTTGACAAGGTGCCCCATGATATTCTTGTAAAGAAGCTGGTAAAATGCGGTCTTGACTATGCTACCACTCAGTGGATTTGTAACTGGCT